AGCATCCCTGTGGGGCCACCTCCACCTGCCTGCTGGGGTCTATGAGGTCCCCTACTTTGGGTACCTCTGGTTGCCTCTGGGGAGAGAGGCTAACCTCCTTTTGTTGGAGACTTATTTTCCTTGCTTTAGTCAGCAGGAACTCTTGGTCCCTCTTCGCTTGTCTTTTGACAGTCACCTGGTTCCAGATCGCCTGGAAGGTATCCATGGACACATCAGGGCCACACCAGGCCACTCACTGCCTCACCTCAGCCAGCAATTTTTTTCAAGAGTCAGGGTATGCCATACTTGCCTGCTACATGTCAATGAACACCTCTGCTTCCAGGGGCGCTGCACAAATGCTAGCGTTGCCCTAACTATGATCAACACGTTACCGGTGTCTCCAGGATGCTTCTCCTCACACTAGGACACAATCCCACTGCTGCCACCAAATGCAAATGTGACGGACCGCCTGGCACTCCGACCGAGTGCCTCTGCCAAGTGATGCTCCTAGTGCTCACCGAGGAATTCCAGCACTCCACCAGACACCATAAGCACTGCAGACCCCACTTACAGTGATGCAGCTGCACCAGGGTCTTGCCGTCCTTCACCCACCCTGGACCCAAGACCAGGATCCAGCTTCCAGTGGGCAGACCTCTCCTACTCCCAGAGAGCGTGGCAGGAACCGCTCTTATAAGAGCTAGTGATTATAATTCCTTGGGAGTATAGTGATATAGCAATCCCCAGGATAGATACAGTCGTTTCCCCCACACATGAGATGAGACTCTTTGTTGAGGGTAAGCAGGAACAGAATTTTAATGGAGGCACACCGGCCTTTTATGCAAGTTTCTCAACAAGGGTGACACCCAGATGAACCTTGTTGGGCACAGGGACACAAAGTATACAAACCAATGAAAACAGAGTCATACAGTGAGACACTCCCAAACACAAACAATAGAATCCCTCATCTGTCCTTGGGAAATAATTGAATCAGGAACTGTACTAATCTAACCCAATTATCTCCAAACACAGAAAAAACATACAATTTAATGAAACCCCAAAAGTACCATAAAAACACTCAAAACTCCATGTTGAAGCAGCTGTGACCCAAGTATCTAATGATCTTATCACTGCAAATCCCATGGTCACTATTCTATCCTAATTCTCCTTTCTGCTGCTTTTGACACTGTTGATCATGTTCTAAATTACATTTTAGATGCATAAATTGTTCTTAGTAAGTCACCTAAAAAATCTCAGAATATCCTGCCCTCTGAATACTCCCTTATTATGAAAGTGTCCCTCTTTGTCCATTTCAAATGTTAGCAGCTACGCATTCACAATGAGTGTTCAGTCAGAGAGGTTCTCCAATAAAATCATGACAAATGAAGGAAATATTGGAATAAGTATTTCATATGAAATCATAATAGTAGGAAATGGAAAGTAGAGACTTTTCACAGAGCATCGATAAATTCAGTATATTTTCAGTGTTTGATCTGACTTCCATTTACATCAAAACCATTTGTGTGCTTACTGTTTGTGTGCAACAGTACTATATTGAAATGTGTGACAATTCCTTCTGCTACTACTCATTACTGTTTGAAGAATAGTACTAGCTGCAACTCTTATCGGGGGTATTCACTAAAGTGAGAATTCAAAGTGAATTTGAAGTGAATTTCACATTTAAGGCCAGAGAAGCTGAATGGAAAGCATTGCTGACGAGATAATTTTTCCAATTAGGCTATTTTGACCTTGAATTCACATATTTTACTATTAATATAAAGTCATTATTTCATTAATGGCATGGAGGCACCATTTATGATATTCTTTTTCTTTAAAAGAGAAGAATGAGAGAAAAACACATGAAAGTGTTAACTAAATATGCTTAAAGGGACACTATAGCGCTGAGGTCACTTGGCTCTGGCTCCATCTCTGCCTACTCCGATGACATCCTGAGGGATAGCCTGTATTATCACATCTAGTGTAGAACCACACTAGATGTGTTTCACACGTCCATGTGTGAGAGCCATCATATCAACGCTTACTTAGCCTCTGATACAGTCTCATTCATATGTCGGGCCAAGAGGTAAGAAGCTTTAAGGCGCTGATAATGTAATGGCCTCAGGAAAATCATTTGTATTGTCGTGGTCAGATCATGCGAGTAAGATGTCTGAGTGACAAAAAGTCTCATAGAAGGAGGCATCTTATTTCTTTCTTGATCGATTTGACTTTGCAAGGTTTGTTGAAAGGCATCTACCAGAAATTCCAGAAACTCGATGGTCTGTGGTGGTTTCAGCTTTTTCCCAATTTATAAGGACACCACGATTCTGTAGAAGCCATGTCATTCAAGACAGGTGTGTACATAGGAGGGGCACATCGTCAATATAAATAATAAAAGCAGACCCTTCAACAACCACCGATTTCATGATCTTGATGAAGAAAGGCTGAAAGGTAACCAAGTGAATCTCTACTTTGTATACTCTGGAGCAAATTTCTGCAATTGTGCATGATGGGAATCATCCAATAAGCATCCATGAGCTCTAGTCCGACCATCCAATCTGACTGTTAAAAAAGATCCCGTAGGCAATGAATGCCATCAATCTTGAACTGTTGTTAGTGAAAGAATGAAATCAAAGAGTTCAAATTGCTCTCAGGGTGAACTAGGCCGCTTTTTTCCAGAACCTGAAAAAGGTTGCTAATGAATTCTGTGTTGTCCCAAGGGATTTCCTTGATGGAAATCCATAACCTAAATTTTCAGTGAAAATCTGTTTCTAATTGTGCTGGGAAACCATTAACTCTTGAGTAGGAAAGACCAGCAAGGGGAAGCAAGCTATATTCTCGAACCATCTGCAAAACCCACAGATCTGAGATTATTAAAGGCTATACATAAGCAAAATGAGCTAGTCTTTCCCTTACGTCTAGATGGGAAGAAAGAGGAGTTTGAGAACTTACCATAGGGTCTCTTTCAGGGAAATGTGCCACATGTACCTCGAGAAGCCAAGGGTCTTCACTAAGAGGGGAAAAATACTAGTTTCTAGTCTGTGTTTGTGGCACCTGTGAAGGAGACTCCATTCTGTCGATAGGAAATGCGGGAACCATGGCTTGATAGATGACTCCTTACTTATCCTGCCCCTACAAAAACCTTGGGTGTAAACTCCCATTTCATAAAACTGTGACCCTTGTCCAAAGCCATAAAGGTTGTAACAAAGTCACCCAAATCTGCACAAAGGGCTCGCTTTGTTTAAGGCCATACTGAACAAATAAGGTTCTATTTTCAGCAAAATAGTTTTTTTTTTGTTATGTGACCATGGCTGTATTACCATTGCTCAGCATACATATGATACACTGCATCCAAAATTTGGTGATATTATAATAAAATGTTTGCAACCCTAATTGAGCTTCCTTAATAAGCTCATACAGTTTAGTTACAGGACCCAGAGAAACCAGGAGTTTATCCTTGTCATTCTTGAGGGAAAACTCGAGGCCCCCCAAGGCTGGGTTTTTCTGTCAGTTTTTCTCAAGAATTGGGTGATATTGGGTTCCACCTCTGGCATCTTCCAAACTTGGTGTGGGACAATAGGCAATGTACACTCAGCTTTTAAATTATTGCTTTTTTAAAATTTGGATAATAACTTGCGAAAGGCCAGATACCACACAGTATGCTCTGGAGGCTACATCCCCGCTGTACATGGATGGAGTAGGTCATCAGAATTAAAACGGTGTAGCACCCTGTGGGTCCACCAGACCACCACCCACATCACCAGGAGAAACCACAAAAACAGGGTCAGACTTACCAAAAGGATGAAAGACATACTTGGTGGTCGTATCTGATTTCTCAGAAGCTGCCACTCCATATGAGTCTAAATAAGACTGTCCAAGCACATTATCCTCACTGATGTCTGACAACTCTCCAAGGGCATGTACTCGAGAGCTTTGGTGGGAATGCACCATCTTTGACAGCATTAAACCTGTCCATCTACACAGGGGTCTGCCTTTCATTATTAGTGAGGCAGAAGTATGTTTAGGTTTAACTTGCCTTGCACCTTACAGTCTGAATGTTCAGGTTCAGACACAGTCACAATGGGAGAATGGTAAGTGGGTGGAGCCTCCTGATTGGGGTGCATGAACAGCTGAACAATTGAGTAGTAGATGGGAAAGGACATAGTCCCCATAACTAAGTCTTAATGATGGTCAATGAAACCTGGAACTCCTCAGATGCCAGAGGAGTAACTTCATTCTCAGATCCAGGGGTAAAGGAACCCATCAAAGCAAAAACAAGTGAGCTGGAAGAGGCCGCTGTCATCACCAGCCTTTATGCACGGATTCCAAATCTCGCAAGGCCCAAAAAATGCACCGAAATGCAGCCACCAAAATTGACAGCTGTGAGCATACATGTGGGGCAGAACAAAATTAAAATGTCTGCCAAATTCGCACCTGTGTGCTGGCTTGAGCTGAGCTCCAGGCATCTGAGAATAGGAGGGAGAGCAGCTGACCCACAAGAGCCTCCACTTCAGCCAATTTTCTGCAGACCCTACTAAATGAAAGGGGAAAAAAGGGAGAAACAAGGCGCAGAGGTATGAAACCAGAAAAAAAACACTCTCACAAGTAGAATTGGAGAAACCAAGACAAGAGGAGATAATACTAAAACATAAGGATATCAATCCAACAATAAAGGTTAAAGATGAAAAGGAATGATACTTATCTGAGGGAGCACCAGAAGAAATAGGAGTTGCTGCAATTGTGTTATGCCTTTTATAGACCATGTTTGTTTGTGATTGGTTGATGTGTTTCCAAGCACATTTAGTTAACACTTTAAGTGTTTTTTTTCTTTGCTGCTGAAGGAAATAATGAAAGAAAATAGCATAATTGGAGCCCTCTGTGTTTTAATAAAATTTGAAATTCACTTTGAATTCACCTACAATTCTTACTTTAGTGAATAACCCTGTTAGACAATCCTTTAATGTTGACATCTGCAAGGGATAACAGAAGTATTTGTTGTTTTTTTTTCTAATGTGTAAAGCTAACCAATGTCAAGAGAAGACCGGGAAGCACAGGAGGATGAATTACTGGCTCTCGCTAATATTTTTCCCAAAGATGAATTTAGGAGAGCAGAATCTTTGAAGGGAGGGGAAATCCAAGTGTGCCTTGAGTTACCATCTAACTTTGAAATATCTATCAAAAGTGAGTGAGTGTTTGTATTGGTGTTTTCTTACTAATGAGCAGAGCAGAGCCTTTTGTAGATTAAGACATTTGTAGGTCATCCAATTCATATAGACTGGTTAAAGAAAAAGATAGTTTAAAGTCACTTGATATATATAGGCTATATGTAGACATTTGCAGGCTGCTTAATATACATAGCTTCAGGGTAGACCTTTGTGGGTCACTTAATATGTGCTAGATCATGTACACGCTTGACAAAATGATGCTCAGAAAATAAGGAATATTTTCCTTTATGTGATTCTGACACACTGCATGTGCAGTTTTAAAGATGAGCTGTGACAATTACTCAGTTATTCACCATAGTAAATGCTTTTGATGTAAGGAGTTCCATTGTGCTGTGTGTTCTCATGTACCCACCTAGAGCTTATGCACAGTGCCATGGTAGTTAATATATGTATATATAAATATATATATATATATATATATATATACACACACACACACACACACATATGCACTGATTAGCCACAACATTAAAATCAGTGACAGGTAAAGTGAATAGTATTATATGGTTACAATGGCACCTCTCAAGGAGTAGGATATATTTAGCAGCAAGTGAACAGTCAGTTCTTGAATTTCATGGGAAAATGGGATGGGAGTGCAGGCAAAATGGGCATGCGAGATCTGACTAAGGCCAAATAGTGATGGCTAGACGACTAGGTTAGAGCATCTCCAAAACGGCAATCTTGTGTGGTGTTCCTGGTATGAAGTGGTTAGTACTTACCAAAGTGGTGAAAGGAAGGAAAACCGGTGAACTGGCATCAGGGTCATGGGTCCCTAAGGCTCATGGATGCCGTCTGGTCTGATCGCACAGAAGAGCTAATGTAGCTCAAATTACTGTAAAACGTAATGCTGGCCAAGACAGAAAGGTGTCAGAACATACAGATCATTGCAGTTTCCTCCATATGGGGCTGCAGACTAGTCAGAGTGCCCATGATGACCCCTGTCCACCTCTGAACGTGACTTCAATGGGGACATGAGCATCAGAACAGGACCATCGAGCAATGGAAGAAAGTTGCCAGGTCTGATAAATCATGTTTTCTTTTATTTCAGGTGGATAGCTGTGTGTGCATCGTTTACTTTGGGAAGAGGTGGCAGCACATTATGCCGCATTGACCAAAGAAGCACCACTAGTAGCAGTCCAAGTGACTCCCACAAGAGGTGTCCCTAGACAGCAATGTCTGAAAAGACAGTGTTTACATTATAATGCCCAAAGGACAGGTTATAGACACCAGAATAACTACATTAAGCTGTAGTTGTTCTGGTGACTACAGCATCCCTTAAACACCATGAGGCCTTTTGATGGTCAGACGTGTTTTGAACATGTTAATGATCTTACACTGTGAAATCTGATCTATTCACAACTAGTTATATATACACAGTTGCCATCACTGGGAACATAAGATGGGAACTTCCAGTAGATCCACGGACGGTCTTCATCCAAGTTTATTTTCTGTCCTTTTTCCAGGTAACACCGCAGAAAATATTTTCATTGAGAACTTTAAGGACACACTTTCTTACCTACCACCAGTTGTGCTGAATTTTGAATTTCCTTCAGATTATCCATCAACCTCGCCTCCGAACTTCACACTCAGCTGCAAGTGGCTCATACCCAAGCAGGTTAATTAGATTTATTTGCAATTTGCAACAGTGTTATAGAATGTAATATTTATTTACTCTCCCTTATAAAGTATTATTCAGTGGCACCACACAAAATGTTTTTTGTGGAAAACATTTTAATCTGAAGAAGAATCTCAGTAGGTCGTCAGTGTAGATCTATGAAATAAAATTTAAATTCATAAGCCTTTTAGAAACATATTTCCCAATATGCATCGGAAATACTATTTATAAGTTGTTTAATAAATCTATATTCCACCTTGCATCAGACTCTCAGACCTTTTCTGATTGTTTGTTTTTTTACTTTGTTTCAGCTTGTGAGACTTTGTCAGCACTTAGATGAACTCTGGAAGGAGAATGCAGGATGTGTTGTTCTGTTTGCCTGGACACACTTTCTAAAGAAGGAGACTTTCAAGTACTTAAGTATCCAATCACCTTATGAGATTGAAGTGTGTCCCAATGTGTCACAGAATGGGATTCACCCACCTGGAGAAACCGATCTCTGCAGCAATGCAGAATCACAAGAGGATTGGGTCTATGACAAGAGGGTCATACAGGATGTGGTGTCTGTGTCTGCCCTGATAAATTGCATCTTGGAATTCAATGAGTCTCAGCAAAAGAAATGCTTTGATAGCAAATTGTACATGTGCAATATCTGTTTCTCAGAAAAGCTGGGCAGCGAGTGCACAAATTTTAAACTTTGCAATCATGTCTACTGCAACATTTGCCTCAAAGATTACTTTGAAATAAAAATCAAAGATGGCCAAGTCCACTCTCTGAACTGTCCAGAACCAGAGTGCTCCTCCACAGCAACACCTGCTCAGGTAACCCCAAAGTTTTTATATTATATTTACCATGCACCACAGTTATTTTTTTTTTGTGCTGTTCTTGAATTTGCTAGTTGCCCTTTGTTATATCATTCTTAGAATGGGGTACATTTACCTTTTTACCAACCAATGTATTGGATATGTAAACGTCTTCTGTGATAAAAAAATGATGGAGACGTTTTCAAGATCAGAAACAGAATGTTGTTTTGGTATCATGATCATATAAGGCCTCATTTATCATCTCAAAACACAGATACATGTGTAACTTTGGATCTCTATGGAGACTCAGTCTTGGTTGAGAGGTCAACTTTAAAAGTAAGATCAGCATACAGTTTTTTTTACCAAGTAATAAGGAGTCACCAATGCAATTTATATTCCATGTGGATTATAATGTAATATAGTGTACTTACCATGCTTATTTTTCTCTGCCTGGGGGACTGCATATCTTCACTTAGCATTATCTTATATGGCCATAGCATGAATAGCCTGCTCTTACACCTTGGACGGTTACCATATCTTGTATACCATTGTGCACAGTTTTCCATTAATTCATTATGTATATTGGTGTACAGTTGCCTACTGCAGTGGGACAGAGCAACACAAATTGGTTTTGTACAAATATTAGAGTGATTGTTTAATTCGCAGACTCTTACCAAAAAGCATCAGGATTCAGCATATCTTAAACAATGAATTAAGTTATTTAACTACCTAGGACATTTAAAATGTTGGAAAGTAGCTGTACATCTATAAACATGAACATATGCAACAGATTCAAATGTTCCTCATGTTGTCAAAGTTTACACATTTAGTACATGTACAACTTTTACACCATTACACCATTCATTTTTCCCATCGAACTCTTTGACGTAGTGTACCAACATTGTGAAACCCCCAAAAAATATTTAGAACCGTAGCAAAAACCTTTTAATTAAGAGACCGAAATGTTTGCCTTTTTTTGCAAATTTCTACAGATAGAAGCACACCTGCTCTTACTCTGTTAACACCGTTAGGGCGTTCTATGCCGTCCTCAGTATAATGGGCTTTAAAGCTGTTACGGCGACATGGAACGCCCTAACAGCTTTTAGTCCCAGGAGCTGAAATATACTCACATGCGCACACTGGTCAAAGTTACCATATACAACATCGTTTAACATGTACAAGTGATTTTGTGGTTTACAAATTGTTGTGTCCCTGTTGTCTGGGCTATATTGAGAAGACCGATTTACCATTGAGAGAACAAATCAGAAATCATAGGTCGAGTATCAGGACTGCATACAGGGACAACAAGCCTGAACTACCGGTGGCGAAGCACTTTTTAGAATTGGAGCATACTCTACCATCTATGAAGTTGATGGGTATTGACCATGTTTCTCTACCCAGGAGAGGTGGTAACAGCAGGGAGCTGCTCTGGATCAGAACATTAAAAAACTGTTCACCCTGATGGGTTGAACAAAAAGTATTCGTTGTCTGCTTTTCTATAACTTGGTTTGGAGCCAGATATAGGTTGCACATAACGTGATGTATACTGGAGTGGGGAATTGGTGCTCACTCTTTGGGTTAAGCTACCATCCCTTTGGCCCAGTTAGGTGATGGCTAACTCCATGGGTGCATTAATTACCTGTTGGTTCGTTGTTGGATATATTTATATATTATCTGGAGTGGGGTGATTGGTGCCCAACCGTTTGGGTTAGGCTACTGTCCCTAGAACTCAGTGTGATTATTATCCAACAGGGTTTTTTTTGACTCCACTATTATGTCATTAACTTTCAGGTTTAATGCATGGACAACGTTGGAATCTGTTGTAACCAATTAAGTTGGCACAAATGTGCCATCAGTGTGTGCATGCACCCACTGTGCCCCAGTAGATGATGGCTCAATATGAAAGTGACTTGTATTTGTAGATATGTATATATATATATTTTTTTTAACAGCTTTATGATATGTACTAGACTGTGTTAACTTCCATCCCTAATACCCATAGGATAATTGTCCTTCTGTGTTCTTGAAAGAGTTTTTTTTTCCACTCATTTTATACCTATAGTTAATGTGTTTTGTCTTACAAGGTAATAAGCATTAAAATATATCAATTTAAGTTTGTTTGATGGGTATCCTTTTAATTCTTTATGGATACCACGGTCATTTGAAATACCCCTAGTTTTATATCATTGGGTATAAGTGAATCATGGGTCCATTCTGTGACATATAATTACTAAATACTCTTTAATAGGTTTTTGTTGGCAAGATATTCCTTTGTGCCATAGTTGTTTTTTTTTGGGGGGGAAACAGCATTGAACCCCTTTGTAAGACATAGTTTGTCCCCTTGCTCTTAATTAATCATTTTGTGGAACACCTTATGGTGTTTGCTAAGGCATTCTTGTAGTCTCCTCTTTTTTATACTCTCTCCTTCTTATATACGCTCTCTATATATTCATTTTTCATTTTTTTTTGGGATCTAGACTATATATGGGTGATTTCTTCAAAGGATTGTTATAGATAAGTATTGTACATAGGATATTGGTTTATAGATATTATCATTGTTACTTTGCATTCTCGGGTACTGTGTAATTTTGTATATTTGCATATATATTGTGGTGGAAGTTGTTTCCATAACAACCATTTCCTAATTTGCACATTGAACGGTTGCTTGCGCGATGAGGTAATGACGTCAACGTTACGTGATTCAGGTGGTGGGTAAGTTAATTGTTTTTGTGTTTGGGGGTATATAGGAAAGCATTTGTACTGTGTTGGTCAGGCTTGATGAAAGTTTGTGGATAACAAACTGAAACGTTTATTTTTATTTAAAACTAATTAAAAGCAAAATTTTACTTTGCAACAAGTCCTGGGAGTGCTATCTGGATTATTCTCTTTGTATTTTGCTTGACAAGCACCGGGCAAGTATTTAAAGGATATATGGAGTGCAGGATTCTTTTTCTTTATATATATATATATATATATATATATATATATAGTGTATTTTTATATTGATAGTTATATATATCAATATCAAAATACACTTAATATGGAGTTACATATATATATATATATTAATAAAATTATAATAATAATACATAAAATTAATTAATATAATAATAAAAAATGTAATATATATATATATATATATGCAATTTTATTCTAAAAGTGTTTTGATATTAATATATATATATATATATAATCAAAATAAACTTAGAAATTATATATATACATAGCTATATGTATATAAAAATAAATAAAGAATATATACATATAAATAGATATAATTACATAAGTATAAACATTGGATTTAAATACACATATATGCATATCTATTTAAATTCTATGTGTATATTTATAATTTGAGAGACGAGCCTGACAATCAAGACAGCAAGCACAGAAAATGTAATTTGCAAGTCCTATGTTTATCCCTGTAACTTTCCAAATCCCCATAAAGCTTGGAAATGGGAGGTACTATTGTACCTGGGAGACTTCGCTGAACACAAATATGAGTTTTTCAAAACAGTAAAACTTATCACGACAATAATATCACCAGAAAAAATGGAGTTTTCATGTAAAAAAATGCAAAACACAAATATGACCGCTAGCATTGGCCAGTTACTTTTTTCCTTTGGATTTTACTATATGTATTGGAGTTGATGTGTCCTGTGGTCGTTGCTTCCGCCTTTTCTTTTTGTATTTGTATTCACTTTTTGTATCACACAGCTAGGTTACAATGCTGCCGCCCATCCCATGTGTTCCCTATTAGGGGTTAATAAGTATATAGGGGTGTATTTAGAGAAAATACCAATTTCTGTCTCATTAGAGATATCTTTGCCAGAAGTTCAAGGAAGCAAGATGAAGGGTCAAAGTAGGACCCGTCTAGGGGGGTCTGCCTTGACGTTGGCAGGCGAGCATTCCCTCCAGTGGCCATTGGAGTAACTAAATTACCTCCATTTGTTTAAATATGTATAGGGATTAAGGAGAGAGCGCAGGTAACTTTTTTCCTTTGGTTTTAACTATATGTATTGGAGCTGATGTGTACTGTGGTTGTTGATGCCGCCCAGGAGTGATGGGAGTGAGCGCAGGACTCTTCTTTTTGTATTTGTCTATGTTTTGTTTTGATCACAACCTGTACAATCGGCTCTGTCCTTAAAGGACCACTATAGTGCCAGGAAAACATACTCTTTTTCCTTGCACTATAGTGCCCTGAGGGTGCCACACCCTCAGGGTCCCCCTCCCGCCGGTCTCTTGGGTGGAAGGGGTTAAACTTACCTCTTTCTCCAGCGCCAGGCAAGGAGCTCTCCTCCTCCTCTCCTCCCTCTTCTCCTCCTCTTCGGCTGAATGCGCATGTGCGGCAGGAGCCACGCGCACATTCAGCCAGTCCATAGGAAAGCATTCACAATGCTTTCCTATGGACGCTGGCGTCTTCTCACTGTGATTTTCACAGTAAGAAGCACGCAAGCACCTCTAGCGGCTGTCAAGAGACAGCCACTGGAGGCTGGAATAACCCTATTATAAACACAGATATAACACAGATATGTTTATAAAAAAAAAGGTTTAACCCTAGCTGGACCTGGCACCCAGACCACTTCATTAAGCTGAAGTAGTCTGGGATTCCTATAGTGGTCCTTTAAGGGGTTACGCACTACAATCTGTTTCTCCAGCGCTGGGCGGGGAGCTCTCCTCCTCTTCGGCTGAATGCGCATGCGCGGCAGGAGCCACGCGCGCATTCAGCCACGCGCGCATTCAGCCACGCGCGCATTCAGCCAGTCCATAGGAAAGCATTCACAATGCTTTCCTATGGACGCTGGCGTCTTCTCACTGTGATTTTCACAGTGAGAAGCACGTAAGCGCCTCTAGCGGCTGTCAAGAGACAGCCACTGGAGGCTGGATTAACCCTATTATAAACATAGCAGTAGTACGCTAGTACCATTAGTACCAGTAGTACGCACTGTAGTAGTTGTGATACTTAGATTGTCTTGTGAATTATTTGACTGTCTAGTACATTTATCTTAAAGCACATTCTGATACATATTGGTACATATTTGCAGCAGTGGTGGCTGATGAAGTTCTCTGAAGTGGTGGCTGATGAAGTTCTCTGAAACTGCTATGTTTATAAAAAAAAGGGTTAACCCAAGCTGGACCTGGCACCCAGACCACTTCACTAAGCTGAAGTGGTCTGGGTGCCTATAGTGGTCCTTTAAGGGGTTACGCACTACAATCTGTTTACTCTGTGTAGAGTTGGTATTTGTATATCATTTTAGCATTTGAATACAGGCATGTGTTTGTATGTTATGCTTGCATTCACGTGCAGTGATGTGTTTTGATGTAGTTTGTGTTTGAGTGTCTGTATATAACTTTAGAGTTGGAGTTCAGGGGTGTCTTAGTATGTCATGTTTGTATTTGCAAGGTGTGTTTGCATGTTGCGTTGGTGTTTGATTGCTGGGATGTCTGCACATACACACACAGATATACATAAACATTTACAAACATAAACACACATAGAAAAACACTGACACACACACACAGTCGTATACCCACGCACATACACACACTGACATATATACACACTGGCACATACAGATACACTGGCATATACATTACCACACCAATACAAACACTAGCACATACACACACACACATAGATACACACTGGCAGATTGACACACAGATACATACTGGCAGATACACACACACTGGCACATACACACAGGTACACACACTCAGATATACACACACTAATACACAGGTACACACACTCAGATACATACACTGTCACTCATATGCACTCACTGGCACATACATTGACACTCAGATACATACTGGCACATACACACACACACATTGACACATACACACTCAGATACACTGACACACACACACTGGCATATACACACTCAGATACACACACTGGCATATACACACACACAGATACACACAATGGCACATACATACAGATATACTCATTGTCACAAAAATACACACACTGACACAAATATACACACTCAATTCACAAAGTTTATATTTGCAGCCACCCTCCTGTTAGGTTACCTTTTCTCGGCAGGATGGTTGCTTGCTTGGATTGCTGCTATCTGGTGTGCTGCTGCTGCCTCTCTCTGTCCTACTCAGCACGCTCTATGTCTGGAAGGACACTTCCTCCCAGCATCCGATACCCCTGTTTAGCAATACTGATTGGGTGGCCCCAAGTGCTTGGACCATTCGATGGGCAAATTAAGGTGGAACCTCAATTTTGTTCTCGCAGAACCCTAGTGTTCCGTGGAACACCAATTGGGAAATGCTGATTTAGACTATTTGTTTTCTATTAGAGTTGGTATTTGTATATCATTTTAGCATTTGAATACAGGGGTGTGTTTGTATCTAATGCTTACATTCACATGCAGTGATGTGTTTTGACGTAGTTTGTGTTTGAGTGTCCTTTATGTTGTTAGAATAATGAAAATAATCACCTTTGCCTCTTTGCGTGTAGGTTAAGGAACTGGTAGAAGAAGAGTTGTTCAGCCGTTATGATCGTCTTCTCCTGCAGTCCAGCTTAGATCTCATGCCAGATGTTGTGTACTGTCCTCGTACATGTTGTCGGACACCAGTCATGCAGGAGCTGGACAACACTATGGGTATTTGCTCCTGTTGCCATTATGCCTTCTGCACTCTCTGTAAATTGGCCTACCATGGAATTTCACCATGTAGAGTAACAACAGGTAAGCTAATTATGTTTGAGCATTTTTGCTCTTAGATTTACACCCCTTTTGCAGATGCCGAGGGTTAGCTGGGTCTCCATATACACTAACTGTGGCCACTGAGGAATTTATCAACTAAACTTTCGAACAGTGTCTTGGAATCCTAGACAATGTCAGAGTACCAGGCGACCTTTTGACATGTATAATCATGACTTCACTTATTAGTCAAGACAAATTATGAATCTCCTAAATTTTAACTGATGGCTCACAGCCAATAATGTGTGTCCAAACTTTGTATGATTTTCTATGATAATACAGTATTAACTTTCATTTTAGCATATCAGCACAGACCAGAAGCATTATGGACACCTGTCAAAGCCATTTTAGTGTCAAACCATTTGTAAACAGTTATGACAATTTTCATTAAACAGTACCAGGGGGTGCCTGGCTCCATAACCAGTAGTACGCACTGTAGTAGTTGTGATACTTAGATTGTCTTGTGAATTATTTGACTGTCTAGTACATTTATCTTAAAGCACATTCTGATACATATTGGTACATATCTGCAGCAGTGGTGGCTGATGAAGTTTAACGATGGTGTGATGCTTAAGTCTATTCCTTGAATTTGACTCTGCCCCTGATCTGTTGGTTTCTTACCCACTAAACCACATGGACTGTACCCTCGACCAAGGCTTATGGTAGCACCGCTCAAAACAATATTAATAATTTAATTTACTAATTATGTGAGTTTATTCACTATACTCAGCATTGTATTTAATTTAAAGATGCTTAATTGAAACTAAAACTGGAAAGGTCAGTCTTAAAGGACTCACAAGGTCTACGTTTTAGTGGGGCAGGTTGCTTCATTTTGTAACACATCAGCTGAGGCAATCCAGAGTGACCTATAGATTGATGTCTACTAGATCTCTGATTGTGGCCCAACACAGGACTGCCCACAAGTTTTCCTCTACTACAGAGGCTTCATCATCCCTACAAGCAATAGGACTTCCTTTACTGACCACTGGAATGTCTAGACACCATACTTCTTTTCCTTGGAAATCCAACCTTGTGGTTCCTTTTATTTCAAGGTAAAGAGTGGAAATCAACCTTGGAGATTGGAGTGGTGTTGTTCAGGGAATCGCATGGTGGTGTATTTGTTGTCTTTTCTGTTGTATTTTTCACACCTTTCTTTTTGCCAATATGTTTTACTTACATGACACAAGTTTGCTAGGTCTCAATGCACCATGGTGCAATGTTTTAGTCTGATATCCTCACTATAACTGGTGAGATTGTCTCTCCCGCATCCTCCCGAACTGTCAGTTAGGGGTACCTCCCTCTCAGATGTGCTTCTCGTGGTTATTTTTGAATGAGCGATAATAGATAATTTTTTTTTTTATACTAGCCATTACGATCAACATACATTACTTTTATTACTGTTAGCCTCATAAATATTAGTTAGATACTCATGTTATGACATAATCTACAAAAGGAATATAGAACTCAGGGCATGTGTAGCCATGTCTGATTAACAGGTACAATGTAAGCCTATCAGTTTCCATGTTTATCACATTTATCATTGTGTCTTATTTCTTTTATTCCATTTATATTTTTTTGGGCACATCTCATAACGATTGTTTTATCTTACATGACTCAAAGTTCTGTATTTTAGTCATATCCATATCACTCAATTGCCTCTTTTCCTATTATAAAACAAAAAAGAAGTATGGTTTCAGTAGGCCAATCAGTTGTTTGCAATAGTCTTACAGGGGCGGGCTGGGCCGGGGGGCAGGGAGGCAATTGCCCCCCAGGCCGCCCTAAATTCCGGGCCGGCCCTTTAAATACTGCAGCCGCCTGAGCGCTCTGTTAAGAGCCTCAGGCGGCTGCAGCTTCTCCCCTCCCCTCCCTCCCCTGTAGCGTGGCCGAGCTGCACTCCGGTCCGCGGTGGCCGGCCGGAGTGATAGGAGGGTGCACACTGAGTGTGCACTTCCTGTCAGTCCGGCCGGTTACAGGAAACAGAAACTCCTGTTCCGCGCGGAGTTTCTGTTTCCTGTTACCGACCGGACTGACAGGAAGTGCACACTGAGTGTGCACCTTCCTATCACTCCGGCGAACAGAGGGAGGAGGGAGGGTAAGAAGAGAGGAGAATAAGAAGGGGATAAGAAGAGGAGGGATAAAGGGGAGAAGGGAGGGAATAAGAAGAAAGGGGAGGGATAAAAGGGAATATAAGAAGAAGAGGAGGGAGGAATAAGAAAGGGGAGGGAATAAGAAGAGGGGAGGGAGTAAGAAAAGGGGAGGGGGAGTAAGAAGGAGGGGGTATAAGAAAAAAGAGGGGGTAAGAAAAGGGGTGAGTAAGAAAGATGGGGAAGTAAGAAGAAGAAGGAGGAGGGAGTAAGAAGAAGAAGAGGGGGTAAGAAGAAGAAGAAGGGTGAGTAAGAAAAGAGTGGGGAGTAAGAAGAAGAAGAGGGGAGTAAGAAGAAGAAGAGGGGGTAAGAAGAAGGGTGAGTATGAAGAAATGGGGGGAGTAAGAAGAAGAAGGGGGAGGAAGAGGAAGAAGAAGAAGGGGGGTTAAGAAGAACAGGTGGGGGAGTAAGACGACCAAGGGGGGAAGTATGAAGAACACAGGGAGGAGGGGGTAAGACGAACACAGGGGGTGTGAGGAGAACACATAGAGGGAGGAGTGAGAAGAGCACAGGGAGGGTGGGTGAGTGTGAGAAGAGACCGCTAGGGGAGGGTGGGGGAGAGGAGAGACCACTAAGGTGCAGGGGAGAGCTCTACGGGACAGAAGGGGCAGCTCTATAGGACAGGGGCCAAGACAGGGAGCTCTTTCACACTACGCGCGCGCACACACACACATCCCTATACATACACAGAAACACAACATGCTTCCCTTACACACAGAGAAACACACAATGCATCCATTACACACACACACACAATGCAACCCTTACACACAAAGACAATGCATCCTTTGCACACATACACAGAAACAGACAATGCAAACCCGTACACACACATGCAAACACACACACTTCTTTTCTTACATACACACAGAAACACAATGCATCTCATGCACACACATACAGACACACACCTTGCATCCCTTATGCATACAAACACAGATTCACACAATGCATCCCTTACACACAACCAGAAACACATAATACATCCCTTATACACAAATACACACTGCTTCCACTACACACAAACACACTACATCACCTGCACAAACTGGTAACCCTATACACTACATACCATAAGCACACATATTAGATCCTCTACAATAACACATAACACATCCCCTACACACTCCACTCCCTGTGAGCGAACTCATGGGTGGGTGGAACTTATGAGTGGGCCTTATGGGCATACTCACCGTCAGGCCCTGGGGCCCAGACCTTGAGCTGTGTAAGGGGCCCCAAAAAATGGAGCTGCTTCCAATTCTCCCAGAACATTGAATTTTGTGACCACAGCTGCAAACAGCCTCCAGAGATCCTGTTCTACACCAGACCAGTGGAGCCAAACTGCAGCCCATCATCATCCTCATCTGCTTGTAAGTAGGCAATCTAGTATATTATTAGTGACACTAATCTATAATGTACCTCACATTAAAGGGACACTATAGCTTAATGAAGTGGTTCTGGTGTCTATAGCTGGTCCCTGCAGGCTTTTTAATGTAAACACACACTGTGTGCAGCACTGGCGTTAGTTCATATGGGTGGGGCATTGTGATGTCACATGGGGGGGCAGCAAATTTTTATTTTGTCTAGGGCGGCAAAAATCCTTGCACCGGCACTGATCCTGGGCAGGTGCACCAGTCTACTGGTGACCCACAGGAGGGGAGTGCACTGATTGCACTGCACTCTCCTCCTGTCCAGCCCCATCTTTACCGCAGTGCAAGTGCCCTCTGCCCCTAATTTACAGTGGCTCACACTCACAACAAGCAGTGCCTGGAGCCGTGAAGGAGCGGGTATGGCAAAGAGCTACTGATTAGCATAACATCAATATCCGTTATAAAACCAGGAAAAGGTGGGCATGGATGGTGAACTGATTTGGTGGTGCAATGGGCCACTTCACTGGTTTTGCCCCCCAGGCCTAAGGCTGCCAGCCCTCCCCTGTTCGTTTGTGCCTGTTTTGTGGGGTTTTACCCCTGATATGTGCAGATTTGAGCAGGAGCTGAAGCTTGGTACAACCGCTCAGCCTGGCTGCTAGGCTCCGCCCCCCTATTCACAATGTATTTAGCCTTCTGTTTCACTAGATATACTTCTTGTTGCCATGGACAATATGTATTCATATGAACTTTTTTAATATTGATGCATCTTGCATTGCACTGGAGGAAGGACACTTAGATACGACGTCATGTAATACATGTAAAATTCCCAACCTGACAAGGAGGGAGTACGTCATCGAATGGTGCTGAAGAACAATTGGAATGCATAGTTGCGTTCCACTGACTTCGAAAAGCCCAGGAAAATTTGGACTAACATACTATTTAAACACAACTTATACTGACATTCCCTATCATGCACTTTCCAACTTAAGAAGCCAGAATTGGCAAAATGCATTTTGGATGCCCACTTATTGCAAGCACTTATACCCTGTTGGGTTTTTACTCTTGTTTTTATTCTCTATATTTTGACCCAATAAATAGTTTATATCTTTACAAAAAAGTGTCATATCATCTACTTGGAATCCATCTTCACACAGAGGGTGCTGAATCTCCCCCAAATGATACACAGGCGCTAAACACCAGAGCCAAGTGCATTCTCTTGGCTCCACCCTTGTGTGTGTTTCCAGTTACCTTTTTTTTAACCTTTATTATTATTATTATAATTGATCAGCACTATTGGTTTCTCTTATGTTCTTATATTTTTTGAATCTACATCTACTCCAATATACTTTGAATATACAAGTATGTATGCATGTTATATTTAGAATTGTGCTCCACCCCTCATTTGTGTTAGATCAGGAGCAGGAGCCAGCAGCTGCAGACTTGAATACAAGTGAAATTCTTCTATATGACATCAGAAGTGATTCTCACAGGAAAGGTAATTCCTGCAGGAAAGCATTGGATTTACTGAGATTGTCAGGGGAAAAGCCACCACATGTCAAACACAGTCCTGGCCAATCAGCATCTTCTCATACAGAGAGGCTGATTGAGAGATGCATTGAACCAATTAATCTCTACAAGGAAAGTTCAGTGCCTCCATGGAGAGCAGGGGTGTCCAACCCAGGGCCGGCATGCAGCATGCAGCCCAGGAGCACTAGTAGTGCAGCCGATTGCCGCCTGCGCTGCCGGTACACTGGGTGACGAAAGAGGCAGGGAGCCCACAACATTTTGTGCTCCTACACCCTGCAGTGAACTGGCTGCCGGGATATGACTTCCTCCCGGCACTGGCATCACAGCTGTGGGCGCAGGTGACCGGTGCAGGAAGAGCACAAAGGTCTCAGCCCAGCAGCAACCACCGGCCACAAGGGACAGATGATCCATTTCAGCCCTCCTATATAAAGGTTAGGGTAGGTAGACTAGGAGGCTAGGTGGACCTCTTTAGTACTAAATGTGTGTGTATGTGATTTTTGTGTATGTTTTGTCAGTGACTGTGTGTATGTGTGTGGTCTGGGGATATGTCTGTGATTGTGTGTATATGTTTCTGATTATGTGTGTGAGTCTGTGTATATCTGTGATTATGTGTGTGTTTAAGTTTGTGATTGTGTGTGTGGGTCTGTGATTATTTATTTGTATGTATGTGATTGTATGTATAGGTTTGTGATTTTACATGTGTGGATCTGATTGTATGTGTGTATGTATTGTGGCAGGATGGCCAGACTCTTAACCATAAACTTCAAATACGTCAGGATAAAATAGTATTAGCGTCAGGATAAAATAGTATTGCAGTTAATTTACACTTTCCACAGGGCATACAATGCTGTGTTTCACAGTAATAAAAAAAAAAAAGAAAAGAAATCCTACTACAACTTGGAGACTTACTAAACAATAGTATTCCTAACTATCCAACTGGCCAGCTAATCCAGTTCCCAGTTTTAAACAATTTAACCACAGCACCTTAGAGTCTCAGGCTTAACAGCCTCCTTTCTCCCAGCTGCTAGACTCTACCTTCAGAGGCTGACCTTTTAAACCACTAGTTAATTACATTCACCTGAAAGGGCTGACTTCCACCAATTAACCCTATCATGATGGGAATAGAGAGCGCTCCAATCTGTTACTTACATAGAAAGCCTCTCTGACCCTGCCACAGTATGTGATTTGAGTTTACAGGTCCTGATTTTATGTGTGTGGGGGTCTGTAATTGTGTGTGCGTATAGGTGTGTGATTTTGTGTGTATATGATTCTGTGTGTACAGGTATGTGATTATGTGTGTGTACACAGGCGAAAATGATTTTGGAGCCCCTCCCATCCAAGCATCTTCACCTGTGTGCCTCTTAACCCGCCTTTTGTTTCTTATCCCCTGTAACAAATGGAGGAGCCTAACCTGATTTATGGAGACGTTGTGCTAATATTCAGTTCGGGACATTTGAAGCATTCCCTATACGAATGCTAACTACCGAACACCGGGCCACCCTGTTTCATAATTATAGATCATTTACCTCCCTGATCCACAAGTACTTTCGTATAAAGAAACCCACGAACGCTGTGTGAAGTGCCTGGGTGGCCACCATTTCGGGACTTACGTGTTCGCGGCCATCTTAATTCCCGAATGTTTTGCCGTCGAGTGTCTGGAACTAAAATCAGACACTCAAGTAGGCGAACACCGCTGAGACCTCCATAGCACCGGGAAATCGTGCTACAACGATACCGTAGAGAGACCTCTAGCTTGGGATACTCCAGAAGCATTTGGGAGGGAAACTAGAAACCCTCCAAAAGTACCGGGAACTAGCAGACAGTGGGGGGATGAGCGAGAACGTTTTGTATAGGATAACGAAAGGCTGTACAGACTAACTGAAGGTAGGAAGAGAGGTTGTATCCCTTCGCAGAAGCGCCAACTAGTGGTACCCAGAAAGTACCGGTTGGAGCTTATGGGGATTCCAGCGAATGCTGGGTTACGCACGGATGGCAAGCTTTTTACGCACGAACTAAGACCGACCGCAAGGCCAGAATTCATGGAACTGTTTTCGGCTACCTTGCCCGTGCGGTCGGTCAAAACTTTCAAGCTCCATATCTCCCGAACGGCTGAACCGAATGAGCTGATTTTTTACTATGTTGGTCCCCCAGAACAGATTTATGCATGTACCCCAAGTATTTGGGGTACATCCGAACTTTGGGGAAAAATGTGTTAGTTTTAATTATGTTATTTGCTTATCTGAGGGGAGGAGATGTGTGGGATGTATATTATGTTTATTGGTTGTGCTGTTAATTATGTGGGTGTCTCCCTTGCATGGACAGAATCACATAAAAGGAGAGTGCCTGTCATTAAAAGCCTGTTCTTCTTGACCCTTCAAAACGTAGCCTTGTCTCGTTCTTGAAAGGGGATTCTGCAGCATAATCACTTAGCTCTTTTCAGAGCTCTACCTGACTTCTGCCTTGGATCCAGCGGATGGGAATAAGCGACTTCATCACTCTACAGCGACTTGCCGGGAAGAAAAGGACGTCCCCAACGGCTGATACCCTCACTCTTCCTGGGTAGCCGTTACATTGGTGGCAGCGGTGGGATGCTGGATGGAGTCTCAGTACACCAAACTGAAGAGACCTACCCTAAAGGATCTACTGGAGAGTCGGGGAAGGAGTGCCAGTAACAAGCCACGGAGAGAGCTGATAGCAGACCTGCTGGAATTGGACGAAATGGATCGGTACATGGAAGTGACCGAGCCACTTGCGCCAAGCAGCGAGGAGGACGAGGTCGCCTGCATTGTGCAGAGGAGATTAGCCAATGACATCAGTGGAGCTGATTGAGTGGCTGTTCCTCGATGTAAAAGCAGACATTCGGGAAAGGAGGGGGCACGAAATCGAACTGGTAAGAGCACAACAGCCCATTATACAGACAGTTCCTGCTCCCCCTCCAACTACCACCGCAAAGAAAGTACCCTTCACTGCGTTTAAAGCGTTTGTGGAGAACGAAGAGGAGATCGATGGATATTTGACAGATTTCGAGAGACAGTGCTCGCTACATCAAGTGCCTCCAGAGCAATGGGTCACTATTTTATCAGGGAAACTGTCAGGCAAAGCGAATGGGCCCTCACCTCAGAGGATATATTACAATATCAGCGGGTTAAAGAGGCACTATTAACCAGATATGCCGTAACTCCGGAGGCCTACCGACGCCGCTTCCGGGAGTCCAAGAAAAAGGCTGTGGACTCTCACATGGAATGGGCCAACCGGCTCCAACGAGTGGCATCACACTGGGTTTGAGGATGTAACGCCAATACCAGGGAAGAAGTCCTACAGTGGAGCACTTCTTTCAAGATTTGTCGCCCGATTTACAAGACTGGGTGCGAGACCGTCGCCCCAGCACCCTGAACGAGGCGGCTCGGCTAGCAGATGAGTACGCTGAAACAAGTAAAATTGGCCAGAGTACTCACAGACCAGCTAGCAGGACAGAACACCGTACCCCAGTTAGTAACTTTCGCCCGGAGTTCCATGCTCTTGTCCCTCCAGGACCACCTCACCCTCAGGGGTCTAATAATTACACTCGAGATGTGTCCAGAATGGCGTGCCATCGCTGTAACAACCTCGGACACCTTGCCTGTCACTGCCCTTTGGGATCGGCAGCTAACAATTGGAGGCGCACCTCACCACCTGCAGAGACCGCTTCACCTTGCACCTCTGCCGCCTCACCTCATACCTCTGCCGCTTATTGTCTGGAGACCGAGATGGGCCCGGAGGAATGCCTGGGAATTCTATATGAGGCAGACCCGATACAGGCAGCGTCCCCAGATAACCGGCAGCATCATCGCCAAGAGGTACGAGTAAACGGTCAAGTGGCTTAAGGCTTGAGGGACACCGGTGCAACCATCACCTTAATGCAAAGACATTTAGTCAAACCGGAAGACAGTGGGGGATGAGCGAGAACGTTTTGTATAGGATAACGAAAGGCTGTACAGACTAACTGAAGGTAGGAAGAGAGGTTGTATCCCTTCGCAGAAGCGCCAACTAGTGGTACCCAGAAAGTACCGGTTGGAACTTCTCCGAATTGGCCATGATATCCCCTTAGCAGTACACTTGGGTGGTAACCGCACTACTTACAGGATCACACAGACTTTCTTTTGGCCGGGGATCTCAAAGGACGTGCAGTGCTACTGCAGCACGTGTGACATCTGTCAACGAGTAGGGAAGCAAAGGGACCACCCTAAGGCGCGATTGTTGCCCATGCCTGTGATAGAAAAGCCACTTAGTAGGGTGGCAGTCGATCTGGTGGGTCCCTACCTAACCCCAGTCCCTTCGGTAAGAAATACATTTTTACCATGGTGGACTATGCCACTCGCTACCCGGAAGTCGTCGCTCTAACGAATATCCAGGCTGACACTGTCGCCAGTGCTTTGGTCGGGATATTCACCAGGGTGGGGTTCCCGCAAGAGATATTGTCTGACCGAGGGACACAGTTTACCGCAGACTTGACCCAACAATTATGGAAGGTTTGCGGTATTAAGACCCTCTTCAGCTCACCCTACCACCCCCAGACTAACGGTCTCTGTGAGCGCTTTAATGGTACCCTGAAACAGTTACTGTGGACCTTTACAGTGGAATACAGGGACTGGGAGCGATTCTTGCCGCACCTCTTGTTTGCATATCGAGAGGTGCCACAGGAATCCACTTGGTTCTCTCCGTTTGAGCTGCTCTATGGAAGGAGAGTTCGGGGCCCCCTCGATCTCATCCGAGAGCACTGGGAAGGAGAGATGGAACATGAGGGTGTCCCCCTTGTACCATATGTTCTGGAGATGTGGAACCGCATGGAGCAGTTAGCCCGGATGGCCCGGGATCACCTCCATGCAGCCCAGGGTCGACAGAAGAGGTGGTATGATTGGGGCGCTTGACAGAGAACGTTCCAGGTGGGACAGAAGGTTCTGGTGCTTAGACCAGTGAAAGGGCAGGGCCCTTACAAGGTAGTGGCAAAAATCTGTGACACTATCTACGTAATTGCCAGTAACAAGGATGACCGGATTCGGAAATCCTTCCATGTTAACCTGCTGAAGGAATACCAAGAAAGGCCAGAGGATATTGCGGCCATCTGCAGTCCTGTCACAGAGGACTCAGACGATCTACCTATCCCCGACTTACTAGCACTTCCAGAACCCAATAGCTTGCTCAGTACTGTCCAACTAGGGGAGCGCTTAAACCCAGCAGAAAAGGAACAGAGCCCGTTGGAACTTCTCCAGCAACATATAGAACATGGGAAGGGGAGGGGGAAAGGAGAGAGATGCACAAGGGGAAAGGGAGAAAGAGGCAGAGGGGAAAGGAGAGAGATGCACAAGGGGAGGGGGAGAAAGAGGCAGAGGGGGAAAAGAGAGACTGGAAAGGAGAGGGGAGACATGGACACAGAGGAGCAGTGAGGGGGAGAAAGAAACATACAGAGTGACTGGGGGAGACAAAAAGGCACACAGAGGGGCTGGAGATAAAGAGACACACATAGGGGCTGTATATAAAACTGGTGGATCGGGGGGGGGAGTCAGTAGGGCAATCCCCCCCCCATGAGGTTCTCCCCTGCCAGCCGATCTCCCTCCCCGTTCCACAGGCACCGTGCAGCACACACTGCCCCCCATACACAATACACACACTGCCCCCCATACACAATACACACACTGCCCCCACACACACCATACATATTCAAACACTGCCCCCCATACACACATTGCCCCATACACACACACATCGCTGCACACACACACACAGTGCCCCACACACCCTACACATTCACACACTACACCCCCTCACACACATACACTGAACCTTTCACTCACACTGCACCCCTCACACATTGCACCACTGCTCCTATACCCTACTACAGCCCCATATCCCAGCAGACCCCAGATAAGTTGTCAAACTTTTCTTAAACGGTTTGACTACTTACTCTGGGAGGGGGTCCCAGCACTCCTTGCACCATAACCACTACACAGAGCAGTAGTGGTTATTGTGCATGGATTATTTCTTTATGTGTATTAGTTTTATTTTTATATATATATATATATATATATATACATATGCCTATTATATTTACACATATATTAATGAACATTTATATATGCATAATACACAGATAAATGTCATTAATATGTACCATTTGTAATGAGCAGATATTGGCCCAGTCTTGTTGCTAGATGCAGACTCCATCACAATAACATATTTAAAGTGAAGAGCGCACCCATAGGACTTCAAAATAAACAAGATAACGTAATTTTTTTACAGTTGTGCCCTACATACATTCACCATTTCAGTCCCATTACCAAGCTTTCCTTAATATGTCAAGGTAGTTGGACTGAAACATTGATTACATGCAAAGGCACGTCTGCTTAAAATAAATCTGAACTTTTGTTTATTTTGAAGCCTATGAGTGCTTTTTTTTTACGTTGGAGTAAAAAATTTTAATTTTTAAGTTCTCTTTTACATAGAAACATAGAATGTGACGGCAGATAAGAACCATTCGGCCCATCTAGTCTGCCCAATTTTCTAAATACTTTCATTAGTCCCTAGTCTTATCTTATAGTTAGGATAGCCTTATGCCTATACCACGCATGCTTAAACTCCTTTACTGTGTTAACCTCTACCACTTCAGCTGGAAGGCTATTCCATGCATCCACTACCCTCTCAGTAAAGTAATACTTCTGATATTATTTTTAAACCTTTGTCCCTCTAATTTAAGACTATGTCCTCTTGTTGTGGTAGTTTTTCTTCTTTTAAATATAGTCTCCTCCTTTACTGTGTTGATTCCCTTTATATATTTAAATGTTTCTATCATATCCCCCTCTGTATCTGCACACTATGCTGGCGCGACGCATTATGGGGCTGGTAAATATTTTATTTCCAGGGCTGCTTTTAATTCCCAGTCCGGCACTGCCTATGTCATGTCATCTCAAATAGAGGCATCTATATGCCTCTGGATTATGTCTAGGACAGGCTTAGGTACCCATAGAGGAAGCGCCTGAAAGAGGAAGAGCAGCCAAGGGAGAACATTCATTTTTATAGTACGGATACGTCCTATACATGAGATCGGTCGGGACCCCCACGCCTCCAGATCCATCCGAATGGCCTGAAACAAGACGTTGTAGTTAGCTTTATATAATGCGTTCCTCTCTATGGTAATCACCACCCCCAGGTATTTTATGGAATCAGTTAGACGAAATTGTGACGTAGAGCTAACCATGCCCTAATCAGCAGCTGACGTGTATCAACATAGCACTGGATTTAGTCATATTAACCTTATATCCCAAAATCCGCCTGTAGTTCTCGATGAGCTCTACCAGAGGTGGGAGGGAGCTCAGCGGTTCCGCAAGTGTAAACATAACATCATAATTTCGTATAATTAAAGAGACCCAGGATGAACCCAACTTGATTTGGGTGGACCAGACGCTGCAACATGGGTTTTAACCTGGTTGCTAGCACCTTAGCCAAAATCTTAGCATCTGTGTTGATCAGCGATATTGGCCTATAACATCCAGTGGGTCTTTCACCTTTTGTAGTAGCACGACATTGGCTAACTTTATCTTCTGGGGCAACCGCTCTCCTGTAATTGCCGGGTTAAACAGGGTGGTCAATCTTGGCACTAGTATCTCACTAAATTTCTTATAATACGCTCCAGATAGGTCATCCGGGGCGGTAGTCTTGTGACCTGGGGTAGCCAAAATTGCATCCGATACCTCCTCGAGAGTAATCTTTCGTGCGAATAGCAGTTTGTCCTTTATTGGTAGAGTGGGTAGTGACACCGAATGCAAAAACTGTTGTATGTTTGCTCCGTAAGCAGCATTCGCTAGTGTGTGGGACCGAGAGTGGTTATATAGCAAGCTGTAATAACTAATGAACAGCGATTCTATGTCTCCCGAGGAGGTAACTATCCCCCTCTCCTGATGCAGAGTCCTCAGTCGGAGTGTCCTAACCAGGAAGGTGTCCATCCGATTCGCGTTTTCAAAATAAAATTTGCGGGACCAAGACATATCCCGGGCCACGTAGTCTAGAAGGGTCGTCTTGAGCTCTGTGCGGAACTCCTGCAGCGCCCCCAAGGAATGAGGATCCGGGGTAGCCTTATGACACTATTCCACCCTGTAGCGGATGGCACTGGGCTGTCCTGAGAATTACATGTGTTTGAATGCATTCGTGTAAAATAGCAAAGTTATAGGTGTTAAATGTATTGTATTCGTCTGAATGTTAGGTAGTTTCATTCCCTTAGTTTGTTTGAATGAAACGACCGAACAGTCAGACCTCCCCTGTGTGAAGTGTGCCTTCAATTACCCATTGCAACATTGAGTAGCTGCCATTCGGGAAACGAACACGTGGCGGCGGCCATTTTAAATCTCCCGAACAGCGGTGTTTTGCCGTCGAGTGTCTGGAACTCAAATCGGGCACTCGACTAGGCGAACACCGCTGAGACCTCCACAAGCCCGGTCCGTTCGGTTCCAAACTATCGAACGGCCCCTCGTTCGGTAGATAGAAACAACCGAACGAGGGGATTCAGGCGAACCCTCCCTAGTCTCTGTAGCTAGAGGCATTCATGCATTTTATTCCCTTACTCCCTTGTTCTCTCCAGTGCGGTCGGTCATTTTATTCCCTCCATGAATTTCCCGAACCCCTGGTCTGATCTGGGTGATTTTTGGATATGTTGTTCACCCAGATCAGGGCTACCAGGGGATGTATAATTTAAAGTGGTACCCCTAAGTTTAGGGGTACATCCAGAAACGGGGGGAATTGGTGTGCTGGATAAGGGGATTATGATGCAGACTGAGGGGAGGAGATGTGTGGGAGGTTACCAGAGCAGGATTGGCTACTGTACAAATTAATGGAAATCCTTCCCTTGCATGGGAGCAGGCTTTAAAAGGCCACTGTGTGAATAAATCTTTAGTTCTGCTCCTGATACTGTGTGTTGTCCAGTTATTGGGATTGCTGATGGGATACTGCTGTGTTATTTTGCCTGCTGGATACTTTACCCTATGGATTTATAATTGCTTGTTCCTGAACCTCCCTGGGATCTAAAGTGGAGATAGGCTGTGTAATATCAGCTCTCCGCTACACGCCCGTCACAACACCTCCTCCCATCTTCTGGGTTTTAAGGCAATTTTTGTGTGTTGCTATTTTAATTAGCAGGCCTCGAATGACCTCCTTATGTGCAGACCACACAGTGGCTGCCGCAACTTCTGGCGTTTCATTGAGGAGAAATAACTCTTCCAAGGCTGCGTTCATTTCCCCCAAAACCACATTATCTTTCAACAGCAAATTATTTAGGTGCCACGTTCACTTAGAGTCAGAAATCCTCAGTATTTCTAGTTACCAAATACAAGTCAATGCAAGAATACGTCCCACGAGTGGCCAAATAGAACGTGTAATTGTTGCACCCTCCATATAACTACTAATTCACAGTCATCCATGAAAACAGACCGCCTCGGGGAGAAGTGGGGAGAAGCCAGCCACCCCACAAAGATTGGCCTCAGCCGCCCCCAACTCCCCCGTCCGACCTGTAACGATTACAAATTGCGAGTGTCACATGGTACGTCCGAACACCCCTGAGGGGGATCGCAGGGCATGTGCGGCTCTTCTGTGCCACCAGTGGGCCAGGTCGCTACCCCCGGTCTCCCCTGTCCCAATTGACCCCATGAGCAACGCTGATCCTGGAATGCTGTCCAGGACCCCCGCAAATGTGGATTATCGCGTCAACATTTACGCAGCCCCCAGAGGGGTAATGGCAATCTAAAGTCCCCTCTTCCAGATCACACAGCTTCCCTACACAGAGAGGGGAGATGGAACAGGCCCACACATCATGGCCCCCCTCCCAAAAAGGCAGAAGAAAAGGCCTCTCACATCCTGCAGGCCCGTACCCTGCCCAAGCCAAGGCCCTCCTCTGAATAAAGCCCTTGCGTACCCCCTCCCAAGTGCCCCTAGAGTACCTAGACTCTCTCTCTGACAGCCAGCAATCTCCTCTAGAACTCACGGCGGGCCAGCAACTGTGGTACCGCCGTTTACTCCTGCCTTCCAGATCCTTAGAAGTCTCAGCAAGGGCTGTATCAAAGACATCTGCATGTCTGGCAGCTCAGGATCCAAAGTATCCTGCCAGTAGCTTAAACAGGTGCCTCCACGTGAATTGGCTCCCTTTCTGCCAGAGGGCGTCTGAAACAGGTTTCCATAAGCGCCATTTCTGTAGCATAGAAGGAGCAAGGTCTTGAAAAACCTGGCAATGTGTCCCAGCATAAATAGCCTCCGAACATCGGCACTTTCGGATGATCGCCTTCGCTGTGGAGCAATGGTGAAATCTGGCAATCACATCACAGGGGGCACTGCCGTGGGCCCCTCTTGCTCTCAGCGCCAAGTACAAACATTCAATCTCCCATCTCGCTTCAGGCATTTCCAGGAGTAGAGGGCAGAAAACTAATTGGCTACTGCTCTGGCTAGATGGAGACTGAGTGAAAGTTTTCTAACAAAAGATAATTTAGTTGCGGAAATAGCCTCAAAGTTGAAAGAATTTATATTGTTTAAAGTTAATGGAGATTTCCCAATATTTACAGTCTGGTGCACCCTCAAAAGTTACGCAAGGGAACTTCTAATTAAATGGGGTTTGAGAATTAAGAAAATAGAGATGCCACAATTTCCAAATGATACATTGATCTTGCTAATAACGAAAGACAGAATAAGGCTCAGGCAACACAAGATACAGTTAGAGAACTTGTAAGACTGAAACAAGCTATACAAATTAAAAATCTATTAAAATATTATTAAGTACATTGCATTTCTTAAACAAAAATGGTATCATAACAACAACAAAGTTAGTAAAGTTCTTCCACATAAACTAAAAAAGGTTACAAAAGATAAGGCCATTGAAAATCTTGTAGTAGGAGATAAATGTTTGTTAAATTCAAAAGAAATCTCCCAGATATGTGTCGATTCATAAGCATTTTTATATATTCTACAAGACATAAACGCGTGCAATGAAGAAATTGACCCAGGCGGCTTTACAGCCTTAATCGAAATGGATCAATCGAGTTTCATCAAGGACAGAGGCAAAACTGACAATGTCTGTAGAATACTCAATTTAATTATTAAAAGTAATTCCTCGAAATTTGGCAATGTCATTCTGATCTTGGAAAAGCATTTGATAGGGTCAACTGGAGATTTTTGGACCTAGTACTAAGTAAATTTGGACTATTAGGATCCTTTAAAGTTAGGGTTATGACATTATACTCAGAAAAGGGTACCAGACAAGGGTGTCCTTTGACACCCTTACTTTACATTCTTACCATTAAACTACTAGCTATTATGATTAGAAAAAATAAATTAATACAAGGAATATAATGAGCTGGTCAAGAATTTAAAATATCTTTATTTGCATATGAACTGCTTCTGACCTTGATAAAACCTATGACCTGTCAGAAGTTTTTAAAACTGTGGAATTATAGGAAAAATATTCAAATTATAAAATGAACTTTAGAAAAACTCAAATCTTAACATCTAATGTACCTGGTAATAAATTACATTCCCTTAAAACACATTACCACTTTGAATGGAACCAAGAATATATTCATTATTTGGGTATCAAACTTTCTTTTAAAATAACATAAATGATTCAACATAATTAAGATGCGTTATATACTTTACTAAAAAAAACAACTGAATATATAGAGTAAAATTTAAATATCCCGGTTGGGCTGCTTGAATATAGTCAACGCATATTCTATTCCTAGGCTTCAATATTTATTCCGCTCACTAACTTTTAGACTTGGTAAAGATACAATTTTCCAATTTCAAAAGCTTTTTTTCAAATTTTATTTGGGCAAACAAATGTCCCAGAATATTACATGAGTTTCTTCAGAATAAATATAATAAAGATGGCATTGCATTCCCGGATATAGCTAAATTACATGAAGCCTGTTTGATTACAAATGTAATGCTCTATATCTGGTATACTTGTGACATCCTAAAGGAAATTAAGGAGCAGACATTCTCTCTGACTTCAAGCTTCTTTTTGGATATTAAATCTATTACTTCCAATCTTTTTTTGTTCAATCTTGATTTTCCTTAATTGGAATAGAAATCCAAATACCTAATTACTCATAAACTATTTGCACTTAAGATAGCGCTAAAGTGGAAAACTACTCAATCAACATTGTGGAGTTAATAAATCAATTAGATTATCAATACAAAATGGAATGGAATTTGAGATCACCTCCGGGGAAATATATCACACAACAGGCTTTATTGAAACCTTGGATAGATTATAAAACAAAACTAAAATACCCTAATTGACACAAGGAAGTATTTAAAGAAACAATGCCCCCGTGGGAGGATTCCAGCTTTCTAAACTGTAGTACATACTTTGTTTATGCCCTTATCATATGGTTATGTCTTCAGTGTTGGAATATATATTGTATTAAGATATATTAATTTATAAGTACATTTGAAGATATATTAATTAAGAAATACCATTGTTGTTATTGTTTGTTAATGTATTTTCTTGTTAATGTATAAATAAAAAAAATTGTGAATAAACAGAAATGAAAATTATAAAAACTGAAGAAACTCATATTTTTACTATTTAAAATGAACAAAAAACATGCAAAAAGAAATTGCCATTTTCAGATAAAATAACAGCTGATGCATAAGAACATGTTATAGGTCAGAACATTTGAATTTTGGATCCAAGAGGTTGCACAGTGATCCACTGTGTATTCTGAGGATTAAGTCCTTGTGCAAGAAGAAAACAAGCAGTGTAAAGAGTAGCACTCAGTTTTCCCCATCTCCATTGTCCATAACGACGCGAACATAAAGCCTGCAAAAAAAGTAACAAAAGTATTAAGGCATATACCATTCCTTGCATCTATTGTAAAGCAGCTCTGTCACCTCCAGTTGACTGTGGATATTGTCCTAGGCCTCCCCCAAAGGGAAATGTTTGCTTGGGGTGCAGTGATTTTGGTATGTAGCAGAAGGTCAGTATATTTATCTGAAGCTGTCTCCCTGCACGCGCCATTAGTTCCTTTCTTTAGCTCCCGGCACTTCATCCAAGAGCAGCGTCAGTGCTGTTCTCTGAGTATTGTATTTGATGCTGACAGTGGCTGTCATACGGATATGGAAACATTGCTGTTTCTCTGAAAACTGCAATGCTTTACATTGCCAAAAAAGGGGGCAGGGTCTATGCATCAAAACCAATTTATTTAGGTGTCCCTTTAACAATATTCATTTCAAACATTTGACTCCAGATTTGATCCCACTAATCACTCAAAATTGTTACAAATAAGATGAAGTATATTCGTATCTGTAAAGTAACTAACATTCAAATGTATTATTTATCAAGAAATAAATTGTATTAAGTAAATCTTAACATAGTTTGGTTTTCAAACAAAAAGTTAAAACACAATCTTGGAGAGAAAAGTTATCACTTGAAAATTGACATGTTCCCACAAACACTTATAAGAAAACATATTAGTGTAGTATGTGAGAGGTTGCGCAAAAAGGAAAGCATAAATATAAAAAGATAATATAAATGAATAAATAAATAGGGCTGAATAGTCACCAAACACGTTTCGCCTGTTGGGGTAATGTGCAGTTTCAGTGTCTTGATTTTTAAATAGCCCAACTCAGCAACTAGGTGGAGAGGGACACCTATTGGTTGATTCCCTAATTGGTGCTTTGGTTAAGTGGGTGGGGAAAGGGTAGTGTCTTACTTCATATGACAGCCCAGACAGTCCCCCCTTTGCAAATTAGGACCCCAATGGTTTATGTGTCCACAATAGGTGTCCACAGTGCTGTCAGCAAGGGGACTGCCTGAACTGACAGGCAGTTCCCCTGCTGGTAAAAAAAAAAATTTTTTTATATATATATATATATATATATATATATATATATATATATAAAAAATATTCAAATACTTGCACTCCTGTAGAGATAGATTAATGCCTGGTGCTAATAAAGCAAATAACATAAAAATAAAAATGGTAGGTAACAGCACTCTAAGGACTTCAAAAAGTAAATGGTGAAAAAAACATAGCTTTTATTCAGCAACTGCCACACACAATCGACGTTTCAGTTCTTAATACAGAACTTTCATCAGAACTTTCATAATGTTATTCTAACTGTATTTTGATATTTATATATATATATATATATATATATATATATATATCAAAATATACTTAGAATGAAATTATACATATATCTATGTATATATAAATAAAAATAATACGAAATATACATATTTAATTAGGAACATATTTAATTAGGAATTTGTCTAAAATCATAGCTGAAAATTGAAAAATGGAATCTGAGCCACTAACTATCGGTCTCCCCAGAGGAAACATGGGATCTTTATGTATCTTAGGGAGAGTATAGAACACTGGAATTAATGGATATTCAATATTCATGTACCTACACTCTCCCTCTGATAGTATCCCCTCCTGCTTGGCATTGTCATTCAACCTGCATAGTATTGTTTTGAGCCTAGGTGTGGGATCCTGATCAATGGGTACATAGTTGGACCAGTCCGATAATTGGGCCAAAATCTCTTTAACATAGTACGTTTTATCCATAATCACCAACGCATCCCCCTTGTTCGCAGGTTTTATTACAATTGACTTAATTTCCAGCTACGATTTTAGACAAATTCCTAATTAAATATGTACCAGAACAGCAGTCATATATTAAAGATACCACAGATTTTCTTAAAATGATTGAGAACATTACTTTGCCAGTAGACGGGGGAGTATGGTTGGTGACCCTAGATGTTCAATCTCTACATACCTCAATAGACCATGAGGCTGGTATAGAAGCCATCAAGTGGACATTATTAAGAGACATGACATTAGAATATGCAGACAAGACCAGAGGTTATGTTTTAGAACTTCTGAGATTTATTTTTACTGAAAATTGTTTTTTATTTGCAGACCAATTTTACAAACAGGTTAAGATACATCGATGGGCTCGAATGTAGCCCCAACATACGCAAACATCTACATGAACCGCTTGGAAGTTACCAGCATATGTACATTGGAATTATTCTCTAAGTGCTTATTTTGGAAGCAGTTCATTGATGATGTTTTCGTGTGTTTGGGTGGCACAAGGGCCCAACCAGACAGTTTTTTCATCAATTGAATACCTTGGATTCAAACATCAGATTCACGTTCACAACAGATAGGGACACATTCCCCTTTTTGGACGTTCAGGTCACTAGGGTTGGTAACAGACTCGGTAGTAATATTTACTCTAAGCTGACAGATAGGAACAACTTACTCATTATGAGAGTTTTCAACCCGACCACCTTAAAAAAGGTCTGCCATATAGTTAATTTCTTTATGTAAAGAGGATAGTCTCCCAGGAGATAGACATAAATGCTGGTTTGGATTATATGAGCAGAAAATTCTTGGAGAGAGGATATCTATCCTCATTATTGGAACATCATAAAGAGAGGATACAGGGCCTCACAAGAGAACAAATCTTATATAATACTAGACAACAGAAGGAGATGGATCGTATACCGTTCATTCTCCCATACACTCCCCTTAGTACAGATGTACAGAAAATAGTACGTAGACACTGTAGCATTTTCCAAGGTGATGTGAATCTACCCATAGAGTTCAGTTATCCTCCTCTCTTCTTAGAATTAATTTTAATTAAATGGTCTAAATAGCTACAAATGGTTAAATATCTTAAGTAGTATATTTTTATTTATGGAGAAAGGAATTTACTAATAATGAATGTTAGGGTTCTCACAAAGTCAATTTTGAAAGACGAGGGTGTATTTTACCTCTATATTGACTTATATCATGTTTAACCCCTTAAGGACACATGATGGAAATATTCCGCCATGATTCCCTTTTATTCCAGAAGTTGTGTCCTTAAGGGGTTAAAGGTTGGGAAATGTAAATGTATTGTTTTTTTGTTTTTAGTCAACTGATAAACATCCCTTGTTCATAGCGGTGACTGAATGTAATAATAAGACTAAGTATAATTGGTTTAAAAACACATGTAAAATGTATTGCACATTTACTATTTTATTAAGTTTGATTGTGAACAGTTACATGGTGATATAAAATAATGACTGGAAAATCACAAGGGCTTTAATTAAGGTTGGAAAGAATAAGTTAGAAGTGTAATACAGGAAGGGAAATCTGTTTCTTGAAGGAAATAATGAAATAAATTTGTATGTCTCAACATGGTGCAAAGGGAAATTTGTGAAGTAAAGGAAAATTAAACTATAAGAATGATCAAACACTAAAAACACATAATTAGAATTAAGTTAAATTAAATGGTCTAAATAGCTATAAATGGTTAAATATTTTAAGTAATATATTTTTATCTATGGAGAAAGGAATTTACTAATTATGAATGTAAGGGTTCTCATAAAGTCAATTTTGAAAGACGAGGAGGTACTTTACCTCTATTTGACTTATACCATTTTTAAAGGTTGTTATTATTTTATTAATTTTTTTTTCTCCTCTCCCTCTCTCCCTTTTCCCCTCTTTTTCTCTTGCCACAATGAGAGATAGATAATGTGAAAATTAAGATAGGCGATTTGGAGTTGTCTTCTCTATTAGATGCTGTGCCCCTCCCTGAGGGTTCCAGAATGGTACCCAGGTCTTGGATTACGATAGGTTATCCAAGTGTAGGTTTTAGTATGAATGGGTTTGTTGTTAGTGATTGTTTGAAGTTTGTCTTATTGATTTGGGTCTTATTCTCAGAATGACGTAGATTGGGATATGGTTAGATTGATTTCTATTAATGCGCAAGGTTTAAACTCTCATGTGAAAAGAGGTTTTTTTATATGATACCATGATTAGAATATCAAAGTGGGATTTGTCAAAGAAATTTACTCAATGCCAAACAGTTATGGCACTACAAAAAGTTCCTGATTATATATGCGGCTTCCCTACAGGGAAAAAAAGAAGTGTGGAGTAGCTATTATTTTTTCTAAAGAGGCTAACTTTGATTGCCACTACCAGAATTTGGAACCTGAGGGAAGATTTATTATACTAGTTGGTCTGCTAAACGGGGTAGCATATATGTTGGTGAATGTGAATGTGTACTTGCCAAATAAACAACCAACTTAGGTGCTGATAAAGATTTTAAGGTTAATAGAGCAGGTGAAAAAAGGGAAACTGGTAATAGCAGGAGACTAACTGTATACGTGATCCTGTTATGGATAAACAGTTAGGTCCTAACCAACTAATTAATAAAAATTTAGTAAAACAGGCTGAAGAGATGAACAGAGTGCTTAAAAAATGTGATCTATATGACTGCTGGAGACTAGCCTATCCTAATGATAAAGATTTTACTCATCAATCTATTCCTCATAACTCAGCAGCAAGAATTGATATGATTATGGGAGATATCAATTTTTCTAAGGCCTTACACTCAATTATAATTAAAAAGAACACCTGGTCCAATCATGATCTATTAATAGCTGAAGTATTAGAAGTGAATTATAAAATGCCACCAATTTGGAGATTGGATGATATGCTCTTGAAAAAAAAAAAGACAAATATTGAATAAATTGCCAAACTTACTGACCTATTTTTTAAAGAAAATTCAACGGGGGATATATCTAAAGAGTGCTTATGGTGCTCTTTTAAAACAGTTATAAGAGGCTATTGGTTTAAGATAGCCAGCCAGCAGAAAAGTAGTAAAGATCCTAAATTATCAGACTTGTATGTCGAGTTTTATAACTTATCAAGTTTAAATAAGATCAGTTTCTCTCTGGAGAGAACAGAGAAAATTAAGGTTTGTCAAACTAAAATAAACAAGCACACTGAGGATAGAATACAACGGAATCTAAATAAATTACAAATTAAATTTTACTATAAGAGCAATAAAGTAGATTCCATGTTAACAAATAGATTGAAAAAACAAAACCTGGATAGGAAAATCTTCAAAATAATAGAGAAAGGTAAGAACATTATAAGGCCCGAGGAGATAGCAGAGACATTTAGAGGCTTCTATGCAAAATTATACAATTTAAATCTAAAGCCCTCAACAGATGCTCTGGATAATTATTTATTAAATATAAAGCTGCCTAAAATCTCATCTGAACAAAGAAAGGAATTAAACGAGATTTTCACTACGATTGAAGTAGAACGAGCAATAAATAACCTGTTAAATAAAAAAGCTCCAGGACCGGATGGATATTCCAACCAGTTCTACAAAATCTTTAAAACATGGATTATTCCTGCATTAACAGATATTTTTAATGAAATCTCAATAAAGGGGTATGCTTTGACGGATTTTTAAGAGCTAATATTAGCCCGATTCTGAAACCGTGCAAATCTCCAACAGATATTTCTAATTATCGCCCTATATTGCTGATTAATACAGACGTTAAATTGTATTCGGCTATTTTGGCAGATAGGTTACAAAGGGTACTTCCATCAATTATTCATATAGATCAGATAGGCTTTGTAGCAGGGAGACATTCTAGTAATAACACCCGGAGAATATTAGAGATACTGGACTGGGCCAAGACAACAGAGATGTCCCTACTAACCATGTCGGTAGATGCTGAGAAAGCCTTCGACAGGGTTGGCTGGGAATTCCTGAAGCGAACTATGATGCAGTTTGGTTTAGAAGGCTGGTTCATGGGAGCAATGGGAGCACTTTATTCAAATCCATCTGCTAGAATAGTGGGAAGGGATCTTTGCTCTGAATGGTTTAACATCCTGAATGGAACTCGACAGGGCTGCCTGCTCTCCCCACTATTATATGTTATCTCTGTTGAACCCCTAGCCTGTAGAATAAGACAAAATGTATAAATAAGAGGAGTACCTATCCCCAATGATGAACTAAAAATCTGCTTATATGCAGACGATATATTACTAACTATCATAGAGCCTGGATCATCACTACCAACATTAATGCAAGAGTTTGAACAGTATAGTGTGGTCTCTAACTACAAACTAAATATAAATAAAACAATGCCCTTGACAGTCAACATAAAAGATCGGGCGCTACAATATTTGAGACAGACCTATGCGTTCAATTGGTAAATTAAAGAGTTCTCGTATCTGGGTATCTTGTTAGCGGCCGATCCGGCCCGCATTATGGAAATTAATTTTTTTAACCAGTTGAAAGATACAAATAGACTATTAAAGGACTGGAGAGCATATGAGATATCATGGTGGGGTAGGATCAATACTATTAAAGCTTACATTATTCCAAAATGGATATACCTGTTTCACATGATCCCCCTTAAGTTATCTGTTCATTGGCTGAATATGTTACAAAGTAGCTTTACAAATTTTATCTGGAGAGGTAAGAAACACAGAATTAAATCCGCTACGCTAGCGAAAAAAGTCTACCGTGGGGGGGTGGGTTATCCTTTGATAACCCAAACTTACCAAGCAATCATGCTAACCCATGCTTCTAATCTACAAACAGTGGATATCAATGACCAGGCGTGGTATAAGCTTAAAGCATTTAGAGCAGGGAAAGATAATTTAGAAACACTATTATGGAGTGTGACGAGACCAATCTCGCCACATTGCATTGGAGGAGCCTGGTTGCCCACCTGCTGCCTTTGGATTATGGACCGGCAGCTAAAGGGTTAATTTTACTGTGCAGAAGGATTTATTTCTCCCTTTCTGCACAGCCGTTCGGTAGATTCCATCTACCGAACAAACAGTTTCTTTTCAGCCTCCCCAGAGCCATGGGAAGCCGGCCGGCGACCTTAATTGGCCACCCAGAAGCTGGAGTGTGCCCTCCATTTACCTCCCTGAAGCCTCGGTTAACCGCGGCTTAACGAGCGTGTGCCGGCAATTGACCACCCAGTAGCTGCGGTTAACCGCAGCTTAATTGATTGTTACTGGGTGGTCGCGGTTACACTTAGCCGCCACACGATGGCGGTGTTCTGGAGCTCCCCGGGCAGCCAGCGCTTTTCTGCCCGGCTTTCCTGCACCAAACCCGGACACTTTTACGTGCAGGCACCGCTGAACCTCCAACCCCTGGTTCTAATTCGTACGGATTTAACGAATGCATGTAAATTCGGTATTTTGTGTTGGGGGAATGTTTTAACCCAGATAGCTATGCCATGGAGCCTATTCGTGTAATTAAAGACTTTGGCTCCATGGCAATTAAACTGTATTCGTGTGGTCTGAGTGCCATTCACCTAATAATGTGCACTCAGACCTGAGCTATCTGGGGATATGTTACATGTATATATTTACTGTACCATTTGTCCCATTATGTATTTTAAAGTGATAGTCTGTCTTTGTGTCCCCACGTGTGTAATGGAGTTTTGCCTTTGTCCTGGGAGATAATTGAATTACTTCTTCAGGGCAGAGGGGAGGAAGCCAGGATGCATTGTGGGGATGTTTTACTTCTGTATGTCTGTAATTGGTACATGTCTGTCTTTTGTTACAGTCTTCCATCTGGTCCCCTAGGGGAGTGTCCACCAGGTGGGAGACCTGCATAAATACTGGGCAGGTAGCCCTCATTAAACAGACCACTGCTTGACCCTCAACACGGAGCTCTGTCTCGTCTTTGGGGGGATTTACTGTATGCTGATAGAGACTGATTGCCAGGAGTGTAAGCCGCTTGGGTGCTTTTCCTGTTCGTCTCCTAGCAGCTATTCGTGAGGTTCCAGTTCGAGTGTTTGGAGCATTCCCTTGTATGCAGTTCAAGTGTTTGGAGCATTCCCTTGTATGCAGTTTGAGTGTTTGGAGCATTCCCTTGTATGCAGTTTGAGTGTTTGGATCATTCCCTTGTATGCAGTTCGAGTGTTTGGAGCATTCACTTGTATTCAATTCGTGAGTTTTGGTGATTCTACAGTAGCTGTGCCTGTCTCTAAAAGGGGATTATCGTCTAAGCGGTTTTTATCCCTTGTCTGCTGAAACGGTCCGTTACATGGAGCAACATCGATAATAAGACAGGCAATATGAACTCAGGATCCTTGATTCTCTCCCAGACACTAAGCGAATGGCATAGATTAAAGAGAAAGTTAGGGATTAATAATGTAATCCCAGATACTTTATCTCTTAAAACTCTAGAACTCACTATGACAGATATTAATTAGAAAAATTGGTATAAAAACACAAATATTCGAATTAGAGATCTTTATTTAGACGACCACTTAAAAGACTATTCTGATTTAATAGAGATTCAATTCGTGAGTTTTGGTGATTCTACAGTAGCTGTGCCTGTCTCTAAAAGGGGATTATCGTCTAAGCGGTTTTTATCCCTTGTCAGCTGAAACGGTCAATTGGTGGCAAGCGGCTGGCAAGCGAGATGTTATCCTTGCCTTCGAAATAATTTCTTAATTATTTTCATATCAAATTTTTTTTAAAAGAATATATCCTAAATACTAAAGGAGAAGAGGGTAATCTGATTAAAAAATTACTTTCTATTTAGTCCTCCAAAAATAAATACTCTCCAACAATGGAATTATTAAATTGTATAGATGGATTAAATATTCCTATAGCTTTTAAAAATGGGAAAGATACTTAGGCATCAATATAACCAATGGTGTTTTGCTTACTTAAGAGTTAAAAAATATATACACTGTATTAAATATATTAGAAAATGTCATCAAAGTCAGTTATAGATGGTACATGGTGCCAAGTAGACTCAATAAAATTTCTCAGAGTAATCCCCCCAATGGCTGGAGATGTTTTCACCTGGATGACTCAATGATGCACATCTGGTGGAACTGTCCTAGAATTAGACCTCTTTGGGATTTCTCATTTAAAATTATTAGTAAGACAGGAGATATCTGCCTGGCAAATAAACTCGAAATAGCATTACTACATCTGTATGGAACGAAATTAGACAAAAAAAAATCAGAGATCCTGACAATTCATTGCCTTCTGGCAACCAAATTATTGATTGTTAAGGCTTGGAAACAAACAGTTATACCAGATGTGCATCAATTGAAAGCCCAATTGATTATACAATTAGAGATGGAAATGGGAGTGATCTTATCTAACCTGTACTCTAAAAGCACAACTAAAGATCTTTATTTGAGTCTTATGTCAGACATCAAACGGGCCTAAAAAAGAAAATAAATAAGCTTTTCAAAGAGAGTTAATACGAGAGTATAACCCATTATTATTCCAATACTGCCACATTAAGCAAGGATTAAATAATTATTTTTCTTTTTTTCTTTTTTTAAAATGACATATCTAGATAACCCAAATCATGTATGATTGTGTGGTATATGATGCAAGAGTGAGTGATAGGACAATGTCGAATTTTGTTATTTTAGTAGAATATCGCAATGCTGAATTATTAAAAAAGTTTTCCTTAGCTTATTGAAAAATTAGTTAAAATTTTATTGGAAACTTGTAAGCTTATGCTTGACCCAGTCTATTTTTGACTATTAATGTAATTTTATGATAAAGGTTCTAATAGCTTATTGCTAAATTGTTAAACTTTGTTGTAAACTACTGATTTGTATCCTGCATTGACTATTGTTTGTGATAGGCTCTACTCAAGAGCCGTTATATATGTATATATGTATTTAAAATTTATAAAACTTTTCAATAAAAATTACTTAAGAGAAGAGAGGAGGATTTTTTTTTTTATCAGAGAGCAAAGAATTTAAGAGATGTTTTAGTTAAATCGGATATAGGAAGCTCTAGGAAACAAGTTAGATTTTTTTCTGAACCCAAAAAGGGCACATTCCCATGCCAGGGCTGTTCAAGCTGTAATTGTGTCATCAAGGGGGAATGCTTTCTGCACCCACACACAGGTAAAAAATATCAGATTAATAACTATTCCACATGTACTTAAATGCTCATGCAGGCTCATACATGTGGGAGAGACCACCAGACCGGTGAAAGTCCGCATAGCCGAACAGGAAGAGCATTAGGGTGGCACTGCAAACAGGGAATTGTACGGCACCAGTACCCAGGCATTTCAAACAATGTGGGCATAATGTGAATCAACTGAGGTACCAGGTGATCGATGGGCCCCCCCCACTTAGAAGGGTAGGCAATAGGCAGAGACTCCTAATGCAAAGAAAATCCAAATGGATTAGCACCCTTGAGACCCTACACCCAATGGGTCTTAACGAAGATTATGACTTAAAGCACTTTTTATAAAAGTAGGGGTTCTCTGAGTTAGACATGTGATTTTGTCCTATAATTTGTGACTAATTGCTTTTGGTCAATACTTTTGGTCATTTTGTCTTTTATACTATCCCTTCTACAGTTTGTATGCCACCGACCACTTCTGGTCCACTCCACTTGTTTAGTTCAGGGACATGCGACGGATATGACCAATTTCTGGTCCGCTACTTGAAGATTCTTCAAGGTCTCCCCGTATTGGAATTAGGGTGCATTTCAATTCCGTGGTGGGTAAGCATTAAGTATTCTCTTTTGATTTCATAATGTCATTTTTATTTTTTGCAGTACATTCATTCATTTTTTAAATAAAGATCATTGTTTTCATGTTCTAAGATTTGTTTACACAGTCTGCCATTGCTTTTGTATAATTTACCCAAACTGATCTGCAGTAGTAATTGAGTGTAAAGATTTTCTGTCCACCATATTTTCATTTGTATTCTATTTTTTGATATAAAAGCCTAGGTTTTGGATTATTTTAACATGTGTATGTTAAATTACCTAATATGCTGCATTATATCGAAAAAATCAAGCTGCAATAACTTTGCCCCGAATTCTCCAGCCTGCATCCTGCTGTCACTAGGAGGAATCCACATCTTTGCACACATTCATCTCCAGTCTCTCTGTTCTCCAGTGGTAGTTTCTAAAGATAACACTTGGGACACATTACAGAAGAGTATATCCATCTGGACTTGGGACTCTTAAAGCAAACAGGAGGCCTCCCAGCCAAACCCATGGGTGAGATCAGTCCATGACCTTTTTTTTCCATCATTGAGTTTTGTTCTGGGATCCCTATTTTTTAACTTTGATGTACATTACCAGGATTTTTTCTCACACAACTCAATACCCTTTTGTATAGTCTGTTGTTTTGCTGGACCATGTGGTTTATTCTGTGTAGGATTTTGAAACAGGCATTAATGTTTGTATTTTATATATGTTCATTTAGGAACCATGGTGATGTGATATTTTGCACTTTAGCACTTTTTTTTGCACTTTATAGTATAGTGGATAAGATATTTTTCATATATAAACATACGGTGTTCTCTTGTCTTTATATTAGATAGCTTACATTTGTCCTTTTTGTAAAACATTTATATTCAGTTATATCTATTCTATTGCGTGCGGTATCGTTTGGTATATTTTTTTGTATAATATTATTGAGGGTCTTTGGAGGTGACCCTAATACCTGCACCTATTGTGATTGAGTGCAAGTACTACTTGTGTTTTTTTTAATTTAATTTTGTACCCATTGTGCATTAGGCTTTTTAAATTTTTGCTATAATATAATAAATATGATTTTACTACTACTTTTGCAAGTGTTAAAAGTGTTTTGTTTCATTGGATTCTGGGCACTGATGGATTAGGGTGTTTGTTGGCCTAAAACTAAAACAATACTATGGGCCTCATTACAAATTTTAGATTTTTAATTCTTGCCATCTTGTAATTAGAAAACCATGGACTTGATCTTTAACTGATATTACAGTCATTCCCACAGGTATTTATAAATCTTTAAACAAGTAAGATCAATTAAAAGCATTCTAATGCAGAGAATAATCTGCTAAAATAGCAATGGATACAAGGGGTCACTGTTGGTAATGGAGCACAGCTTTGGCACACTGATGAGTTTCCCATGTTACTCTGCCAGGCCAAGGAGAGACTCTGTCACACACCATGAAAATAGCACTATGTATCTAAACAGCAGATAATAATTATCAAGTTAACAAATAATAAATAAAAGTCAAGTCGTTTTCACCTATTGCAATGTGTGGGCCTGAAGTTTCAGCTCCAATAGTCCATAAATGAATGTGGCTTTAGATAAGGGTTCGGTAGCCTACCTCTTTTATGTCATTTTTGCTTTTGCAAAAAATACAAATAAAAATAAAAAACCCTCACTAAACCTAGCCATGACATACTGTGGTAACTGCATGTCATTATTGTATATTGTACAGATTAAGTTAGAGCGCACACCTAAAAATACAGTTGTAAATCTTATGAGGCTGCTTAAAATCACCTATCTCCACAAACAAATATGGGGATTCAGTCCCACCATATGGCCATATTGTTTAAGTCTACCATTACTTCACAGTACCCCAATAGCAGTGGGTCCTACATTATTTTCAAATTGGGAGACAAATTAAATATATTTGTGTCATTGTCGTTGTGCTTTTCTGATATAGCATGCAATACATATACAGGGCTGGACTGGGGATACAAAGCAGCCCTGGGAAAAAAAAAATCTATGACAGCCCCACAGTACAGTGTGGGGGAAAAAAAGGATGAGTAAAAACACTATTTTTAAACACACACAGACACACACATACACCATGACAGATGACAGACACACACACACCATGACAGACACACACCATAACACAGACAGACCATGACACAGACACACACCATGACACAGACAGATACACAAACACACACACCATTACAGACACACACCATGACAGACACACACACACGCCATGACACAGACAGACAGACACACACACACCATGACAGACACACACACACACACTCACTCACACTGACAGATAATATGGGGCGACCAGCCTGGGAGTCGTGAAGAGCAGACGGCTGGTTCAGGTGTGCTGATGGCCGCAGGGGGGAGCTGGCTGTGCTGGCTCCTGCCTGTTCTGATGGCTGGAGAGGGAGCTGGCTGTGCTGGCTCCTGGCTGTGCTGGCTCTGCTCCCCAGCACGCAGCTTAATGAGATCGGGGCCCGAATATGACATCATATTCCGGCCCTGGTCTCATTAAGGAGCAAGCAATGGCAGAGTCAGCACACCCAGCTCCCCTTTGTGGCCGCCAGAACAGCTAGCTGTCTGTCCGGCCCCAGGTGCCTACGGCCCACTGGGAAATTTCCTGGTATACATGTAATGGCAGACCAGTTGACATCTTCAAACAAGCTCACAAATATCTAACTCCTGTCATAAAACCTTGGTCATGGTGTATTACATGGGTTTATTGTACTTTGGATAAAAATAAACACTACACATACCGATTGTAGCAGGGTAATGTTCGATCTTTGAAATGCTTGTATGGGTCATCCATATTCAATTTGCTCATACAGAGCCAGCAGAATGCTTGGTTACACTTACTGCATAACATCTTATTGCAGCCATCTATTTTCTGTAAAAGCAAACAAGAAGTATAAGGTAAAAAAATAATGCATGCAAAAGTAGCACAAAAACAAGTTGTATTCACTAGAAAGTATTGGACAGCCCATACAAATTCTCATGGGTTGGTCAAGCTGGTCCTTTTTACATAGAATAAAGTATTAAAAAAAAAACCCAAGTATTAAAGATTCTGTCCCTCCTCTGAACTTCCCCTTCCTACTATAAAGATCTTAAACTTCCGATCCCCCCAGTTTTTGCCTGTCTCTCGGGTAAGGGAGTTTTTAGGTTACTAGGGCTGCCAGGTAGGACAGCACAGGATATTGTTATTATTATGTGTCAAAATGATTAATATATAATCCCTATTAGAATCCATAGGTCTCAAAATGAATTGACAACCTATTTCATGTTGTTGATTTAGGACCAATACCAAGACAGGCAAGGAAAGGGAATTTGCCTAAACTTCATTCTAAAGCAAGAATGTCAAACATGCAGCCTACCTGCCCTGTGGCCGCTTCCAGCTGTGGCTGCGACCAGCCGCAAGACAGGAGAAATATTTTCTGATTCTTGCTCACCCGGCCACAAGAGGGCAGTGTGGCCGTGTGTCTGCTGAGCAGACCAGAGCAGCCACTCCCTCTTCCCTCCTGCTCGCAGTGCCAGAGGAGTGTCTGGCCTGCATGAGCAAATTGTAAGGTAGGAGAAGAGGAGCTTGAGGGAGGGGGGCAGTGCATTAATTCGAGAGAGGGGCACTCTATTTATTTGAGTTAGGGAGGGCAGTATATTAATTTGAGGGAGGGGCCAGTATATTAATTTGGGGATGGAGGGGGCAGTATATTAATTTGAGGGAGGGAGGGGGCCAGTGTATTAGAGTGTAGGTGGGGGGGAGCAGTGTGTTAAATTGGTGGGGGTGAGCAGTGTATTAATTTAAGAGAGGGAAAGGACAGTGTATTATTTGGGGGAGGGGGGGCAGTGTATTAATTTGGGTAAGTCAGTGGGCCAGTGTATTAAATTGGGGAAGTCAGGTGGCCAGTGTATTTGAAGGAAGGAGGGGGCAGTGTATTTATTTGAGGAAGGGAGGGGGCCAGTGTATTAGAGTGGTGGAGGGGCTGTGTGTTTAATAAGGGGTAGGGAGGGCAGTGTATTAAAGTGGAGTGGGGGCAGTCTATTTAATTAGCGTGGAGGGAGGAGAGGCAGTGTATTAGATTAAGGGGCAATGTATTAGACTGAGTGAAGGGGCAGTGTATAAGAGAGGAGGGATGGGGGCAGTGTATTGGATTTGGGGGCGGTGTATTAGAATGGGGGGAAGAGGGCAGTGTTTTAGATTGGGTCTGCATGGAGGAGCTGTACGGTCCCTCTGGAGATGTTGATTGGCAGCTCAGCGTTTTGCCACACATGCACAATAGCCTCCCAATGCTTTCCTATTGGATTGGCTGAGATCATCTTGATGATCTCAGCCAAAGTGAAGAACACACTCATAGAACTTCAAAATAAACAAGATAACGTAATTAGTTTTTTACAGCCGTGCAACAGCATACATTCACCATTTCAGTCCCATTACCAAACTTTTCTAAATATGTCAAGGTAAAAACCAAAGAAAAAAGTTACCTGCGCTCTTTCCACATCCCTATGTATTTTTAAACTAATGGAGGTTTTTAGTTACCTCCAATGGCCATGAGAGGGTATGCCCACCTGCCACGTCAAGGCAGACCTCTTAGGTGGGTCCTAACTCTAACCATTTACCTTGCTTCCTTGAGCTTCTGGCAAAAATATCTCTAATGAGGCAGAAAGGGGTATTTTTTATTTACATCCCTACATGCTTATTAATCCTTAACCCCTTAAGGACCAAACTTCTGGAATAAAAGGGAATCATGACATGTCACACACATCATGTGTCCTTAAGGGGTTAATAGGGAACATGGGATGGGCAGCAGCAATGTAACCTAGCTGTGTGATACAAAAGTGAATACAAATACAAAGAAACAAATCCTGCGTTTAAACTCTCATTACTCCTGGGCGGCAGCCATGACCATAGTACACATCAGCCAATATACATATAGTAAAAACTAAAGAAAAAAGTTACCTGCGCTCTTTCCACATCCCTATGTATTTTTAAACAAATGGAGGTTTTTAGTTACCTCCAATGGCCATGAGAGGGTATGCCCACCTGCCACGTCAAGGCAGACCTCTCAGGTGGGTCCTAACTCTAACCATTTATCTTGCTTCCTTGAGCTTCTGCAAAGATATCTCTAATGAGACAGAAATGGGTATTTTTTATATACATCCCTACATGCTTATTAACCCTTAATAGGGAACACATGGGATGGGCAGCAGCATTGTAACCTAGCTGTGTGATACAAAAGTGAATACAAATACAAAAAAACAAGTCCTGTGCTCAAACTCCCATTACTCCTGGGCGGCAGCAACAACCATAGTACACATCAGCCAAAATACATACAGTAAAAACCAAAGAAAAAAGTTACCTATGCTCTTTCCACTTTAACTTTTTTCTTTGGTTTTTACTATATGTATTTTGGCTGATGTGTACTATGGTCGTTGCTGCCGCCCAGGAGTAAATCTCAATGTATCTTTCCTGGTAAAATATTTTATAAATAAGTAAATAAATACAATTAACAGAGCAGGAGATCAGAAATTCTAAATTAAACAGAATTTGCAATAAATGATTCCCCAGATTTCAATTTGATTGAGCATGTGTGGGATTTGCTGTTACAACAAATATGATCCAAGGAAGCTCCCTTTAAAACTTGCAGGACTTAAGGGATCTGAGGCTAATAACTTGTTGGCAGGTACCGTAAGACACATTCAGAAGTCTTGTGCAATCAATGCCTCGAAGCACCAGAGCTGTTTTAGCAGCAAGATTGGGACCTCCATATATATATATCAAGAAAAATCAGCACTCCCAGGTATTTTCACACAAACTTCTTTACTGGAAAGAGTGACAAACAATCATCAAGGTTTCAGTTCCGAATAGAAACTTTCATCAGGACAAACACAAGAGTGTTAAAACAACCGTGAGTAGGAGTGCAAGGTCTTTTTATCTTTTTTCTATATATATATATATATATATGTATATATATATATACATATATATTTTAAGTGGTGTATTCTGGTTATTGTGCTGCCCTAGGCATGACAAAACTCAGGCAACACCCCTCCCCCTTCTAAATGTCACTTCCTGTTAAAAAACAACACACTCTTTGCTTAACAGACAGGGCCAGCGGTTCCTAAAGGAGACTTAGGCAGAGCACTGCGCTCCCTCCTGCCAGTCCCTCAGTGTAGCGTGGCCAAGCTCCGGTCCGCGGTACAGGAAACAGAAACTGGACCAGAGCTTGGCCACGCTACACAGGGTAGGAGAGGGGGGTTGAGGAGAACGGGGGGAGAGACCACTAAGGGGGGTGGGGGAGAGACCATCATGGGAGGGGGAGTGGGTGGGGGAAGGACCACCATGGGAGGGGGAGGGAGGTGGAGGAGAGACCTCTATGGGAGGGAGGGGGGGTGGTGAGGAAAGACCACTAAGGGAGGGAGGGGGTGAGGAAAGATCACTAAGGGGGTGAGGAGAGACCAGTAAGTGAGGGAGGAGGTGGAGGAGAGACCACTAGGGAAGGGTGAGGGGTGGAGGAGAGACCACTAATGGAAACGGGGGAGGAGAGACCACTAGGGGGGGCAGAGGAGAGCAGAGACCACTAAGGGCACACACACATCACCTACACAAACTGGTATCCCTATACACTACATTCCATAAGCACACACTTTAGATCCTCTACACTAACACGTAACCCATCCCCTACACACTCCACCCCCGCTGGGGGCCCAGACCTTGAGCTGTGCAAGGGGCCAAAAAAATGGAGCTGCTTCATGTTCCCCCAGAACATTGACTTTTGTGACCACAGTTACAAACAGCCGTCAGAGAGCTTGTTCTACACCAGACCAGTGGAGCCAGACTGCAACCAGAGCCCATCATCATCCTCATCTGGTTGTAAGTAGGCAATCTAGTATATTATTCGTGGCACTAATTTCTAATTTACCTCACATTAAAGGGACACTATAGTCCCCAGAACCACTGCAGCCTAATGTAGTGGTTCTGGTGTCTGTAGCCTGTCTCTGCAGGATTTTTAATGTAAACCCACACTGTGTGCAGCACTGGCGTTAGTTCATATGGCAGATCATATGGGTGGGGCATTGTGATGTCGCATAGGGGGGGGAAGGCAAATTTTTATTTTGCCTAGGGCGGCAAAAATCCTTGCACCGGGACTGCTAACAGACACACACCTTCACTGATGAATACACTGACGTACACTCACTGACAGATACACAGTCATTGTCACACACACTTTCACTGAAACATACACACTCACTGACAAATAGACACGCACACTCACCAACAGACACACTGACACACGCATTCACTGACAGATACACATACACACTCACTGACAGACGCACACTCACTCAGTGTCAGACACACACATACTCACACCTACACACTCACTGACAGACACATATACACTCCGTGTCAGAGACACACATTCGCTAACAGACATACACATTGACTGACAGATACACACTCTCACTGACACAAACTCTTTGATAGACACACATACTATCACTAACAAACATACTAACACTCACCAACAGACACACACACTAACACACACACTCTCACGGACACACTCACTAACAGACACAGACACACACTCTTACTAACACACACACACTCTCACTATTAGACACATAGGCGTGCGCAGCCTATTGCATTTGGGTGTGCACCCTAAAGCACAAACACACGCCGTGTGTGTGTGTGTGTATATATCTATATCTATATATATAGATAGATAGATAGATATATCCACACACACAAACACACACACACACTGCTGTGTGTGCTGTTAGTGTGCTGTTAGTGTGATGTGTGTGTGAGGGTGCTGTTAGTGTGATGTGAGGGTGTGTGTGTGTGTTTGTGACTGTGCTGTTTGTGTGTGTATGTTTGTCCTGTGAGGGTGCTGTTTGTGTGAGTGTTGTGTATTTGTGAGGGTGCTGTTTGTGTGTTTGTGAGGGTGCTGTTAGTGTGCTGTGTGTGAGGGTGTTGCGCTTTTTTTTAAAGGTGCTGTGTGTGTTTGTGAGGGTGCGGTTAGTGTACTGTGTGTGTGTGAGCTGTATGTGTGTAGGTGCTGTATGTGTGTGCTGTATGTTTGGAGGGATTTGGCAGATTAGTAAATCCTTGCTGCCATGTGCCATCCCTGGTCCAGTGTGAACTCGCAGCAACACTCAGATATCGCGAGAGGAACCTGGCGGAGCTTCTTTCTAGAGCTCCCTGGGTCCTCTCCTGCCTCCCTCCATGCTGCTGTGGGCCGGTGAGGTAGATCTTTGGTCTCCCCGCCGGCCCATGGAGGCTTAGAGCAGAGCTGGCACTCAGATAGCGCCGGCTCTGTGTGTGTGTGTGTGTGTGTATGTATATATATATATATATATATATATATACATATATATATATATATATACATATATATGCGTACACACACACACTCTCAGACACACACACACATACACTCACAGACAAACACATTCACAGACACACACTCACACAGACACACACATACACTCACTGACACACACACATACATTCACAGACACACACTCACAGACACACACACAGACACACACACACACTCACTGACACACACACAGACACTCACAATCACTGACACACTCACACACACAGACACACTCACTCACACACAGACACACTCACACACAGACACACACACACTCACACACAGACACACACTCACACACACACACAACACACTCACTGACACACTCACACATACAGACACACACTCACTGACACACTCACACACACAGACACACTCACACACAGACACACACTCACTGACACACTCACACACAGACACACACACACCACACACCTCACACACACACACACACACACACCACTGACACACTCACACACACAGACACACTCACACACACACACACACACACACACACCCACTGACACACACATACAGACACACACTCACTGACACACTCACACACAGACACACACTCACTGACACACTCACACACACAGACACACTCACACACAGACACACACTCACACACAGACACACACACACTCACACACAAGAACAAATTATTATAAAAATGTCCACCCAGCCTCCTACCTGGAGTGCTGGCGTGGACTTTTCCCTGGGGTCCAGTGGGGCGGGCACCTCTCTCCAGCTCAGCCGCGGCGAGGGAGCTCTCTGCTGTCTGCTGTCTGCTCCCTCTCGCCGCGCGGGCTGTCTGCTGTTGCCGGAATATGACGTCATATTCCGGCTCCCAGCATCAGCGCGCGGTGAGAGGGAGCAGAGAGCAGACAGCAGAGAGCTCCCTCGCCGCGGCTGAGCTGCAGAGAGGGGGGGGATCCATCACCTCTTGCCCCCCCCCATGACAGGGGCAAGAGGTGAGACAGGGGGTGCTGAGTGCCTGCAGGAACAGCGTTCCTGCTCAAAAAAAGTGCAGGAACGCTGTTTCTGCAGGACTCAAACCATAGGCGTGCCACGGGGATTAGGGTGTGCCCAGGCACACCCGGCACACCCCGTGCGCACGCCTATGATTAGACATACACTAACACTCCCACTAACAGACAGACTAACAAACACACACACTAACACACTCACAATTTATTTTTTATTATTTGCTTAGATTTTGGTGGCTTCTTCCCTGGGGTCCAGTGGGGCTGCCGCTGGTTGGGCTGGCAGGCACGCAGGCAGGCAGGCTAACAGTGGAGGCGGCGGAGGAGCAGTGATCCTCCTGTTCAGCTCCCTCGTGCGCCTCTTAGTAATGCCAGAGTGATGTCATATTCCTGCTCTGACATCACTGCGGTGCGCACGAGGGAGCTGAGCAGGGAAGAGCTCAAAGTGCGGCACCCACCTCCCACATCAGCCCATTCCAGCCTCGGGGGGGGGAGCCCACAGGTGGCCACCCAGCCAGCTCCTGAGCCCCCCATGACAAGACGTTTGAGGGGTGGCTTTCTTTGCCGTCCCCCTGAAAGTGCCGCACAAGGCAAATGCCTTGCCAGCCTCGTGGTAAATACACTGCTGTATATATCAAAAAACAAAAAGGTTATGGTGGGAAAAAATTGTGATTGAAAACGCCTTCCACCTGAAGTCTGTGGCTAGTTAATACAATGTTAAACAAAAATCTCCACACCAGTCAAGCCATAAGACTTGCTTTACTGCATTGATGTTACTACCGCAACGGATTCTGGGTGGGCATATGCAAATTAGTTTAACAAAGGATCACATTTTTGCCTCATTCCATTTTAATCATGGATTCCTTTGAATCTGTGTTTGCTGTATACCAAACACAACTTAGGAAAAGATGCAAAGCCAGTGAACCACTCGTGGATAGCTGTTTCGTTGTTAATGCAACTCATCAGCATGAGGCTGGTTACTGGCTTGCTATGGATGCTTGGCATTACTTGTAAAGTACATACTAAAAGAGTTGTGGTGGGGAAAAAAGTGTGGATGAAAAAATGTGGTTCTTTGTTGAGTTAATTTGCATACACATACCCATAATCCCTTGTAGTAGTGAGAGTACTGCTAAAGTGAGATTTCTGTGGGAAAAGCAAGTCTCATGGCTTGACTGGTGTGTGTATTTGTGTTTAGCAATGTATTAACTATCCACTTACTTCAGGTGGAAGGGGTTTTCATCCACACTTTTTCCCCACCACAACTCTGTTGATACATATACATATACACAGACCTGCAGTTGTGGGAGGAGTTTGTTGAACTTTAAATCGCACTGCAGCTTGTACCTCAAGACTGCAGGCATCTTCAGCTTTATGTTACGCCATGCTTCATTGCATTATTGCCATGGTTACAAATAACAACGTATGGGCCCAGGTTAACGTCTGCGGAAGCAGCTTTATCAGTGTTTATGTGGAGTGTCATAATTACCTGTAGGTTCTATGTATGCATTTGTGAGAGAGTGACTACTTATTATTAGAGAGAGTTTGTGACTAGTTTGGTATGTGCTAGTGAAAGTGAGTGACTAGATATAATTGTGAGTGGTTTTCATTAGGTGTGTGGGAAAGAGAGTGGCTAATAAAGTGTGAGGTAGTATTACTAGTTTGGTATGTGCATGTAAGACTAGCTGATGTATGAAGCTTAATAAGAAAATTTAGCTATGTGTGAGAGAATGGACAATAACGTGCAAGATAAAGTATGGAGAAATAAGTTTGGACGTCACTCAGTGATAATTTTGTCTGGCTGTTTAATACCATTGCCCTTTTATGGACTATGTAGTTGAGTTGTGAGTTTTTCTTAGATAGCTGTATCGCCTGTGGCAAAGCTCATCAGAAAATATAAACGACGTTGTGTCCTGGCGGCGGTGCTGAGCTGACGCATGTACTGAGCGCTCCGCTCCGACTAGACCCACAGGAGCAATTTGGCGATCACAGCCGAAAATAAAACAGAGGCAACAGGTACCCCAAGCCAGCATGTCACAAGCTAAAGGGAAGAGGCAAGCGGACAAGGCGGAAAAGACCGCATTTTTTGCCTCACGGACGCCGCAGGGGAAGCAGGCCTTGGTGCAGGAGGAAATCCAAGATGGCGCCGAAGAACCTGCTGAACAGTATAGCAAGTCCCCAAACAGTGAAGCTCCCCTCACACAGGAGATGGTGCGGACACTGCTGGAGGAGATGTCTGCTAGGCTGGAAAACAGCTTTAAAACCACAATTGGGGCCATGCATAAAGATATCCAAGAGCTGGAGGTGAGAACAACTGGGACAGAAAAAAAAATGGCGAAGCTGGCTGAAGCCCACAGAGGGCTGGAAGAAGAGGTGACAGAGCTACAAAACCAAATGAAAACATATGCATTAAAACTAGCTGACATGGAAGATAGAGCCCGCCGAAATAACCTGCGGATACGCGGGATAAAAGAGGAAGTGGGGCAAGCAGAAATGGCAGCATACCTGCACAACATGCTGAAAAAGCTGGCACCTGATATACCACAAGACCAGCTACTTATGGACAGGTACCATAGAACGGCCAAACCCAGCTTCCTACCCCAAGATACCCCAAGAGACGTCCTCATAAAAATGCACTATTACCACGTAAAAGAAGTGGTGCTCCAAACGTGCCGGGCGAAGAAGACTTCCAGACTCCTATGGGGGATTGATGGTGTTTGCGGACATATCAACGTATACGCTAAAAAGAAGGAGAGAATTTAAAAGTGTCACAGAACAGCTCAGGATTAACAAACTACCATACAGATGGGGATACCCGGTGAAAGTACTAGTGTCCAGAGGAGGGAAAGTGTCTACCATAACTACACCTGAGGAAGGATCCCGGTTGCTGCAATGGTGGGGCATGTCAGAGCCGAGCCAGCGGCTGAGCCCACAGAGGACGGGCGGTACCTCCATGGACTAGAGAAAAGTTAAAGAGAAGGCTTGAAGACAATGTCATTACGCCAATAGATTGCAAGCAGTACCGAGAGACTGTTGAGAGACTGGTCATGATAAACCGACCATGGAGGAACTCAAGGGTATCATATACTGCTCATTGACATGCTGAGGGTATGCCACAGTTAGGCAGTTTTTGTACACCACAAAAAAAAAAACACACTTGGCAGAACACCCAATAGGGGTAGCCTGGGCTCAGACTACGAAGACACCATGACCACCTTAAATGTTATTATAAGGGCCAAGTCAGGGAAAGCACCCCACCGACAGGAAGTTTACACTTCCACCCCCAGAGGTACTAAACAGTACCTAAGCCACATATGGCAAATCAGATACACGTTATGTTTATTTTCCCAGTTAATGTTATCTTCCCCAATTCCCCCCGGTTTAGCTGGGACCACTCAAGTTGCAACCCTCCCCAGGTACCCACAGGACACCTATACGGCGAGCCGAGCCCGGTGGGCTCTCACTGGCACTAAGGTCCCAAAAGGTACCCATTCACCCATACGTAGGCGAAAGAGGTTTGTCCTAATACTACTCTCAAATAGGGGAAAGTTGCTCGACTTGATGCTGCTGGGGCGAGCGAACCCCCCACATTGGTGCTTGTACAGACCCCCATGAAAATCTATTCCCTAAATGTTAGAGGGTTAAACTTACCGGTTAAGAGACACCAATTGTATAAAGAACTTAAACACGCAGATGCTGATGTCATCTGTCTCCAAGAGACTCACTATAGAACTGAAAACTATATTTTACCATCGGTGTCCGAATACCCACACCAATACCACGCGACATCCCCCACGAAGTCCAAGGGGACCTCCATACTAATATCTAAACGGGTAGCATTCACCTTGATCTCCATAGAATTAGATGCAAATGGGAGATATGCTATATTGAAATGCACTATTAACGACATGACATATACAATCACGAATCTCTATTCACCTAACGCAAACGAGAGAAGGTTCTTACAGCATCTGCTACAAAAACTAGCTACAATACAAGAGGGAGTGTCTATTATATGTGAGGACTTCAACCATGTTTGGGATCCCAGACTAGACTCTAATATCTCACAATACAGTCCTAGATATAAAATACTCCACAGACAATGCAAAAAGATACAAAACCTCCTTTCCCTTCACCACTACTTTGATACATGGAGAATATCCCACACATCGGAGCGGGCATACACCCACTTCTCTCATGTTCACAACACGTACTCGAGGATAGACGGGATTCTAATTTACAGGCAGGGACTCAACCAAATCGCTGACAGTGACATCGGCCAAATCACCTGGTCGGATCACGCACCAGTTTCGCTATCGGTCAAAGACCAATACGACTATAAACACCGCAGCCCATGGAGGCTGAACGCTTCCTTGCTGCATGACCGCACATTTAAAAAAGAAATAGAGGCCATCTTACACGACTACTTTATAGAGAATGCCACTCCAGGAATGTCTCAGGGCACAATATGGGCAACCCACAAGACGGTGGTTAGAGGGGTTTTCATTAAAAGGCCAGCATACCTACACAAACAATCCTCAACACAACTTACACAATGGAGACGGGACCTATACCAACTAAACACTCAAAACCAAATCTCCCCATTCAACGACCTTAAAACACAAATATCTAACATCACGGCCAAAATACATCAGAGAGCACTAGAGCAGACAGGATACATGCTCCAAAGATTAAAAATAAGACAATACACACAAGGGAATAAAGCTAGCAGATTCCTAGCCAAGAGACTACAAGAACGAAGGGCAAATCAAAAAATAGCTTTTCTCCTGTCCCCAACGGGGGAAAAGAAAATGATCCCAAAAGACATCTGCAATGAATTTGCAAATTATTACGCCTCCCTGTACAACATAAATAAAAATAACAACGCTTACCATCCCACAGAGGAACACATTAATGCATACCTGTCCACAATAAACCTCCCCACGATCACACCCCAACAGGCGAGATAGCTCACAAAACCAATATCAGAGGAAGAAATCCATACCATAATAAGGAACCTGCCAAACGGCAAAGCCCCAGGCCCAGATGGCTTGGACAATAGCTATTACAAAACTTTTCTACATCTACTAGCACCTCAACTAGTACACATGTTCACGGAGGTGACCAACACACAAGCTCTCCCCACGGACTCACTACTAGCCCATATCATAACATTACAAAAACCAGGGAAACCACCTACAGTCCCTCAAAACTTCAGACCCATCTCACTGCGGATGCGAAAATATTCACCAAACTGTATGGAATGAGATTGAGCATTCTCCTCCCCCGGTTGATCCACTCAGATCAGGTTGGATTTGTGGTTGGGAGACAGGGAGCGGACAACACGCGCAAAGTTTTAAACATACTGCACAGTCTACCCAGAATACACAAAGGGGGAGGCCTTGTGGTATCCCTAGACGCAGAGAAGGCCTTTGACCGCCTGCACTGGACATTCCTGGAAGCGGTCATGGCAAAGTTTGGGATTCCAAGCAACTTTAGGTCAGCGGTAAAGGCGTTGTACAGCGCACCAAAAGCCCAGGTACTCAATGCTGTGGGGATATTTATGGGATGACAATATTAAGCAGTCGAGAATTGCCCACTATTTCAATTCTCTTAGATCTTAGAGATCGTTTATCAAATAAGTGAAAAGTATTCCATACAATTAAATCACAATTTGTTATAATAATAGATTTATTTATTGTAACATGTAACATAACAATAATATTAGGCAGCATGCATGATAATAATCAGTGAGTATTTAGTATAACATAAGTATACAATACAAAGGAATGGCTATACACGTTCCAATGGCTAACAGCAAGAACTGTCACTTAAGATTTATGAGGGTGAACTTCACACAGCGAAAAGCCATAAAACCTTGGCTAACAGTTAAATCAACTGAATAACCCTTCCCATGCTGGCTAGATCCTCCTAGGCATATAGTATCCTATTCTCCTGTGATTTTCAATTAAATAACATACCAACCAGCTCATTAGTCATTTCCTGGAACCATCCAACCAGATTCTATAAGCCGAATTTTAATTTGAAGATATCTTATCTTATATTAGAGCAAATACACCTGGATAAAAACAGCGGTATGCTAACACGTGATACTATCACATTAATATATAATTATTCTTAATTCCACCTGCAGAATGGAATATTTATAACTATATATTCTTTAGTTAACTAAGATTTCTAAATATGAAATCTGACCGTGATTTATCCAGTCATATATCATGCTATTAGTAAATTTTAATTAATTTAAATTAATTAAATAAAAACAGCATAATTACCAGTTATGTAGATATTCTCATCAGATGAGTAGGTAGTCCCAGGAACTTGATTGGTTGTATGGAGGTGCGTGAGTAATAAAGAAAAGTGGTGTTGGTTAGAAAGTCAGAGTAGAATTTTAAGTGTCAAGGAGTTGTGTCCAAGAGAGTTTAAGAGTAGAGTGTTAGTCCCAGAAAATGTCCTGGATTTCTCTGCATGTCCGAATCGGAATTCCCCAAACTTCACCTCGTCTCTCTCTCAACTACCTTCTCTTCCCTAACTTTTAAAGGGCCAGATTCTCTGTACGTCATTAGTTGATAAACCAATAGGAAACCATAGATGTGTTCAATCTATGGATCGCAATTTAGGTATTTGATCCATAGAGGGCAGTCTTGTCTAACTAATCCTTCTTATCCAGGAAAGAGTTAACTTTTCCTGATGACGATTTTGACGTCATTTGGCTTATCTAAAATGACTACCATAACTTAGATTTGCTGTCAGTTCAAAGCGTTTGTCTCAGTCTTTGTGGCAACTACTTTGATCGTAATTTGTAAAATTGACAGTTCTAAACTCAATTTCACCCCTTACTTACAATGGAACCTTGTAAAATTTAGAAAGTAAAATTAATTACTTAGTCTGCTCTGTCACTAGTGTCTGTGTTTATGTAATGCATTCCTTTAACATTTAGACAGAGCATTCCATCCCCCTGCTTAATTGCTTATCACTTGGTTAGTGAAAGTAAGAAGAAACTATGTCTCTGTTATCCTGAAGATAGCAAAATGGAGTCCGCTCTGTTCTGAGTGACTCTGGCAATATACACTTTTAATTTCTTTTTAGCACAAAATGTCTGTTGATATAAATATTCTGACAATGCGGGATTCCTGTCTAGCCCCCTTAGCATCTCGAACGGAACGAGGCAGGGGTGCCCTCTGTCACCCCTGCTTTAGGTCCTAGCTCTGGAGCCATTGACCTCTAAGATTAGACAACACGACTCCATACATGGAGTGCGCATAGGGGTGAAGGAATACAAAACCAATTTATTCGCGGACGATGTGCTACTGACTCTAATATCAATGCCACACTTACTACAAGTAATAACAGAATATGGAGACAGTTCATACTATAAACTAAACGTAACAAAAACCCAGGCGATGGGGATAGGCATACCCAATGACGTAATGCAAGTACTACGGGGGAAATTTGAACTGGACTGGAGGACGGACAGTGTCACCTTCCTAGGAATTAAACTAACCAAGACATTAGGAGGCCTATTCAAGGCCAACTATGAGTCCCTACAAAAGGAACTGGAAGCCAGCTTGGCCTCATGGAAAGATAAATACCTATCTTGGCTGGGAAGGATGGCGGCATTTAAAATGTCTCTCCTCCCCAAGCTACAATACCTATTTAGAACATTACAAATAGACCTGCCGTCCTCATACCTGAACAAAATACAAACACTGCTCACTAAATTTGTATGGGCACAAAAGAGAGTGAGAGTAGCGACAAAATTCTTATATAGACCTATCCCCCGCGGGGGTCTTGCTTTGCCAAATATCAAAACCTATTACCAGGTGACACTATTGGCCCCAATGGTGGGGATACACACTTATAGCACAACCCCCCAATGGCTAGAAATTGAAGATCACTGGTTACAAGGGGTAGACCTTTGGAAACTAGTGCGGGTACCTAAAAAGATGCGCCCAACCCAACCTCACATACTACCCACCACCAAAACAATGCTGAAAGCCTGGGACAAAACACAGAAGGCATTGGTGTCCATGCTACCATGGTCACCGGCGACCCCATTAACCAGCCTACACGCAGCCAACAACACGTTTGACCACAGGGAATGGACAAAGAGAGGGTGTACACATGTGAGAGACCTCCTAGAGGCACACAACCTGATACCATTCCCCATTCTCCAAAAAACATTTAACCTACCCCCCAGACTGATATTTCCATATCTACAAATTAAAATCAATGCTAGGGGCCCACCCCGAACGGGGTGAGCACACTTACAGTGTTAGAGAGAATGTGTCTGAACCAAAAGCAGTCAAAAGGGATAATATCTATGTGCTACTCGCTCCTAAACGTGGGTACACCTGTACATCTGGATAGATTCAGTGAGGCCTGGCAGGGGGATATGGGAAAACAATTCGATGAAACCCAATGGGCAAAAGCAGTAACGGCACACAAGGGGAAGACATTGTGTACAACACACCTAGAATTAAAGAGGAAAGTGTATTATAGATGGTACATGGTGCCAGCCAGACTGGCAAAAATATATATATACCCAGGAACATCCGCACAGTGCTGGAGATGTGGGGTGATGGAGGGCACGATGTACCACGTGTGGTGGACGTGCGAGGTGATCCGTCCCTACTGGGAGATGGTAGAGAGCATTATTAAAGAGGTTGTAGACACCAGCGTCACAATCACCCCAGAAATGTGCCTCCTATTTATGGAATTGGGCCAGTTCAAAGGGAGTGAGGCAATATTGATCTTCCACATACTAATAGCAACCCTGACGCTCATAGCAAGAGAATGGAAAACTATAACAGCACCGACAAAACGAGTCCTGATAAAGCAGGTCTCTACTAACATACAATACGAAACGGTGGCGAGAAAAGCCTACGGCAACAGCCAGAGATTTGAGAAAGCTCAACTTAGATGGGAAACCATACACACCCCCACGAGACAAGAGGACAACGAATAGTCCCCAAAGCACTAGAGCGACCCCCAAGGGGATTTAACAATACAACAAGTATATGCCCCCAGGCGTACAAGATGGAGCCCAAGGGATATAAACCAGAGAGGGCCGAGAAGATAGATAGGGGTATAAAGTAATACAAGGGTATAGAGAGAAATACATTGAAATCAACAAGTGGACAGAACCGGTAGGAGGGCTACACACTGATCTCGCAAACCCACTCACCCACTCCTAAGGACAAAAGACTTATGGAAATACTTACCTCTATGGAAAAAATATTAATTGATATGGTGCTTGAAGTTTATCTTTTAAATGTGTGTTTAGTATGAACAGACTAACTCAGTAGCTCAAACAAAAAAACTAAATTATACTTTAAAAGCAAAAAACAACAACGTAATAAAATTGTAAACACTTATAAAATATCAAAACAGTTCTCACCAACTGTCAAACTACAAATATAACTAAATACAATGAAGTTCTATATAGTTATGGCCTGCATGACTATCAGATCCAAATAAGCCCACTGAGGAGATTAGATGACCTCCCAAGCAGGCATAAAGCTCCCCACTTGCTTGAGCAAGGGAGCTTGGTTGATGCAGACCATTTTCACACAATTTTATGCTTCTGAGCGGTTACCATGGCAATGCTTTGACTCACTGAGAAGAGCTAAAGCAGACACAGAGGTGGAGACCACAGGCTCCATCATTGTGCAGTCATCACCTAAGTACATTGTACTGAATTACATTTTAGTTGCATACATTGTTATTTGTAAGTTATCTAAAACCTCTCTTAACAGCCCGCCTCTGGCTACATGTCCAGTCATACCCCTAAAATTAAAGAGTCCCTCTCTGACCACTTGAAATGTTAGAAAGTGTGACTATGGAAGATCCTGTTGTCTTAAAGGATCATCTGTAGACGCAATTTTGCATGAAAGTACAATAGTGCCAATGGCTCCAGACAGCCGCAGCATTAGGAGTTGAAGAACAATGATAGCAGTGCTGAGGAAGGAGAACATCATGTGCCTATTACTCTCACCTCTGGCCACCACCATACAAGCTGACACATCAAAGTGACATTGGCACTTCAACTTAGCAAAAAAAAGTGCTGGCACTCCAATGGACTTTATAGTATTACTATGGCACAGCACTTTCAAAATCTTGCTTACGCAGTTCTAGAGTGCAGGATGGATATATAGCAGCAGCAATATGTGCACAGCTGCAACAATTATAATTGGAGGTATAAGCAGTGAACTTCTTGCACCAATGCTTTTGCAAACAATATAAGTAGATATGGTGCTTGTAGTATACATTTTAAATGTGAGAGTAGCTTGAAGAGTGGCTGGCTGGCACATCTGTATGCATGTTCTAAGTTTTATGTATACTAGCTGCCACATAAAAAAAAAAAAAAATAGTGCATTGACAAAAGCAGGTGTATAACTTTCCTGTATAGGAGATGCACACTGAGGACAAGGCCTAGAATTTTTAACCACCCAATCCTTGCTCTCCAACTCAGCCACTGTTTTCCGCACCAATTTCTTCCCATAGTGCTTTTCTAAAAAATTCTTTGTGGCATCATCTGCTTTCCGATATTGTTCACACACCTCAAGTAGTTTTTCTGAAAAAAAGTAAAGAGAATTTAAAAAAAACAAGTTAATTATCTGATTAAAATTTTTTTTTTAAATCTAAATTAAATAATTAAATAATCATTTAAATATGTTTAAGCCTGTAGATCAGTGGGGTCTCATCAGTATGTGTGTTGGCACAGTGCCCCTCACCCAGAGTTTTTGTTTTATGTCATTTTGAAAGTCTGGTTTTATTACCCCTTCCACAGTGTGACAAGCTGCTTGGCTGAGCTAAAATAAACATGCCTTAGCCCTACCAGCCCCCAGAAGCCACCTATTGTCCATCTCCCTATTCAACATGGGGAAGACAGGCCTGCATAGAAACATAGAATGTGAAGGCACATAAGAACCATTCAGCCCATCTAATCTGCCCAATTTTTAAAATACTTTCATTACTCCCTGGCCTTACCTTACAGTTAGGATGGCCTTATGCCTATCCCACGCATGCTTAAACTCCTTTACTGTGTTAACCTCTACTACTTCAGCTGGAAGGCTATTCCATGCATCCACTACCCTCTCAGTAAAGTAATACTTCCTGATATTATTTTTAAACCTTTGCCCCTCTAATTTAAGACTATGTCCTCTTGTTGTGGTAGTTTTTCTTCTTTTAAATATAGTCTCCTCCTTTACTGTGTTGATTCCCTTTATGTATTTAAATGTTTCTATCATGTACCCCCTGTCTCGTCTTTCCTCCAAGCTATACATGTTAAGTTCCTTTAACCTTTCCTGGTAAGTTTTATCCTGCAATCCATGAACCAGTTTAGTAGCCCTTCTCTGAACTCTCTCTAAAGTATCATTATCCTTCTGGAGATACGGTCACCAGTACTGTGTACAATACTCTAAGTGAGGTCTCACCAGTGTTCTGTACAATGGCATGAGCACTTCCCTCTTTCTACTGCTAATACCTCTCCCTATACAACCAAGCATTCTGCTAGCATTTCCTGCTGCTCTATTACATTATCTGCCTACCTTTAAGTCATCAGAAGTAATCACCCCTAAATCCCTTTCCTCAGATGTTGAGGTTAGGACTCTATCAAATATTCTGTACTCTGCCCTTGGGTTTTTATGTCCAAGATGCATTATCTTGCACTTATCCACATTAAATGTCAGTTGCCACAACTCTGACCATTTTTCTAGTTTACCTAAACCATTTGCCATTTGGCTTATCCCTCCTGGAACATCAACCCTGTTACATATCTTAGTATCATAAGCAAAAAGACATACCTTACTATCAAGACTTTCTGCAATATCACTAATAAAAATATTAAAGAGAATGGGTCCAAGTACTAGCTTATCTGCCCATGCTGCTATAGACAGATTGCACCAAGAGGTTTTGTATACAATCCTCCACTTCGCCTGGTGCCCAGCAGCAGAGTCCCTCTTAGCTCTGGACCGGATTGGTACAATGAATTACTACAAATCCATATATCGATCATGCTTGTCTCATGCACAGACAGCTTGACCAACTGTGTTCCAGGACAACTTTACCAGGCTGCAGTGGGCTGTGATCTGCTTAGACAGCACCAAGTATGGGGTCAGAGTAGAGCCTGTCATTCATAGTGTACTTTTCTTTTTCCCCTTTGACTATCTGTATTGACTGATTTTTTCTGTATTGCTAAATGTGGAATTTAAATATAAGGGTGAACGTTCATGCTGTTTATGAAACAGTAAAAACTTTTACCTTTCCAGAATTATTTGTTTTTGTCAATCACTTTTTTTATTGAGGTTTAGGGATGACAAGAAGATGGAATAGTACATGAATTGACATAAGACTGTTTCAAACAACCGATCGGCCTACTGATACCATACTTCTTTTTTTGTTTTATAATAGGAAAAGAGGCAATTGAGTGATATGGATATGACTAAAATACAGAACAGATACAGAGTCATGTAAGATAAAACAATCGTTATGAAGCGTGCCCAATAAAATATAAATGGAATAAAAGAAATAAGACACAATGATAAATGTGATAAACATGGAAACTGAGAGGCTTATGATGTACCCGCCAATCAGACATGGCTACACATCCCTTGAGTTCTATATTCCTTTTGTAGATTATGTCATAACATGAGTAGCTAACTGTAATATTTATGAGGCTAACAGTAATAAAAGTAATGTATGTTGATCTTAATGGCTAGTATATATAAAAAAAACATTATCTATTATCGCTCATCCAAAAGTCACCATGAGGAGCACCCCTAACTGACAGTGCTGCAGGGTGCGGGAGAGACAATCTCATCAGTTACAGTGAGGATATCAGACTAAAACATTGCACCATGGTGCATTGAGACCTAGCAAACCTGTGTCATGTAAATAAAACAGACACATACATACAGACAGACACATACATACGTACAGATACATATAGACAGACACATAAATACAGACATACACATACAAACAGATACAAAAAATTGCTGGTAAGACCACACCTTGAATATGCTGTGCAATTTTGGGCACCTGTTCTAAAGAAAGATATCATGGACTAGAAAAAGTCCAGAGACGAGCTACAAAATTGATAAAAGGAATGGAGCATTTTAGTTATGAAGAAAGGTTAAAAAATGTAAATCTGTTTAGTTTGGAAAAAAAGGGGCCTGAGAGGGGATATAATAACATTATACAAATATATTCGGGGGCCAGTACAAACCTTTATCTGGAAATCTATTCATAAACAAGGCTATACATAGGACACGAGGTCACACATTTAGGCTGGAAGAAAGGAGATTTCATCTAAGGCAAAGTTGTTTTTTTACAGTAAGATCAATAAGGATATGGAATTCTCTGCCTGAAGAGGTGGTTTTGTCAGAGTCTATACAGATGTTTAAACTGCAATTGTATAAATACTTGCAAAAACATAACATACAGGGATATAATTTATAATTAGTGGAGTAATAGCTGCTTGATCCACGGAGACATCTGACTGCTATTTTGGGGTCAAGAAGGAATATTTTCCTAGTTTGTGGCAAAATTGGAAGCGCTTCAGACTAGGTTTTTTGCCTTCTTTAGGATCAATAGTAAAAACATATGTGAGGAAGGCTGAACTTGATGGATGCAAGTCTCTTTTCAGCTATGTAACTATTTAACTATGTAATATATACATGCATATTTTTTATGTGTTTTCTACTTTTGGAGTGCAGGAGGCTGGCTCCTTTTCTTCTACTCCTCCCGCGCAGCGCTCTGTGAATGCTAGGAGGAAGTGACCGGGTGTCACGTACTCCCAGCATCCTGACATCATCACAGGGGGCCCGGTCGCGCTGTCAAAGCAGCCAGGACCCTGAAAATCCATCGCCATCGGGTGGCCCTTAGAGCATTGGCCACCCGATGAGCCTCCACATCGCGCGGCCAGTAGTAGTTCCACGCGAGCCACACGCACCACGGTTGCCCCGTGTTAAAGAGGGCCCTGAAAATTGTCATAACTGTTTACAAATGGTTTGACACTAAAATGGCTTCAGCAGGTGTCCATAATGCTTCTGGTCTGCGATGATATGCTACAATGAAAGTTAATACTGCATTATCATAAAAAATCATACCAAGTTTGAACACAAATCATTGGATGTGAGACATCAGTTAAAATTTAGGAGATTCATCATTTGTCTTGACTAATAAGTGAAGTCAAGATTATACATGTTACAAGGTCGCCTGGTACTCTGACATTGTCTAGGATTTCCAAAACGGTTTAAAAGTTTAGTTGATGAATTCCTCAATGAATGTATATGGAGACCCAGGTAACCATCAGCATCAGCACATGGGGTGCAAATCTAAGAGCAAAAATGCACAATCGTAAAAAACTTACCTGTTGTTAGTCTACATTTTGAGATTCCATGGTAGGCCAATTTACAGACAGTGCAGAAGGCATAATGGCAACAGGAGCAAATACCCATAGTGTAGTCCAGCTCCTGCATGACTGGTGTCCGACAACATGTACGAGGACAGTACACAACATCTGGCATGAGATCCAAGCTGGACTGCAGGAGGAGACGATCATAACGGCTGAACAGCTCTTCTTCTACCAGTTCCTTAACCTACATGCAAAGAGGCAAAGGTGATTATTTTCATTATTCTATCAACACAAAGGACACAAACACAATCTACATGCAAACACATCACTGCATGTGAATGCAAGCATAACATACAAACACACCTCTGCATTCAAATGCTAAAATGATATACAAATACCAACTCTTATAGAAAACAAATACTCTAAACATTCACTAATAGAAAACAAATAGTCTAAACGAGCATTTCCCAATTGGTGTTACACGGAACACTAAGGTTCTGCGAGAGCAAAATTGAGGTTCCACCTCGATTTGCCCATCGAATAGTCCAAGTACTTAGCGCCACCCATCAGTATTGCTAAACAGGGGTATCAGATGCTGGGAGGAAGTTTCCTTGTGGGACAGAGAGAGGCAGCAGCAAGGTCTGAGCAGCAGCACACCAGATAGCAGCGCTCCAAGCAAGCCACCATCCTGCAGAGAAAAGGTAACCTAACAGGAGGGTGGCTGCAAATATAAACATTGTGAAATGTGTGTGTATATTTGTGTCAGTGTGCATATTTGTGTGACAATGTGTATATCTGTATGTGCCAATGTGTGTATCTGTGTGTGTATGTATGTGCCAGTGTGTGTATCTGAGCGTGTGTATCTGTGTGTCAGGGTGTTTATCTGCCAGTGGGTATCTATGTGTGTGTGTATGTGCCAGTGTGTGTATCGGTGTGTCAATGTATGTGCCAGTGTGTGTACATAATGGCACCAATATGATAAAAGTTTAATTTTCAGGATTCAACTGTAGCTCACAGACCCTAGGACTACAATTCTACATTTACAGGCAGAGAAAAATGAGCATGGTAAGTAAACTATATTACATTATAATCCACATGAAATATAAATCACTTGGCAAAAATAGACTGTATGCTGAAACATAGAAACATAGACTGTGACGGCAGATAAGAACCATTCGGTCCATCTAGTCTGCCCAATTTTCTAAATACTTTCATTAGGCCCTGATCTTACTTTTAAAGTTGACCTCTCAACCAAGACTGATTCTCCATAGAAATCCATAGTTACACATTTACCTGTGTTTTGAGATGATAAATTATGCCTTATATGATCATGATACCAAAACAACATTCTGTTTCTGATCTTTAAAACGTCTCCATTATTTTGTATCACAGAAGAAGTTTACATATCCAATACATGGGTTAGTTAAAAAGGTAAATGTACCCCATTCTAAGAATGATATAACAAAGGGCAACTAGCAAATTCAAGAACAGCACAAAGAAAAATAACTGTGGTGCATGGTAAATAAAATAAAAAAACTTTGGGGTTACCTGAGCAGGTGTTGCTGTGGAGGAGCACTCTGGTTCTGGACAGTTCAGAGAGTGGACTTGGCCATCTTTTATTTTTATTTCAAAGTAATCTTTGAGGCAAATGTTGCAGTAGACATGATTGCAAGGTTTAAAATTTGTGCACTCGCTGCCCAGCTTTTCTGAGAAACAGATATTGCACATGTACAATTTGCTATCAAAGCATTTCTTTTGCTGAGACTCGTTGAATTCCAAGATGCAATTTATCAGGGCAGACACAGACACCACATCCTGTATGACCCTCTTGTCATAGACCCTATTCTCTTGTGATTCTGCATTGCTGCAGAGATCGGTTTCCACAGGAGTTTTATTACAGTTCTGTGACACATTGGGACACACTTCAATCTCATAAGGTGATTGGATACTTAAGTACTTAAAAGTCTCCTTCTTTAGAAAGTGTGTCCAGGCAAACAGAACAACACATCCTGCATTCTCCTTCCAGAGTTCATCTAAGTGCTGACAAAGTCTCACAAGCTGAAACAAAGTAAAAAAACAAACAATCAGAAAAGGTCTGAGAGTCTGATGCAAGGTGGAATATAGATTTATTAAACAACTTATAAATATTATTTCCGATGCATATTGGGAAATATGTTTCTAAAAGGCTTATGAATTTAAATTTTATTTCATAGATCTACACTGACGACCTACTGAGATTCTTCTTCAGATTAAAATGTTTTCCACAAAAAAACACTTTGTGTGGTGCCACTGAATAATACTTTATAAGGGAGAGTAAATAAATATTACATTCTATAACACTGTTGCAAATTGCAAATAAATCTCTAACCTGCTTGGGTATGAGCCACTTGCAGCTGAGTGTGAAGTTTGGAGGTGAGGTTGATGGATAATCTGAAGGAAATTCAAAATTCAGCACAACTGGTGGTAGGTAAGAAAGTGTGTCCTTAAAGTTCTCAATGAAAATATTTTCTGCGGAGCTACCTGGAAAAAGGACAGAAGATAAACTTGGATGAAGACCGTCCGGGGATCTACTGGAAGTTCCCATCTTATGTTCCCAGTGATGGCGACTGTGTATATATAACTAGTTGTGAGTAGATCAGATTTCACAGTGTAAGATCATTAATATATTCAAAACACATCTGACCATCAAAAAGGCCTCATGGTGTTAAAGAGACACTATAGTCACCAGAACAACTACAGCTCAATGTAGTTATTCTGGTGTCTATAGCCTGTGCTTCGGGCATTTTAATGTAAACAATGTCTTTTCAGACATTGCTGCCTAGGGACACCTCGTGTAGGAGTCACTCGGGCGGCCACTAGAGGTGCTTCTTGGGTTAGTGCTGCATAATGTGCTGCCACCTCTTCCCAAAGTAAACAATGCACACACCCATCTATGCACCTGAACTAAAAGAAAACGTGATTTATCAGACTAGACAACCTTCTTCCATTGGTCGATAGTCCAGTTCTGATGCTCATGTCCCCATTATAGTCACGTTAAGAGGTGGACAGGGGTCATCATGGGCACTCTAACTAGTTTGCAGCCCCATATGCAGGAAACTGCAATGATCTGTATGTTCTGACACTTTTCTGTCTTGGCCATCATTATGTTTTACAGTAATTTGAGCTACATTAGCTCTTCTGTGCAATCGGACAAGTGAACACACAGCAAAATGGAACTCCTTACTTTAAAAGCATTTACTAGGGTGAATAACTGAGTAATTGTCACAGCTCATCTTTAAAACTGCACATGCAGTGTGTCATAATCACATAAAGGAAAATATGTTTCCTGTTGTATTGCTCATTTTGTCAAGAGTGCACATGAAAGCTTTAACCACCAAACTTCTGGAATAAAAGGGAATCATGATATGTCACACATGTCATGTGTCCTTAAGGGGTTAAACAATATCTAGCCCATATTAAGTGATCTACAAAGGTTTACCCTGAAGCTATGTATATCAAGCAGCCTGCAAATGTCTACATATAGCCTATATATATATATCAAGTGACTTTAAACTATCTTTTTCTTTAACCAGTCTATATGAATTTGATGACCTACAAATGTCTTAATCTACAAGAGGCTCTGCTCTGCTCATTAGTAAGAAAACGCCAATACAAACACTCACTCACTTTTGATCGATATTTCAAAGTTAGATGGTAACTCGAGGCACACTTGGATTTCCCCTCCCTTTGATGTTTCTGCTCTCCTAAATTCATCTTTGGGGAAAATATTAGCGAGCGCTAGTAATTCATCCTCCTGTGCTTCCCGGTCTTCTCTTGACATTGGTTAGCTTTAAAGATTAGAAAAATAATACAACAGACACTTCTGCATATCAAAAGAAAACAGAGAGAGTACCTATCAATACAGAACAAAGAAAGAAAGGAAACTGTCACTAAATATAAACTGTACAAATAAAGTACCTATTATGATGAAACAAATATAAAATAAAAATAACAAATAACTTTATTAAGTGTACATATTAAAAAGAAAGAATGGAACACTAATAAGCTAATAAAATCAAACAAAACGATATCCCAAAGTGAAAGGATATTACTGGTGTCTCAGATTGCAAAAATACTACACTGCACACGTCTGTGCAGAGTAAAAGGAAGGGGAGGGGGGGTGGGGGGGGCGAAGGAGAGGACGCCTAAAGTAATTCAAATATATAGATATAGCTACAAGGGGCTAATAATTAGAAAAAATATATGAATATAAGTAAAAAAAAAAAAGGAAATTTGTATGTCAAGATCGATAATAGACGAAAAAAGCTGAATAGCTATATCGTAGAAAAAATCAGAATGCAAGGAGACACTGAAGATAGAGTGCCCAATGACAGTCAATAAAGTGTTAACTAGAGAATATCCGATGTCGGGCGGCTAATGTCTGCATAAAAATCTAGGAGAACAGTGATGGTCCTAATAATACACGGTTGAGCTGTAAAAATATTGCTACAGAATTGGAATACAGCGTCCTGTTCTGCATACAGCGCCAAAACTAACGTTGTTGAAAATAGTCAGCAATATGTTGTGAACTCCGATATTAACAAATAGATACAAAGTTATCAAGTAATAGATTCTAACAGCTGTGAAGTACTGGACAGTACATAGTAGCGTTAACTAAATGGTAATGAGAACAGAAAAGAGTTCTGGCAGAAAGCCTAAATAATAATAAGAGTTCCTGCTAAAGTATTAGAAATAACAGCATGTAATGCCATATTGAATAAATATGAGAGAGAAAGAAAAAAGAATAAACAGAAAACAGGTAAAAATAAATAATAAATAGCGTCCTATAACCTAAGGACCCCCCATGTGCCTTCATGGGCACCAGGACTAACCCCCACTAGTAATCACCTAAATGAGACAGCAGATATAAAGGAAGATACAAAATATGAAAAAAATATATATATATGATAAATGAAGGCGATAGAGTAACGCCAGAATCCCCTGACGCGCGCGTTTCGCCAAAGCTCGTCAGAGGGGAACTGGGTGCCGCCAACTCGAGCATTTAAAAATGAAGGCTGGAAAGCTGATTGGCCAAATTCAAAATGTTCTGATTGGATAATCGAGAGATGATGTCACTCAGTAGGAAGAGTGTGTCGGCGGTTATGTTTGCCAAACACACATTAACCCTAAATATTCCAGTCCTGAATTTTATAAAAAGAAAAAGAAAAACAAAAAGAAATAGTCTGAATTCAATAATAGATTGGCTACAATGTAATACAACCAGCAAAAATAAACCAAATAATCAATAAGACATAAACTTGACCTTAAAAGTAAGAAGGAAAACACACCATATCTAACAAATACAGAGACACAATTAGGATAGCAATGACCCAATTGAGACACAGTAAGCACTGTGTATCCTCTGCATATATTATGATAGAGAACTAGTTAATGCAACATTGTTGTGGAATAAAGAAGTTTGAACCATATGGTAAAGAACACAAAATTGCATCAAGAGACAATAAAAGAGATCAAAAAGGCAGACAAGCATAATAGACTATTATATGAAAAGAACATGATTATTTATGAATAAATGGAGTAAAATTAAACTCCTCATTGAGACCATTAGGAAAAAGAGTCTTGAAATGATAAATCCATCTCGATTCTTTCATTAGCAGCATTCTGTTATAATTGCCTTTACGGGAATTCAATGTTAATCTTTCAATAGCTTGAAAAGTTAGATTAGAGGGGTCTCCATTATGGTGAACCCTAACGTGGTTTGATAGAGGGGTAGAGATATTGATATTGGAAATGGAACATATGTGTTGAAGAATTCACCTCCTAAACTGTTGATATGTTTTACCAATATATTGTACTTTACAACTGCAAGTTATAAGATAAATAACTTTTGTAGAATTGCAGTTGATAAATTGTTTTATTGAATATTCCTTCCCTGTGTGTGTACTTTGAATAACTTTCAGAAGTAGATTTTCACTGAAATTACCGAGGTATGGATTTCCATCCAGGAAATCCCTTGGGACAACCCGGAATTTATTAGCAACCTTTTTATTGTCCTGAAAAAAGGCAGCCTAGTTCATCCTGAGAGCAATTTGAACTCTTTGATTTCATTCTTTCACTAACAACAGTTCAAGATTGAGGGCATTCATGGCCTACGGGATCTTTTTTAACAGTCAGATTGGATGGTCAGACTTGACCTCATGGATGCTTATTGGATGATTCCCATCGTGCACAATCGAAGAAATTTGTTCCAGAGTATACAAAGTAGAGATTCACTGGCTACCTTTAGGTCTTTCTTCACCAAGGTCATGAAATCGCTGGTTGCGTTCCTAAGGAGTTGATGGGTCCGCTTTTATTATTTATATTGAAGATATCCTGATCCTTTTGCCATTTATGCCCCTTCTACGTACACACCTTTCTTGGATGCAATGGCTTCTGCAGAATCTTGGTTTCCTTATAAATTGTGAAAAAGCCATTCTGGAACCACCACAGACCATCGACTTTCAGGAATTTCTGGTAGATGCCTTTCAACAAACCTTGCAAAGTCAAATCATTCAATAAATAAGATGCCTCCTTCTATGATACTGTCTGTCACTCAGGCATCTTACTCGCATGATCTGACCTCGTCCATACAAATGCTTTTCCTGGGGCCATTACATTATCCGCGCCCTAAAGCTTCTTACCTCTGGTCCTGACATTTGAATGAGACTGTATGAGAAGCCAAGGAAGTGTTGATATGATGCCTCTCACACATGGATGTGTGAAACAGGAGAGCCATATGTGGTTCTACACTAGATGTGATAATACAGGCTGGCGCCAGCTTACACAATTTGACCATTTCTACAGATGAAAGATGGTCAGACGAGGAGTCTTTCCTCCATATTAATTTCCTGGAATTATTGGCAGAGTTTGCCATTCACAGTATCTCCAAACAAATGCCTCCTGCTCCATCCTATTTAAAATGGACAATGTGGTGGCAGTTCGATATATAAATCACCTGGGGGAATGAGATCAAGGACAATGGTGGTGCTTGCTAAAGATTTTGGCATTACTGCCTCATGCAGACTTTTTTTTGTATTCTCCTGCCATTTTCAATAAGTTGTACTGCTAGCAATACTGTCAAGGTTCTTACAAATACCTATAAGCAACCCTTGTTTCTAAAAAAAGAATATGCTAATATATTTTTCAATCAAAAAGTGTTTTGAAGTAAAGGGGTTAATTGTTTGGTTTGTGGCATTCATGGGCTGGTAAGTTTACTTCACTTTAACTGTTTGGGCATACTTTTGATCATTGTATGTGTTTTTCTGCTGCATTTTAATTTTGATGTAATATTGAATTTTCCTATTAATGTGTCATAACTTTATTCTCGCATGTCTAATATTGTTTGATGGTAAACTATATTTGCTTGACAAACATTACCATATTTTCTAGCTTGATACGCCTTTATCTGATTTTGTTCGTCATTGTTGGAGCAACATCTTCGCTGAACTCTGCTGGTTCCTTTTTTTGCTGCCGTTGCATGGTCTTCAGGTTGTGCAATAAAGAGTGGTTGCTAGGATTGTGTTGTGCTTTTTATAGAGCATGCTTGTTTGTGATTGGTTGATGTGTTTTTAACCCCTTAAGGACCAAACTTCTGGAATAAAATGGAATCATGACATGTCACACATGTCATGTGTCCTTAAGGGGTTAAAGGGGCACTATTGGCACCAAAACCACTTCATCTCATTGGCATTTCCTGCTGTTTCACAGAGTTTAACTCTTTAAAACAAGGCTGGAAGTCTTCACGCTTTGCACGAGGATGTCCAGCGGTTTCTAAATCCCCATAGGAAAGCACTGATTCAATGCTTTCCTATGGAGAAAGCCTAACGTGCTTTAGGTTACCCCTCATGATGTCATTGGAGTAGGCAGAGACGGAGGCAGGGCCAAGTGATCTCAGCGCTGCAATAAGGTTATATTCCTAACACTATGGTGTCCCTTTAAGCAGATTTAGTTAACACTTTCATGTGTTTTTCTCTCATTCTTCTCTTTTAAAGAAAAAGAATATCATAATATGTGCCTCCATGTCATTAATTAAATCATGACTTTACATTAATAGTAAAATATGTGAATTCAAGGTCAAAATAGCCTAATTGGAAAAATTCTCTCAAGTCAGCAATGCTTTCCATTCAGCTTCTCTGACCTTAAATGTGAAATTCACTTCAAATTCACTTTGAATTCTCACTTTAGTGAATAACCCAATAAGAGTTGCAGCTAGTCTTATTCTTCAAACAGTAACAGAAGAAATGCTCACACATTTCAATATAGGACTTTTGCACACAAACAGTAAGCACACAAATGGTTTTGATGTAAATGGAAGTCAGATCAAACACTGAAAATATACTGCTTGTAAAGTAAAAACAGTCACAATACCTCCACTGAATTTATCGATGCTCTGTGAAAAGTCTCTTCTTTCCATTTCCTACTATTATGATTTAATTTGAAATACTTATTCCAATATTTCCTTCATTTGTCATGATTTTATTGGAGAACCTCTCTGAATCCGAACACTCATTGTGAATGCGTAGCTGCCAACATTTGAAATGGACACAGAGAGACACTTTCATAGTATGGGAGTATTCAGAGGGCAGGATATTCTGAGATTTTTTTAGGTGACTAACTAAGAACAATTTATTCATCTAAAATGGAATTTAGAACAAGAACCATGTACTCATTTACACAAAGTGATTTCTAAACATATTTTTTGTAGTTCAAATACACCTTATTATTATTATTTATAAAGCACGAACAAATTCCACAGCGCTGTACAATGGGTGGACTAACAGACTTATTTGTAACCAGACAACTTGGACACATAGGAACAGATGGATTGAGGGCCCTGCTCAATGAGCTTACATGTTAGAGGGAGTGAGGTATAGTGACACAAAAGTTAAGGGTATGGTATAAAAGTAGTTTGATAGAATAGTAGTCACTGAGTGCTTAGTGTTTTATTTTGATGACAGTTGCAGGAGTGGAATCGGGGTGCAGGGAGGGAAAGCTTGTGACGGTCTAATTAATATGCTTTCCTGAAGAAGTATTCAAAGATTTTCTGAAGGAGTGGAGACTGGGTGAAAGTCTACTAGAGAGGGGAATGGCGTTCCATAGGAATGGTGCAGCCCAAGAGAAGTCTTTAAGGTGAGCATCAGAGATAGGAGTACAAACAGAGGTTACACGCAGGTCTTCGGGACATATTTGTGTAATACTGAGGATAGGTAGGTCTGAGCAGCATTGTGTAGAGTTTTGTAAGCAATTACCAGGATCTTAAATTGAACCCTATATCTTAAGGGAAGCCAAAGTAGGGACTGACAGAGGGGGTCTTGGGAGGTGCGGGCGGACAGGAAGATGAGCCTCGCCGCATTCAGTATAGACTGTAACGGGGCAAGTTGGAAACACGTAAGACCACTGAGCAGCGGATTACAGTAATCAAGGCAAGAGACGACAGCAGCATGGACATGCATGGATGTTTGCTATGTTTTTGAGATGAAAGCAGCAGGATTTGGCGATTGTTTGGACATAAGGGGTGAAGGCGAGGTCGGAATCAAAGAGAACATCAATCATGGGAGAACAGGTACATTTGCATGTCATCTGCATAGATATGATACTGGAAGCCAAAGGAGATGATGAGTTTACCAAGGGAGGCAGCATAGATTGAGAACAATAGGGGACCAAGGACAGAACCTTTGTGTGAAGAAGCAGAGCCTGAATGAAACACTGTAAGAGCGCTGGGAGAGGTAGGAAGAGCACCAGGAGAGTGGTATCTCAAAGACTGAGATTATGGAGGATGGGAGGAAGCTGTTGATGATCAACAGTGTCAAAAGCAGAAGAATGGTCACAGCTGCTTCAACAGAGCAGAATCCAAATTGAAGTGGGTCAAGCAGAAAGTTTGATTTTAAGAAGTCTGTCAATCTCGCGTACACAACTCTCAAGGATCTTGGAGGCAAATGATAGTAGCAAGATAGTAGGGCGGTAGTTGGACGGAGTCAAGGTTGGGATATTTTAGAATCTGTGTTATGGTTGCATGTTTGAAGGGTAGAAGAAATATGTCAGAGACGGAGATTGAAATACGAGGGAATAGGATCAAGGGAACAGGTGGTGGGGCGGGAGGGCCAGAGAAGAGCAGGAAAGGGACTTTAGGACAGAAAAGAGGGATAGAGGGATTTGGGCACAAATGAGGGACTGGCCATCCTAAACAGAGAAACTTGGGAGGTATGTGAATGTTGTTGCTTCCACACATTCCTGCACAGGCCTGGACATTTCTAGTAGTCCACTCCAAGATAATCAATCAGAGCAGAAAAGTAAAATACGGAATTGATTTTAAAATAATATTATTATTATTATTATTATCACTAGCATGTTTTATAAGGTGCCAACATATTCTGCAGCGCTGCACATTTAATGAAAAAGTCAGTGTAATATACAAGTAAAAAAGGTAAAGAGGAGGTTGCCCATGAGCTGAGATCTAGCCACGGAAGCTCTTTTATACAAAGTACTTAGCTACTTTGAAGTTAACCCTTCAGCTTCAAAAATAGGGGATTTTTGACAATAGGTAGCCAGACTGTAAGCTCATTTGAGCAGGGTCTTCAACTACCTATTTTTTCTGTTACATTTTGTTATTGTCTCATTTGGTAAATACCCCTCTTATTGTAAAGCTCTGCGGAATAAGCTGGTGCTATATAAATACCAATAATAATAATAATAATAATAATAAGAGGGATTCATAGTTAATGGTAAGATAAGTCAGTCAATGATAATTGCACTTACTGGTAACAAGTAAAATGAATGAGAAAGTAATTGAGTGAGATCTCAAGCACCTGGAATGCATGCTATAAAGTAGAAATAACCAGCGTGGGCATGAGGGTAGTCCTGCACTTTCTGTTAGCTGAGTTTGTGGCAGCTGACTTAAAGGGACACTATAGGCAGTATTAAGACAGCCCTGGAGGTGCTTCTGTGAGTTTAGCGGACTCTATGTCTCCTAACTGACACTGTCAGGACACCCAGCAATGCTTGAGGCAATGCTTTCCTGTGGGTAGTGCCTAATGTGCATGTGGCGCTAGCTGCGCAAGCTCATAAGGTTCCCCCCATCGGATGACAATGTAGAAGGTGGGGCGCCTTCCCACAGCAGAGTTTAACCCTTTATATACCAGAGGGGGTCGCCATACTGTTTGGGGAGGGCAGATGGCTCTAAAGTGTTTGGAATACAACTTTGGATTTCTAAAACTATAAAATCCCTTTAAGGAACATAAATGGAGATAAGACACAGTCAAAAGAACAAATGTCCTGCTAGGAGGGGCAAGGGATGGGAGCATCTTAATTGTACTTGCCAGCCAGCAAACATATTAATGACTATATGTGCATTAAATATTGGTGAAATACATTAAATGAAAATAACAATGAAAAACTGCAGAAACCTACAGTGGTAAACTACAGGTAAAAATTGTATGTTTGTTATAGCAAAAACTTATAATATGGTAACAAAGGTAGAATACATCTGGTGGAGTTTCTTCCAAGCTTCAGTCAGTACCTTTAAGTTGCAGGAAAAGGTGGAAATGAAGTTTCTCTGTATGTTTTGTTATCTGGGTTTGAAGACAGAGGCCTAAAGAACAGAAACAAAGATAAGACAAGACATTTATTGCTAGGAGGAGCAAGTTGTGGGGGAGGGGGATTTGCGCAAACGTTAGTTGTATACAGTCCATCATCATCTATACGGCCTTTATTGATTCCAAGACCCTTCAAAATGGCTTTATTTCTGTCCATATAGAAAACTCTCAGGCATGATTGTTTCCAGGCAGATTTATTGCAACGTTTCGACCTGTTAAGGTCTTTATCAAGCTTGATTTATCAAGCATCTGTAAAAGTAGACACTCCAGGGTATCTCATATAGTGCATATTGTGCCTTAACATGTCCCCATTTTTTCACCAATATATGCCAAAGTATGTGGTAAAAAATAATTTTGGGCATTTTTACATACGGATTACATTTTTGCTGGGCATTTTGTATATTTCATATGTGCCACTAAATTCAAACACCCCAAATTATGCTCAACTAAGTCTTCTGATTAAAACAATATGCCCAATGTATGACCTAGACACTATTTTGTGAAGTTACATTAAAAGAGAAACAACAAGTGCAGGTTTTAAAGGGTGAATTTTCATGGAGGGTTTTGATGCATCCGTGTTCCACTTTGGAGCACTTGAGCAGGCTACAGATTACAACTACACCATAAAGGCATACCATTTCTTAAAGAAGACATCCCAGGGTATCTCAAAAGGCATATTTTGACGCTTAGCGTGGGATTATTTTTCCGCTAGCTTGTACCAAGTGTAGTGGTAATAAGCGTTTTTTCCGCCTCTTTGACACACAAAGTGAGTTTGCACAGTATATTTTGCAAACCTTATGTGTGCTATGACTCTGAAATACTACATATGTTGCTCAGCTATGTCGTCTGAGTACAGCAATACTCCCGTATGTACCTTTGCCAGGTATATGTGGATTTTGAAGGGGCACATTTGAGATGCAGCTATTCACTTTTTTTCTAACTTTGAAGTTTTATGCTGTGTCCATGTTCCATTTTGGAGTAGTTTAGATGGTTGGTTATTGAAACTTCCCCACAAACACATACTATTTATTAAAGAATACACCCTGGGGTAATTCAAAAGGCATATTTTGAACCTTAGCGTGGGATCATTTTTTCTCTAGTTTGTTCCAGGTGTAGTGCTAATGAGCATTTTTAAATGTGTTTTTTTACTTTTTAAAACTTTTTAACTTTTTAAAACTAGTTTTTAAACTTTTTTTGCTTATTCATTTTTTTTTAATCTTTCCTAAACTTTCTTAAAACTTTTCTTTTTTACAGATTTAACATTTTTATAAGTGAAAATACCATTATATAACAAGCAAATATAAAACAACATTGTGTTGTGGGTACACCCTAAGTGCAAATCAACAAATATGAAACATACCAATACAATGTAGAAAATTAAATACCATAGGAAATTATGTGTGTGTCTTGTATTAACTTGAAAATGCAGAAGAAAAAGAAACATAGTGTAAAACCATTAAATAAATATATATAATATAGAATGCAACAACTTACAAACAGTGCAAAAAGCACATTATGGTCTTTTGGACCTGTACTGACAGGAAAATGTGTGACAAGCAGAGAGACAGGGATGGAGGATGTAGTGACAGGGAGAGAGAAAGTGTGAAAGACAACATAACGTATTGACAGGGAGAAATAATGTAGACAGGAGAATGTAGTGACATGGAGGGAAAATGAAGTGACAGGGAGAGAGAATGTAGTAACATGGACGAATAATGTATTCCCGGGGACAAAGACAGGCAGAGAGAATGTGACAGTGAGAGAGATTGTAGTGACAGAGAGAGAACATAGAGACAGTGAGGGAGAATGTAGTAACAGGGAGTTAGAATATAGTCACAGTCTGAGAGCATGTAGTAGGGATGTGCATGGGGGAAATTTTCGGTTCGGTTCAGCATTCCGAAATTCGGGACTTTGGCAATTGGGAACTTCGGCAACTTTGGAACTTTGGCATTTCGGGCCATTCCCACGGTATTAGCGAGTTATCTACCAAAAAGGCTGAAAGACCTAAATTGGTCTGCCAGCCAAATTTACTAATACTAAGTAATACTAAACACTATGCAAGTGTGGGTTTCTAACCTGAAGGGGGGACCCCCCTAAAGTAAAATAAGGGGGGAGAACCTATTGTCCTCCCCCCAGGCCCCACCCCTGAGCCGCAGGTGGGGGCCCTAAATACCAATAAGGAGGGACACCTATTGTCCAGCCCCCAAACCTGAGCGGCGGGTGGGGGCCCTAAGTTAGAATAAGGGGGGGGCACCTATTGTCCTCCCTCCTGGCCCCACCCCTAATTTAGTGACAGACAGGATAATATAGTGACAGGGCTGCCATTAGGGGGTGACAACCATGCACCGGGGCCCACACACTGACCCAATGTGTCCAATTATCTTCAGGGGCCCGGTCAGCGCTGTAATAGTGTGACCGGCCCCTTTAAAAAAAAAAATGCAGTCGCAATGCAAGTGCTGCTGGGAGGAAGTGACGGACGGTCACTTCCTCCCAGCTTACTCTGTGCGGGAAGGAGGACACAGCCTGAAGGAGGAGAGGAGAGGCAGCCATCGCCCATCATCCCCAGCCACCCTCCTGTAATGCAAAGTAAGGAAGAGGAGGGTGGCTGAAAAATGAATTATGTGTGTGTATATATGCCTGTATGCGTGTATGTATGCCTGTATGTATGTATGTATGCCAGTATATGTGTGTGTGTATGTATGTATGCCAGTATGTGTATGTATGTATGTATGCCAGTATGTGTCTGTCAGTATGTATGTCTGTCAGTATGTATGTCTCCATGTATATATGTGTGTGTCAGTATGTTTGTATGTTAGTGTGTGTGTGTGTATCTGTATCTCCTTATGCATGTGTGTGTGTGTGTCAGTATGTCTGTTTCAGTATTTGTATCTGTTAGTATGTGTGTATCTTTCTGTGTGTGTATTCTTGTGGGCGGGATTTGGAGCCGGGCTCTGTGGATGGGCTTGGAGGCGGGCCCCTGGGGACCCAGACCTTGAGCTGTGTTAGTGACAGTCATGATAATATAGTGACAGTGAGGGAGAATATAGTGACAGAAATGATGCAGTGACAGTGAGAGATAATGTTGTAACAGAGAAAATTTAGTAACAGACAGCATAATATAGAGACAGTGAGGGAGAATGTAGTGACAGAGAGAGAGAATGTAGTGACAGAGAGGCAGGATAAAATAGTGACAGTGAGGGAGAATGTAATGACAGGCAGGATAATATAGTGACAGTGAGGGAGAATACAGTGACAGTGAGAGATAATATAGTGACAGTGAGAGATAATATAGTGACAGTGAGGGAGACTGTAGTGTATGTGAGAGAGAATGTAGTGACAGTGAGGTATAATATAGTGACAGTGAGGGATAATATAGTGACAGTGAGGGAGAATGTAGTGACAGTGAGTGAGAATGTAGTGACAGGCAGGATAATATAGTGACAGAGAGAGATAATGTAGTGACAGAGAGAGATAATGTAGTGACAGTGAGGGATAATATAGTGACAATGAGAGAGAATGTAGTGACAGTGAGGTATAATATAATGACAGTGAGGGAGAATGTAGTGACAGTGAGAGAGAATGTAGTGACAGAGAGAGAGAATGTAGTGACAGGCAGAATAATATAGTGACAGTGAGAGATAGTGACAGGGTAGGATAATATAGTGGCAGTGAGAGAGAATATAGTGACAGGAAAGATAATATAGTGACAGTGAGGGAGAATGTAGTGACAGTGAGTGAGAATGTAGTGACAGGCAGGATAATATAGTGACAGTGAGGGATAATATAGTGACAGTGAGAGAGAATGTAGTGACAGGCAGGATAATATAGTGACATTGAGGGAGAATGTAGTGACAGAGAGAGAGAGATAGAGAATGTAGTGACAGGCAGGAGAATGTAGTGACAGTGTGGGAGAATGTAGTGACAGGCAGGATAATATAGTGACAGTGAGGGAGAATGTAGTGACATTGAGGGATAATGTAGTGACAGTGAGGGATAATATAGTGACAGTGAGAGAGAATGTAGTGACAGTGAGGGATAATGTAGTGACAGTGAGGGATAATATAGTGACAGTGAGGGATAATATAGTGACAGTGAGAGAGACAGGACACAGAGCAGTCCTGGTGTTGAGCTGCACCCAGGGTGATGACTAATAATGTAATTATGTCATTGCTCTATGAAAGTGCAGCTATAACTGAGAGCGATCCTTGTGACCGAGAGACATGACATGGCTCCTGAATGACTGACTGACTGACTGACTGAAAACATAACAATACACACAATGTACAACACGGCTGCATGGTAGAAAATACAATATCCTAATAAAATGTTACAAATTAATGTACAGACTGTAACCAAACTGTAACATTACTCCTATTAGGATATTGTATTCTCTGTCTGTGCGTTACCCGGGTACACTGTTTGTATTGAGTCTATTCTATAAGTTCAGGAGAAAGGTCCTATCTTCCACTCACCTGGGGGACAGCTAATGACTTCACATTCTCTTCCTCCCCAGCACTGTAAGCCGACCAGAATAGAGAGGGGCGGCAACCAGAACAAGAGAGTAATAAACATTGCCAAGAGAGGCTGCCACCTGCAGGCGAGAAGGGGGGACTACATCTTACATAATAGCCGAAAGATCATGAATAGTGCATCTGGCAATAATAATTATTATTGTTAATCTTATCTTGTTATTCTCATCTTCATTTGTAGAGAATAGATCTATTCCACAGAGCTTTACTGTTTTACAAATGGGATATAGAGCAATAGGTTTTTGAGCAACCAAATAAATAGAAACAGCATCAAGGAGTGAAGAAGTGCGACATATTTCATTTTACCCTCCATCTATCCTTCTCCCTTTTGGATACACAATAAGTTAGCATTAATCATATCCATCCCTGTAGTTTTTGGTGCCCGTGCCTTCTGTCTGCTATAAAATTTTACAACGCAGTTCATAAAAACCAAAATGAAGCACATCATTTAGTCTGTCACCTCCCCAGTATACAAAGCAAAGTGCTGTAAATCAAACAATCATTAAGAACAATACAAACAAGAAAAAAAAGGTGCGCTGTGTCTTTACGACCACAAAATTTAGTGCAAATACACTTATGATGTGCAAAAATGCATTTACACATAAAGTGCAAAAAAAAGGCTCTTTTATAGCACTATCTTAGTGCTTGTGCTGCATTAATAAAATGTAAAGTGCAAAGTGCAGTGGGAAGACGTGTAACAGTAGTTGTAAAGACACTTCAAAAGTTACAAAAAAGTACCTTTACTCAAACCCACTCAAAGGGATTCCACAAAATGTAGTTGGATATCCATACATTAACATTAAATAGAGAGGGAGAGAAAGAAGAATGTATAGTGTAATAGTGTTATAGAAAAAATTAATATACACTGCTCAAAAAAATAAAGGGAACACAAAAATAACACATCCTAGATCTGAATGAATTAAATATTCTTCTGAAATACTTTGTTCTTTACATAGTTGAATGTGCTGACAACAAAATCACACAAAAATTAAAAAATGGAAATCAAATCACACTACAGGCTGATCCAACTTTGATGTAATGTCCTTAAAACAAGTCAAAATGAGGCTTAGTAGTGTGTGTGGCCTCCATGTGCCTGTATGACCTTCCTACAATGCCTGTGCATGCTCCTGATGAGGTGGCGGATGGTCTCCTTAGAGATCTCCTCCCAGACCTGGACTAAAGCATCTGCCAACTCCTGGACAGTCTGTGGTGCAACGTGACGTTGGTGGATGGAGCGAGACATGATGTCACAGATGTGCTCAATTGGATTCAGGTCGGGAACGGGCGGGCCAGTCGATAGCATCATTGCCTTCATCTTGCAGGAACTGCTGGCACACTCCAGCCACATGAGGTTGTATTGTCTTGCATTAGGAGGAACCCAGGGCCAACCGCACCAGCATATGGTCTCACAAGGGGTCTGAGGATCTCATCTCGGTACCTAATGTCAGTCAGGCTATCTCTGGTGAGCACATGGAGGGCTGTGCGTCCCCCCAAAGAAATGCCACCCCACATGCTGGAGGATGTTGCAGGCAGCAGAACGTTCTCCATGGTGTCTCCAGACTCTGTCACGTCTGTCACATGTGCTCAGTGTGAACCTGCTTTCATCTGTGGCAAATTTGTAAATCTTGGTGTTCTCTGGCACATGCCAAACGTCCTGCACCTGTGGAAGTCAGGCCCTCATACCACCCTCATGGAGTCTGTTTCTGACCGTTTGTGCAGACACATGCATATTTGTGGCCTGCTGGAGGTCATTTTGCAGGGCTCTGGCAGTGCTCCTCCTGTTCCTACTTGCACAAAGGCGGAGGTAGCGGTCCTGCTGCTGGGTTGTTGCCCTCCTACGGCCTCCTACACATCTCCTGATGTACTGGCCTGTCTCTTGGTAGCGCCTCCATGCTCTGGACACTACGCTGACAGACACAGCAAACCTTCTTGCCACAGCTCGCATTGATGGGCCATCCTGGATGAGCTGCACTACCTGAGCCACTTGTGTGGTTTGTAGACTCCGTCTCATGCTACCACTAGAGTGAAAGCACCGCCAGCATTCAAAAGTGACCAAAACATCAGCCAGGAAGCATAGGAACTGAGAAGTGGTCTGTGGTCACCACCTGCAGAACCACTCCTTTATTGGGGGTGTCTTGCTAATTGCCTATAATTTCCACCTGTTGTCTATCCCATTTGCACAACAGCATGTGAAATTGATTATCACTCAGTGTTGCTTCCTAAGTGGACAGTTTGATTTCACAGAAGTGTGATTTACTTGGAGTTACATTGTGTTGTTTAAGTGTTCCCTTTATTTGGAAATTCTGGCAAATGATTTACATAAAATGTATCAATATTTTCTAAACACTCTATTAGCAACTTTACAATGGGTACAAAATATGTCACCACAGCCATGAGCTCAGTGTCTTTTTGCTTTGTTTGTGATTTCTCTTTTAACAGAGTAGCTCTGTCATATTTAAAATAATTCTCTTATAGCAGACAGAAGGTTTATCAATTACTTATCGCTTTAAATCCCATTTAAAAATTATATTATTATATGTGACAGATCCTCTGTCCCTGGGGTATAAATCTATCATCTGGTTCGTCTGCTTGTTCACCTAAAACCCCTGCCATTCACTTTCTAGTTTGTCTGTTTGTTCACCTAAGATCCCTGCAATTCGTATAGTCGAACACGTGGCGGCAGCCTTTTTATTTGGTCGAACGGTACTTTGACTATTTTAAATAGACCAGCCGCACAGCCTAATTCAATCTGTTTTGGGCATGAAACCAAAACAGACTACCAGGAATTTCCTGAACCCCTGCTCTGATCTGGGTGATTTTTGGATATGTTGTTCACCCAGATCAGGGCTATCAGGGGATGTGTGATATGTTACGTTTTGGGGTGTTTTCTATACTTTGGGTAAAAAAAATGTTTTTTTCTGCCTGGGGATAATTAAGTGAATACATTATCTACCTTAATTATATCACAGTCAGAGGGGAGGGATTGTGTGCTGTATGTGGGAGTGTCGGATATTATTATATTGTTCTTATCTGTACAGTTTGTAATGCGGTGCTCCATCAGGTCCAGGGGGTGTGCCTCTGGCCTGAGGAATTGTATATACATCCAACCTGTGTCATTAAACCTTCAGACTTCTTCACCCTCAATACTGAGTTCTGTCTCTTTTTGTAGGGAATCGCTATAACACAATCACTAGCTCTTGTAAGAGCTGTTGCTACTTCTCTCACGGATGACTCTGGGATCGCTAAAGGTTGTCTTCTATTCTATAGAATTTTCTATTCTGATTTAAACTGGCTTCATGTGGAAATGAGCCTATGTATATATGTATATATACATATAAATATTATAGATATTTTAGTACAGTGTAGGCTCATTTTTGCATCCCTTTTGGTTCATCTGAATACGGTTTTAAAATTGATTGCATGTACAATATGCAGACGAGGTGAACCACAGTGTTGACAAAATTTGGATGGGCAAATACATTTTTTATCAATTCGGTTGAACGAAATTTTTTTCACCACGCAGAAGCCTAATTATTCATGGAATCTTTCAGCAAGATATATGTAACCATTTATCCTCCCTGCCTGCTAGTGGCAGACTATCGAAGCTGTGCTTACCGGAATGTGGGTGCAGCCCTTTTATACCTTTGCTCTGTGTGATTGTTTGGTGAAGGAGCAACAGAATCCGATGTGACATTTGCTATCTCCAGGTGAGTGGAAGATGGCACCTTTCTCCTGTACGTAATGGATACCTATCATTGTTTTTCAACATTACTTTTTTTTCTGTAGGAAATTTTATTTTCTGTCATTCAGTTAGGCCTTTCTTTAATCATGTATATTTGTCTTTTTGTAAATGATCCTTTTTCCTTCACTTAATTAATGTGCCATGTTTTGTCTTTCAGTCAGAATTACTGAACGATCACTCTAAATTTCTAGTTCTACATTTGAAGAGCAATTAGAAAATCAGTCATCACCCTGTGGGCAGCTGGGACCTGTCTCCCTACCTGTCACTACATTATTCCTACCTGTCACTACATTTTCTGTTCCTGTGGATACATTGTTCCTGCTTGCCCTATGACACCTGCTCTGTGTCATATGAGTGAATCTGGTTCTCTTCCCTCTCAAAGTGTTTGTTATTTATTACTGTGTCATCCACCTGTCCCCCTCCCCTCACTCACTCTCTCTCTCTTGATATGCTTCCATGGATCTGGATGTTTTAGTTTTACTTAAAGAGGTTGTACTTATTTACAATATGTTTATTTATAATTGATATGACACTAGAAGTGTATGAAGAGTGGGTAAGTAAAGAAAGGAGGGAGACCGGAAACCGGAGACAAGAGAACTGCCTGTCTGAGAAGGGAGAGAACTGCAGATAAAGCAGTCCAGATCACTCATACGAGAAAAACTGAGACAGAGAGAATTTAGTGAGAGGCAGGAAAATAGGGAACTGTCACATCCCAGGACTTTGAATACTGTGTTTACTCTTCCCTGTATTTAACAAATATGTATTTGTAAGGTATGAAAAATGTAATTAAATGTAGAAGGACACACCTCTTTATCCTGCAACAGGATGTCTCTATCTAAGCTCCTTATCAAACATTGTTATAAACTTTGACCTCAGAACCTGGCAGTCAGAAAAAGAAAATGCTAATTTGCATAATTAAATGGACACTGTAGTTACCAAAACAACTTGAGTTTAATGAAACAGTTTTGTGGTATAGATCTTGCTCCTGCAGTCTCACTGCTCAATTCACATCCATTTAGGAGTAAATTCTGTTTACATAGCTCTAGCCACAGCTGGTTTGACTGTGACTGACACAGACTGCATAAAAAAATGGTTTCAAATTCAATCAGCTGTAGCTTACTTAAACCCCTTAAGGACACATGACATGTGTGACATGTCATGATTCCCTTTTATTCCAAAAGTTTGGTCCTTAAGGGGTTAAAAGTACTAATCTCCTGCTCTGTAAATGTAACTTTAGTTACATATAGGAGGTTCTTTCAGGGTCTGTTAAGCTATTAACAGAGCAGGAGATAAGAAATTCCAAATTAAACAGAATTTGCAATAAAGGAAATGTAAACATTAGACGATTCTTTACAGGAAGTGTTTAGAATGTCTGTGTAAGTCACTTGCCGGGAGGTATGACTACTGCTGCATAAACAAAGTGATTTAAGGTCCGATGGCAGAGAACTGAGCAGTGAGACAGCAGGGGAATGATCTTTACACCAAGATGGCTTCATTAAAGGGACACTGTAGTCACTATAACCACTTTGTCTCTTTGAATTGGTTATAGTGCCTGGATTGCCCTGGCACTGTCCCTCCATTCAGTGTTGCACCATGTTTGTGCAGTATGCCACAAAATAAGAGTCCCTGGCCACCCACAGTCCGGCCCCTTCTGTATGTGTAGCTAAGGCAGAGATTACACACTTCCTTGTTGTCATACCCATTCATACCGTCAGTTGGAGCTCTGACAGGTTAAAAGCAGTCATGTGACACTCTCAGCCAATCATAGCTGCCTATTGCTGCTCAGGGTAATACTTCCTTATTAGCCAAAGCAGCACAGAGATGGACTGCCGTGGTCTCTTGTTTAGCATTAAAACATTACAACATTAAAAACTGTTTAATGCTGAAAGAAATGATGGCACCAGGGGACTCCATACACTATAACCAGTTTAATGAGATGAAACAGATACAGTGCCTACGGTGTCCCTTTAAGCTATAGTACTAAAGTGTCCCTTTAATTGTAAATGCACAGCATCAAACGATATGGCATAAAGGGAAAATTCTGTAAATCACAAATAAAACAACATCCCTACTTAGAGCTTGATTTTGCTGTATAGAGGGATTGCTCTGCAGTTTTGGGAGATTGAACTGCTGTTCTGAGTGCTCAGTCAATGGACCCAGCAGCAGACTGTCTGCATCACATCCCTGACTGCATAATAGACAATATATACAAATACACAGGAGGTTTTTCACTAAATAACAAATTGTAATTAATTACAATCTGAATGGAAAACTGTAGTGTCAAATAGCTAATGTGAGCCTAGGCTAAATTGGAGAATTTTATCAATTTAATTATGTAAGTCTATAATTTATAACTAATATTTGAATTCACTACAAGCTACAGTTTAATGAATAAACCTCTGTAGTTTATTCCCCAAACTGAAGAATTTAGTGCAGTGATTAGAACACCAAACTACAAGTTAAGGTCGAAGTAGTGGATTTTGAAAAATTCTCCAGTTCTGCTACAGTCCCAGTATGGCTATTTATGGCTTTTGCAATTTGTTTTTGATGTTTTATGTTAATACATTTCTGTATTTAAAGGACCACTATAGTGCCAGGAAAACATACTCGTTTTCCTGGCACTATAGTGCCCTGAGGGTGCCCCCACCCTCAGGGTCCCCCTCCTTCAGGGCTCTAGGGTGAGGAAGGGGTTAAACTTACCTCTTTCTCCAGCGCCGGGCAGGAGACTCTCCTCCTCCTCTCCTCCTCTTCGGCTGAATGTGCATGCGTGGCAGGAGTCGCACGCGCATTCAGCCAGTCCATAGGAAAGCATTCACAATGTTTTCCTATGGACGCTGGCGTCTTCTCACTGTGATTTTCACAGTGAGAAGCACGGAAGCCCTCTAGCGGTTGTCAATGAGACAGCCACTAGAGGCTGGATTAACCCTAATATAAACATAGCAGTTTCTCTGAAACTGCTATGTTTATAGAAAAAAGGGTTAACCCTAGCTGGACCTCATTAAGCTGAAGTGGTCTGGGTGCCTATAGTGGTTCTTTAAGCATGTAGGGGTGAATTTTACAATGTATATTATACACTACAGACACATGAAGCACGTCAGCTTACCAAAGTGCTTTATATGTCTGTATTTGTCTCCTCCTTTATCAAACTCCATCTGTCTCTCTCCTCTTTTGACAACCCAAATAGGCCTCTTTCCCTCTGGTAACCCCAGTCTGTCTCTTTCCTACAATCTGATCCCCCATTTGTTTCTTTCCACCTGTCCAAACCCCCAACTGTGTCTCTCCTCTTGTACAAACGCCCATCTATGTCTCTCCACATGTTAACCTTGTCTTAGTCTCTCCTCCTGTAAAACTCCATCTTGGTCACTCCTCCTGTAAACCCCCATCTGTGTCTCTCCTCCTCTTAATCTCCATCTGTATCTCTCCTCCTGGTAATCGTCATCTGCATCTCTCCTCTTCTAAACCCCCATCTATCTCTCTCCTTTTAACCAGCATCTGTTTCACTTTTCTTGTAAACCCCCATCTGTGTGTGTGTCTAAGGGATGTAGTGTGTGTGTCTAGAATGTAATGTGTGTAGGGATACAGGGTGCGCACTGTGTGTGTGTAAAGGGTGCAGTGTGTGGGGGTGCACTGTGTGTGTGAAGGGTGCATAGTGTGTTTGAGGGGAGCAGTGTGTGTTTGAGGGGAGCAGTGTGTGTGTATTTGAGGGGTGCAGTGTGTGTGGTGTTTGGGGTGTAGTGTGTGTGAGGGGTGCAGGGTGTGTGAGGAGTCCAGGGTGTGTGAGGCGTGCAGTATGTGTGAGGGGTGCAGTGTGTGTTTGGGATGCTGTGTGTGTTGTGTTTGGGGTGCAGTGGGGTGCAGAGGGGTGCAGTGGGGTGTACTTTGCTGTTTGGGGTTTAGTGTCTGCATGTGAGGGGTGAAGTGGGGTGTTTAGGGTGTAGTGTGCTGTTTGGGGTTTATTGTGTGTATGTGAGGGATGCAGTGTGGTGTTTGGGGTGTAGTGTGTGCATGTGAGGGGTGCAGTGTGATGTTTTGGGTGTATTGTGTGCATGTGAGGGGTGCAGTGGAGTGTAGTGTGCTGTTTGGGATTTAGTGTGTGCATGTGAGGGGTGTACTGGGGTGTAGTGTGCTGTTTGGGGTTTAGTGTGTGTATGTGAGGAATGCAGTGGGGTGTTTGGGGTATAGTGTGATGTTTGGGGTGTATTGTGTGTATGTGAGGGGTGCAGTGGGGTGTAGTGTGCTGTTTGGGGTTTAGTGTGTGCATGTGAGGGGTGCAGTGTGGTGTCTGAGGTGTAGTGTGATGTTTGGGGAGTAGTGTGTGCATGTGAGGAGTGCAGTGCAGTGGGGTGTAGTGTGTGGTGTTTGGGGTGTAGTGTGATGTTTGGGGTTTAGTGTGTGTATGTGAGGGGTGTAGTGTGACGTTTGGGGTGTATTGTGTGCATGTGAGGGGTGCAGTGGGGTGTTTGGGGTGTAGTGTGCTGTTTGGGGTTTAGTGTGTGTATGTGAGGGATGCAGTGTGGTGTTTGGGGTGTAGTGTGATGTTTGGGGTGTATTGTGTGCATGTGAGGGGTGCAGTGGGGTGTTTGGGGTTTAGTGTGTGCATGTGAGGGGTGCAGTGGGGTTTTTGGGGTGTAGTGTGTGCATGTGAGGGGTGTAGCGTGATGTTTGGGGTTTAGTGTGTATATGTGAGGGTGCATTATGGTGTTTGGGGAGTATTGTGTGTGTGAGCGGTGCAGTGTGGTGTTTGGGGGTGTAGTATGATGTGGGGTAAAACTAAAAATATATATGTGTGTTTTTTTGTTTTTTATTATTATACTATTTAGATCCCCCCTCCCTTCCTACCTTTGCCTGGGAGGGGGGACCTTGTAGCCCTGGTGGTCCAGGGGGAAATCCCTGGTGGTCCAGTGTGGAGTGAACTCTACCCTGTAGTTCCTTGGGTAGAGTTCACTCTCGCGAGAACTGAGCATTGCCATAGTAACCGCAGCAACACTCAGACCTTGCGAGAGGAACCCGGCGGAGCTGCAGGATAGCGCTCCACCGGGTCCTCTCTCCCTCCATCCCCAGCCGCATCTCAGTGTCTGTGGGGAGATAGTTTGTCTCTCCACTGGCCCATGAAGGCACACAGCAGGGCCAGCGCTCTGATAGCGCTGGCTCTGCATGGGCCGGCAGGGGAGATACACAGTGGCGTCACTAGGGGGGGGCCAGAGGGGGCCATGGCCCCCCCCTACATCATGCTGGGTCCCCCCGAATGCTGGCTATGTGTTTCAATTCTATTCCCTCAGTCAGGCTGTAACAGTGTGTTACAGCCTGAGGGAATGCAGTGGTGGGGGCTGTCTGGGGCTGGAGGGAGCACTGACAGGCTCCCCTGCACAGGCCCCGCCCCCAAACGAAGCCCCACCTCCCACACATAAGCCCCGCCCGCCGTAAAGCAGCAGACCATGCTGCTGCAGAAGATGGCTGCCTGACCCCCAGCAACAGCCTCCAGTGACAGGTAGGCTTAGTGTGTGTGTGTGTGTATGGACATAGCAGTGTGTGTGTATGGACTCAGCAGTCTGTCTGTGTGTGTGTGTGTGTGTGTGTGTGTATGGATTCACACACTCTACACACACACACACACACACTGCCCCTCATACACACACACTGCCCCCCATATACACACATTGCCCCCCATACTGCCCCCATACACACACACTGCCCCCCATAGACACACATTGCCCCCACACCTGACCCCCCCATACATATGGCCCCATACACCCCCCCATACACACACCTGCCCACGCCATGCTGCCCCCCCCATACACACACACTGCCCCATAGTACCCATATACACACACACTGCCACCATACCACCCATACACTACCCCCATACCCTTACACACACTGCCCCATGCACCCCCTTACACACACACACTTTATACCTACCCCATACCGCACTGCCCCCATACACATACTGCTCCCCCCATACACACACCTGCCTCTGCGCCCCACACTTACACTGCAATACTCACACACACACACACTGCAACTTCTTCCTTACCATCCCTGACACTTTACTGCAGCCCTCACTCACACCACAACCTTCAAGCACTGCGCCTGCTCACACTGTCCCCTCACTGCACATACACACTGCACCCTTACACATTTACACCACTCCCACACTCTGCTCCTGCTGTACTTCTACAGCCCCATTCCAAGCAGACCTCAGGTAGTTTCAAACTTCTGTTCAAACTTGGTTTGACCTATACTTGCCTCAGGAGAAGTCCCGAGCACTAATGAGACCAGCCTTTACACTGAGCTGTAGTGGTTGTTGTATCTGGATTATTTCTTTAAATAGTCACCACAGGGTACCCTATCGAGGATCAGGCTCTGGATTCTCCACTGCTCGGCAGTCTGTGTGTGTGCATGGACTCAGCAGTCTGTGTGTGTGTGTATGGACATAGCAGTCTGTGTGTGTGTGTGTGTGGACATAGCAGTCTGTGTGTGTGTGTATGTGTGTGTATAGACATAGCAGTCTGTGTGTGTGTGTGTATGTGTGTGTGTATGGACATAGCAGTCTGTGTGTGTGTATTTGTGTGTGTATGGACTCAGCAGTCTGTGTGTGTGTATGTGTGTGTGTGCATGGACTCAGCAGTCTTGTGTGTGAGTCAAAGAGTTTTATCTGTCAGTAAGCCTATTTGCGCATGTCAGTGAGCTTGTGTGCTTACTGTAATTATATATATATATATATATATATATATTTTGACTTGTAGGAATGGCATACATTTTTTTTCAGGGCTGCTTTGGATTCCCAGGGATTCCCAGTTTGGCTCTGCCAGCGAGTGCACTTTACCGCTGAATCATCTGTGTGAGCTGCCGCACACTTTAGCCCTGTTACACGCGTCTGGGAGCTGCTGTTGACAGGTACTAGTAGTCTAGAGATTGGGACATGGGGTATATGCTCAGCTGTATAATATCCCGGGACAGTCAGTGCTCCCTGTATAGTGCTGCTCTCTGTCTTGGGATATTATACACAAACAGACCTGTATTATACAGAGAGCAGCACTATACAGGGAGCACAGAGTGTCCCAATTTATTATACACACAACCCTGTATTATACAGAGAGCACTGACTGTCCAGGGATATTATACCCAGACAGTAATTGAAAGCTGTGCTGCAAAATGTCCTTGGAATTTTTTTTTCAAATGTTGGCAACTATGGCACTGTATCAAGGGTAATGTGTTTGTTTTTTTTAATAATCCCTGGTGGTAAATAATGAATCCTCCACCAGGGATTATTAAAAAAACAAAACACATTGTGTCGGGGGCGGGGCTTAACATGCGATAGGGGCGGGGTCAAACTGCGGCGAGGGCGGGGGTTAAATGTCCCTGGCCCTCCATGTGCCCCCCCTAAAAATGAATCCTAGAGACGCCACTGGAGATACACTGATCTCCCCTGTCAGCCTGGGTCCATGGCATTTGCCCGGTATGTCCGATGGCCAGTCCGAGCCTGCTCCCTCCTCCCTAACTTGCTATTTCTCCCTTGAACTCATTTTCTTTTCCCAATTCTCCCGTCACAGGACAGATTTATGAGACTCTGGATTTAATTATTTGCTGCTATAGCCTCTGAATTACAGCAATCTTATTTGGCTTGTTTCAATGTGGGCAAAAATGCTTTAGATTTAATCAAGGTAGGAACTCCTAAAAGCGTGTCACTGCAAATTTCGGATTAAAGTTTTTTTTATAAAAAAGTTTTTACAAGAAACTGCAATACTCCATTATATTTTCACTAAAATTCCAACCCAGTCAAAAGATATACTGAGACAAAGTAGGGACTACCTTTTGTCAAGCTTATCACCCCCAGATGATGCTAGTGATGGCTGTAGGGGAAAAACATGGGGTCTTGCGGAATTTTCCATAGACATCAAAGCTGTGCTCTTGCATGATATTACTGCTCTGATGTCTGGTCTGACACTGATGCACCAGGAGCCGAAGAGGATGGCCGCGTCCTTGAGAGACAGGCTCAGGTAAATAAAATCTATCCCCTTCGGCCACTGGACCCTAATCTACAATGTCACCATTGAGGATCTTTGTAAATTATGCACCCTAGATAGTGACAGAGACACATTAAGGTAATAAAAAGTTCAGCATAAAGTTGTGCATGGGTAAAATACCGACTAATGAATAATGCTTAAATCTTCTAAGCTGCTATGCTGTTTGTCAAAAATGCACTAATCAGAAACCCACTTTTTTACAGCCATATCTATGGCTAGAGTGTGGAGCACAGAGTATGAACATTCATAAAAATAATAAAAGTATGTAAAGTTATGGATTATCCAATAACTAAATACAGGGCGCCACTATAATACTGTAATTTCCATTAACCAGCTTGTCTATCATACAAGACCATTAGAGCCGGAGAATAAGTAGTAAAATAAAAATTATTAATTTATTGTACAGGACAAAAAAACAAAGAAACATAAAATTCAATGCCAATTAGGCTAAAAAAGACCCATAAGGTGAGCAGTTGTTATTATTACATAAAGTGCACAATGCAAATAGCCAATATTTACTCCCCCTACCAATCAGGGTATAGTACACTACACCAATGTCCATTGTTACAGGACTTCAATATAAAAATATAAAAAGGAGCAATGCCAATAAAAAAAAAGCATACAAAGTGCAAGATAAAAACAAACTGCTTTCACCAATATTGCAGAGTCCAATGCGCTACGCATTTCGTCGGGGGGTACCGACTTCCTTAGGAGCTTCCTTACAATGTCACCATCTTCTTCTTTTAAATGCCGGTCTTCACGCTTTCTGCAGTGTCGGCGCATGCGCTGACCAAACGGAGCGTGACGCAGAAGATCGCGACGCACGCCCGCTGGTACTGCGCATGCGCATAAACCACTGACAACCGCAAACCAGCTTTATTGATATTCTGTACACAGACAACAGAGTGTCAGCAACCGAGGAGCGACACTACTCAGTGCTGTGAACTTTCAGAAATTAGGAACAGTAACAAACTCTTAAAAACCAATGCATTGATCAGTTCCCAGGAGGGGAAAGGAGATATTTAAACTTAATGAAATTACCTCCATTTAGGGAAAAATAAAAAATAAATAATTCCAATCATCTAAAAAATTAATTAATTAAACTTTATAAAATTTCTAAATTTAATCGGAAAGGGAAGAATTCCATATTACCAATATATTAAAAAGGGAACCATCACTCCATATGCATAAATAACAAATAAATAAGTACAAAAAGTAGAGTAGTTCTAACAAAGGTCAATCTAAATCAATAAAAAATAAATATATATATATATTTAACAAACAAAGGAGGAGAGAATGATAGCCAAAAAGGGCAGTCTTATTCAGCAAAAATAGCACATATTGCATTACACTGTATTAATCCGAATAGTGCATTAAATATAGTTTAAATCAATTAGATATATACATAATTTCTAAACAATTAAAAAGACCTCCACTTGGATGTTTTAACCTTTGTAACACAGAGCTAACAGGCTATTCAAAAGTTGTAACTTTCAAATGTAGATGGAATCAGTAGGATCAAAACGACCACCCATGAAGTAAAATCTTTTAAACAAATAAAAAATAATAAGAAGAAGTGATAAATCTTCAGTTTAGAAACACAGGGGAAGAGCACAGCTAGCCAACAAAATAATTCACAGATAGACTTGGTCAGTTTAAAATAAACATATTATAACAGGATACATCTATTGATACTTTCCTGCGAATATCTTGAGAACAAACACATTTCCTTGATAATAAACTGTTTACATAAACTCGAGATAAAAGAGATGATCTCAGATGAGGACACAAACAAACAAAGTTCTTCCAAAACAATTTAAAGCTTAATCTGTTATGTACATTAAAGACTTATTTCTATTACTTTTGATCTTATAAGGATAAATAAACATTCTTTATATCAATAAGCAAGATTTTGTGTACAAGGTTCTTTACATGTAATAATTCCTCTAAAACCCTTCTTTGGCAAGTTGCAAAAAGATGATCCTAGAACACAGACAGACGAGATAAGGACACATGACGGAAATATTCCATCATGATTCCCTTTTATTCCAGAAGTTGTGTCCTTAAGGGGTTAATAAGGTATATTTCCAACAATAAATAGTGGTGGTTCCGAACTGAATTACTCCATTATACCGAATACATTCAAGAGTGATTTCTATCACTTAAACAATATATTTATATCAATATTTAAAACTTCTAGAGACATTCTTTAATAACATACCTCCCTAAACAAAATGAAAATTCAGATACATAATAATAATAAATCCCGCCAATTTTTATTTTTATTTTCCCAAAGGGATCAGGTAATATTGATCTAAATGAACGATATTATTACAGAACTGAAGGGAGACGGCAACAAACCAACAAAGATTGCAGTGGGTTATATGTAGTTAATCCATAAAGGCCAAGATGTCTAGATCTGAATTTAGGCCCAAGGGAACTGAGTCTTCAACTTATAGATCCACTCAGTTTCCTTCATGGCCAATCTTTTTTCTGTATCTGCACCCCTCCAATGTGGGATAATGATGTCAATGCCGATACATACAAAATTCTTAAAGATAAATTCTTCACAATTATTGCAATGCCTAGGCACACTATGCTTTGTACTTTTCTTATGTATCCCATTAAAGTGTTCCAAAAGCCTCACATGTAATTGTCTGATGGTCCGCCCTACATATTGAATGCCACACCCACATTGCAACAAGTATACCACAGATTGACTTTTACAGTTAATAAAATGTTTGATGTAAAAAAACTCTTTAGTTATCGCACTTTGGAATTGTGTGGTCTTCTGGGGTTGGTACTTGCACGTACTGCAATTTCCACATCTGAAAAAGCCTTTTGGTTTAGAAGTAAGAAAACTATTAGTTAACATATCATTATATGTCAATATCTTTCGAGGCAGGACACTAGGTGCCAAAATATTTTTAAGATTCTTAGATTTTTTAAAAATCACTTTAGGTTTATTTGGCAAAATGTTCTTCAGGTACCTGTCCTGCATAAGAATCGGCCAATTCCTCTTAATTTATTTTTCAATGAGATGCGATTTGCTGTTAAATTTAGTTAGAAAAGAAAAATAAAACTTATTATTCATAGCTTTACTCTTACTCCTATTGACCAAAAGATCCTCCCTCTTTAAACTTTCGACTTCTTGTTGTGTATTTGACAGTAGGCTTTTAGGATAGTGTCTATCAAGGAATTTTTATTCAGTAATTGTGTTTGTTCTTTGAAGTCATCTCTTATTGTATATTGGAATATTTTTTAACCAGTTTTTATGATGACAACTGAAGAACTCAATATAACCATTGGTGTCTGTGGGTTTAAAAAAAGTTCTTCTACAGACTTTTCCATCTTGAATAAACAGCGTTAAATCTAAGAAATTAATTGAGGATCCTCCCCTTTCAACTGTAAATTTCAACCCATAAGAGTTCGAGTTAATGTAATCCAAAAAGAGTTGTAACTCTTCCTTCCCACCTTCCCAATCTTTGAGTACATCATCAACATACTGTTTCCAGGACACCAGGTTCGCATCAAATGGATTATTGGTCCAGATATTTTTCGACTCCCAATCAGCCACAAAAATATTGGCATAATTTGGTGCGAACCTGGTGCCCATAGCTGTTCCACATGTTTGCAGGAAATAGGTGCCCTCGAACCAAAAGAAATTATGAAACAAAATAAATCTGATGTTCAAAATAAAATGCATTTGATCTTCTGACATTTGGGTATCCATATCTAGCACCTCTAGAATTGCTTGAAGGCCTTTCTCATTGTCTATTACCGTGTATAGCGAGGCCACATTTATTGTTAGCCCACTACTTTCATCACATTTATGCACTGAAACTTTATGACTTCTGGGTTTCAGCACGTTTGTATACGCATCTATGGTATTCAATACGTTTTTCACTCTGCATTAATGATTGATCATTTAATATACTTGGTCATGCTACTTTATTTTGTTAGCACTAATCTGTTTCTTCAACAGTTGTGCACATGGGGATATGCCCACAGAACTGTTTTGTTCTGTTTAACGATGTGTATATCCGTTACTATGGTGATGGGCACAACACTAACTGGATATTGTAAAATCAGGGGGAGGAGTTTGACTCACGCATGTGCAGTGAGGAGCAGCACACGCCAGCACCCAGGTGATGGAGGTTTGGTGAGTTAGTTTTTCTTATTTAAGTCAATGTTATATGATATGCAATTTGTGTCCTGAGGAAAGTTCACAGTTGTGAACTGGAACCTTAACCACTTGGATTAAATGCCTATTTTTTTCATGTTGAAGTCCTTGAGTGCTGGCTTTCTTTTTGGAGAATATATATATATATATATATATATATATATATATATATATATTTATTATTATTGATTTAGATTGACCTTTGTTAGAACTACTCTATTTTTTGTAATTATTTATTTATGTATATGGATTGATGTTTCCGTTTTTAATATATTGGTAATATGGAATTCTTCCCTTTCCGATTTAATTTAGAAATTTAATAAAGTTTAATTAATTAATTTTTTAGATGATTGGAATTATTTATTTTTTATTTTTCCCTATATGGAGGCAATTCCATTAAGTTTAACTGTCTCCTTTCCCCTATTGCGAACTGATCAATGCATTGGTTTTTAAGAGTTTGTTACTGTTCCTAATTTCTGAAAGTTCACAGCACTGAGTAGTGTCGCGCCTCGTTTGCCGACACTCTGTTGTCTGTGTACAGAATATCAATAAAGTTGGTTTGCGGTTGTCAGTGGTTTACACGCATCTTCGACGTCACGCTCCGTTTGGTCCGCGCATGCGCCGACACTGCAGAAGGCGTGAAGACTGGCATTTAAAAGAAGAGGACGGCGACATTGTAAGGAAGCTCCTGAGGAAGTCGGTACCCCCCGACGAAACGCGCAGAGCATTGGACCCTGCAATATTGGTGAAAGCAGTTTGTTTTTATGTTGCACTTTGTATGCTTTTTTTATTGGCATTGTTCCTTTTTATATTTTTATATTGAAGTCCTGTAACAATGGACATTGGTGTAGTGTACTATACCCTTATTGGTAGGGGGAGTAAATATTGGCTATTTGCATTGTGCACTTTATGTAATAATAACAACTGCTCACCTCATGGGTCTTTTTTAGACTAATTGGCATTGAATTTTATGTTTCTTTGGTTTTCTTGTCCTGTACAATAAATTAATCATTTTATTTTACTACTTATTCTCCGGCTCTAATGGTCTTGTATGATAGACAAGCTGGTTAATGGAAATTACAGTATGATAGTGGCGCTTTGTATTTAGTTATTGGATAATCCATACCTTTATGTACTGCGGGAGTAGGAGTGTCTTCTGGAACAGTGGCTTGCCTGCATATTGATTACTGACATTCCCCTATCCACCTGTTTCTTTTTTAATAATAAAAGTATGTTTTGTTTTATTCTCCTAATCTGTAAAGCTAACCAATGTCAAACGAAGACCAGGAAGCACAGGCGGATGAATTATTAGCTCTTGCTAATATTTTTCCAAAAGATGAATTCAGGAGAGCAGAAACCTCAAAAGGAGGGGAAATCCAAGTGTGCCTCGAATTACCATCTAACTTTGAAATATCTGTCAAAAGTGAGTGTTTGTCTGGGTGTTCTCTTACTAATGTGCAGAGCCTCTTGCAGATAAAGACATTTGTGGGTTACCCTATACATGTAGACTGGGAAAAGATATTTGAATGTCTTGAAGAAGAGAGTTATTATAGGCTAGATAGCTTCAGGCTTTGTAGATCACTTGATATGTGCTAGATCTTGTTTAGATCTTTCCTGTGCACTCGAGAACCTGTTGCTCAGAAAATATGGAGAATAACATGAAACATATTTCCTTTTGTATGTGATTCTGACACTCTGCAAGTGCAGTTTTAAAGATGAACTATGAGAGTTACTCAGTTCTTCACCCTAGTAAATGCTATTGTATCTAGGAGATGCATTGTGAGTGATATAATCTCCCTCTGATGGGAAAATGCTAGATGTGAAAGCAGAATCGTAACTAGAAACCCCCGAGCCCCGGTGCGAAAACTGCACTGGGGCCCCCTCTGCCAGCCCCTCCACTTCTCATTCTCCCCACCAGTCCTGCCACATGTCTACCCCACCCAGCCCCTCCATGTGTCTCTCCAACCCTCCATGTGTGTCTCACACACCCAAAGTATCTCTCCCACCCCCCAACCCCTCGATGTGTCTCTCCCAACCCCTTTATGTTTCTCTCCCATGCTCTAAGCTTGTGACACACACACACCCACTGACAGGCACACACATACTCACTGACAGACACACACATACAGATACAGACAGACATACACACTGACACACACTGACAGACAGGCGCACACACATACACTCACTGACACACACACACACACACACACAGTCAGACACACAAACTGACAGACACTTACACATTCTTGCACACTGTCACACATTAATTAAAACATTTTGAGGCCCATCCGGCCTCCTTACCTTTTGAAGAGCTGGTTTGGGACCTTTCCCTCGGGTGCAGTGTGGGGCTATCCTGTAATATGGCAGTTCCCCACTGCTCCCGTGTGCTGTTTAGTATGCCGGGGATGGAATGACGTCATATTCTGGCTCCAGACATCACCAAGGGCGCGCAAGAGAGGAGAGGGAACTGCCATATGAGCCTCCCTCGCCACGGCCGCCTGCATTTTGGCTTCCCACTCCCTTCCAGGTATCTAGGTGCCTACTCTGCCTCACTGGATAAGTGCCGATTGGGGGGTGGCCAAATGGCCACCTCCTGGGCCCCTGTGAGAGGGCTCATGTCGGCGCCTTCAGGCGTTTTGTGTTCTCAGGGTCAGCAGGGTGGCCAGTCCTCCTGGAGTGAAGGGCTTGTCAGCAGCTGCCCATGACTGTGGTACTTCGGCCACTGTGTAAAAGTTTGATGTGTACAAATGCACGTGCATAGTGGTTACCCATATGGCACTCTTGTGGCTGAAGAAAGGCACCTTAATAAGCATGCTTCCACTGTTCTATATTAATTATTCAAATACATACATAGTCTGCAATAAGATTTTAAATACCTGTCAAGATTACAGAATGATCCAGCACGTAGAATTCTATAACACAGAAGATTGATAGGTAACGTATACCGGACCTTAGATTGGCTGGCCTAATGTACCCAAGAATAGTCAGGAATAGCCGAGGTCAAGGGATACAGAAAGAGACACAACGATAAGGAAAAGCCAGGAGTCAGGGATGCCAGAAAACAAGGAAGTCAAAAACAATGCCAAAGTCAAATAACCAGAATAACCAGAATCAATAACACGCTCTCGGACAACCACAAGGGAAACTACGACAGGGCACTGAGCAGGATGAGAACTGGGCCTAAATACCCCTCCTCTATATGTGATAGGCTGTAACTGGCCTTTGACCCCAAAGGCAGTTACCAGGATTTCATTTGCATAATTGCTGCTCAGCATTAACTCTTCTGTGGATTTGGTTGCTGCTCGACACAACTTTTCCTGTGTGGACAGTAAATGCCATTAACCACATTTTTATAAGTGGATGAATATGTGACATTACCCCCCACCTGAAGAACGCCCACCGGGCAGGCAGGACCAGGCTTGAGAGGAAATTTGGCGTGAAAATAGCAAATCTTGCGGCCAGCATGTATATCAGATGCTGGAACCCAAGAACAATCGGCTGGTCCATAACCTTTCCAATCCACCAAGTACTGTAGAGTGTCCCGAGAAAATCTGGAATCAATTATGGAGGAGACCTCATACTCTTCGAGTCCAGAAACAACTAAGGGAGGAGGAGGAACACTTGAAACTGTATATTTATTACAAACAAGAGGTTTGAGCAAGAACACATGAAAGGTATTAGGAATTTTCAAGGAGGCCGGAAGGGCCAGAGAGTACACAATGGGATTGATCCTACAAAGGACACGAAAAGGTCCAAGGAACCTAGGAGCAAATTTCATGCTAGGGACTTTGAGCCTGATGTTACGAGAAGATAACCAAACCCTCTCACCCACTTGTTAACAGGGTTGGCACCTCCACGTGTATCAGCATAATGCTTGAAACGCTCAGCAGCAGTACCCAGAGCAGATTGAACTTTAACCCAGGTATCACGGATGGAAGCCAGACAGTCATCCAAAGCAGGAATAGCCGTATCAGAAAAAACAGCCGGTAGGACAGTAGGATGCCAGCCATTATTAACAAAAAATGGAGAATACCCAAAGGAGTCATGGTTAGCATTGTTCCTAGCAAACTCGGCCCATGGTAGTAATTCGGACCAATTGTCTTGAGTCTTGAAACAACGCAAAGGCTTCAATTGCCTCCTTAGACCATATCGTACTACTTGCCCCCTTGCGTGCCATATTGGTGATGGGGGCTATTACTGAAGTAAATCCCTTTATAAATCTTCTGTAATAATTGGCAAAACCAATGAACCTTTGAATGGCTTTCAACTCAGTGGGTAAAGGCCACTGTAGAACAAACTCTAGTTTTTTAGGATCCATCTGAAACCCAGAGGCAGAAATAGTATGTCCTAAAAACTGTACTTCAGACTGGTCAAAGATACATTTTTCCAATTTACAATAAAGTTGTTTTTTTAACAAGGTTTGCAGAACTTGTTTAACATGATCGTGGTGAGACTAGAGGTCAGGAAAATAAATAAGGATATCATCCAGATAGACCAAGACAAATTAATAAATGTAATCCCTGAGTACATCGTTAATGAAATCTTGGAAAACCGCTGGAGCATTGCACAGCCCGAATGGCATCACTAGATATTCATAGTGTCCACTTCTGGTATTAAATGCAGTCTTCCACTCGTGGTTTTCCTTGATTCTCACTAAATTGTAAGCGCTTCTAAGGTCAAGCTTAGTAAACACTTTAGCGCCCTGGAGTCTGTCAAATAATTCAGCAATAAGAGGAATGGGTTAGGCGTTCTTAATGGTGATTTTGTTCAATACCCTGTAATCGATGGTGCAACTCACCAAGCCTTTTAGGTACAAAAAAGAAACCTGCACCAGCGGGCGAGGATGATTTTCATATATGGCCTTTATTTAATGAATCTTTAATATATTCTCCATTACACTACTCACCTGAGGAGATAGAGCATAGACTGTTCCCTTAGGTGGCATATCACCTGGTAGTAAGTTAATGGAACAGTCATATGGTCTGTGAGGAGATAGAGTATTAGACTGAGTCTTGCTGAATACTTCTTTAATGTCTTTTTATTGTATAGGGATCTCAGGATTTTGAGGTGTACTAGTGGGTAATTCAATAGTGCCCACTCTTTTGGTGACATGCAATATGCACCTTTAATTACAACCCTTACCCCATTCTAATATTTCCCCATTAGCCCAGTCAATATGAGGGTTATGCTTGCTAAGTCATGGGGATCCTAATATAATAGGGCAAGAAGGAGATGCAATCATCTGAAATGTAATCTCTTCCTTATGTAATGCACCAATGGAAATATTAATGGGTAAGGTTTCATGCATTATAAATGGTTGTGAGAGTGGTCTCCCATCAATAGCTTCAACAGCTAGGGGTGATAGTCTCTCTTTGATAGGTATAGTATTACCTTTAACAAATTGAACGTCGAAGTTTCCAGCAGCACCTGAATCCATCAGGGCTTTGCATGAAAAGTTCTTTTTGTCAAAGGCGATAGAAATGTCAAGGAGAAACCTATTTTTATTCTTTTCAGAGGACGTTTCCATTACACCTAAGACATGTCCCCTTAAGGTGCTTAGGTGCGCAGTTTCCGGACGTATGGGACAATTGTTTCTCATATGTCCTTTCCTACCGTAGTATAGACATAGGCCTTCTTTTCTCCTATATTGACTTTCTGCTTCCGACAGTCTAGTGACCCCCAACTGCATGGTTTCGGGTTCGGACTGTACAGGAATTTCAGGGACAATAGGTCTGGAGAAACGGGGTGCTAAATGCATACTCATGCGTCTGGTCTTGTTTCTAGTAGCTTCTCTGGTTCTTAATCTATTATCAATCTGCATGACAAAAGTGATAAATTCATTAAGTCTTTGGCGGCAATCTCATCTAGCATAGTTTCAGATAATCCCTTTTTAAATGCAGAGATTAACCCACTATTAGTCCAGTCTACCTTGGAAGCTAGGGTACGAAATTCTATGGCATATTGTGATGTATACCGGTTCCCTCTTCTGATGTGCATCAGGGCAGTAGAGGCGTCATCCTCTCTGCCTAGAGGTTCAAAGGTAATTTGAATTCCGTAAGGAACTCCTGGTAAGTGTGTGCCACACTCCTATTACTCTCCCATAATGGATTGGCCCAAGCTAAAGCTTTACCTTTTAATTGATTCATTAGGTAACCAATTTTAGCTCTGTCTGTGGGAAAAGATCCCGGTGAGGCCTCAAAATGATACTCCATTTGGTTAATAAATCCCCGGCATGCTTGAATATTACCATCAAACTGCAGGGGAGGAGATAGGGAGATAGTAGGTGCCGTGTGTACTATAGCTGGAGGTACACAAGGTGGCAGTGAGGCAGCAGGTTGAAGATGCGCTGTTCGGGTAAGAAGCGTACTGAAGGCCTGGGCAAATTGATCCATGCAGTGATCATTATCCTCCAGTTTCCTTTCACAAGCAGCTATGTGCTTACACAATTCTACAGGATCTATGGCCATGTCGTAATGTCAGGATTACAGAATGATCCAGCATGTAGAATTGTATAACACAGAGGACTGATAGGTAACGTATACCAGACCTTAGAATGGCCGGACTAACGTACCAAAGAATAGCCAGGAATAGCCGAGGTCAAAGGATACAGAAAGAGACACAACGATAAGGAAAAGCCAGGAGTCAGGGATGCCAGAAAACAGGGAAGTCAAAAACAATGCCGAAGTCAAACAACTAGAATAACCAGAATCAATAACGCGCTCTCGGACAACAACAAGGGAAACCAGGACAGGGCACTGAGCAGGATGAGAACTGGGCCTAAATACCCCTCCTCTAGATCTGATAGGCTGTAACTGGCCTTTGACCCCAAAGGCAGTTATCAGGTTGCCATTTGCATAATTGCTGCTCAGCATTAACCCTTCTGTGGATTTGGTTGCTGCTCGGCACAACTTTTCCTGTGTGGACAGTAAATGCCATTAACAACATTTTTATAAGCAGATGAATACGTGACAATACCATTGTTATTCAACTGAGATTTGTCCATTTTTGATGTTGCCATTAGATTACCTGCAACCAAATTATTAGATAAAGATAATAAATTAAATCTTCCAAATAGGACCGATGATGTGATAATCTTAATTCTAAAATTCACTCATGATAATTTTGCTAAAAACACAGCTAGGTAACTTTGCATATGAGCAGTTGCTAATGAAAAATGGAAAGAAATGAAAGACATGAAGAAATATCACCTTGCTCATATTAAAAAGCACTCCCAACTATTAATTATTAGTGGAGCGCTATATAAATTTAACCTGCGGGGGGTTTAAACTTAACCCACATATTCTAGATGTATATGTAACGGTATACGTCAAGTGCATAAAAACCAAAGAAAAGAACAAAATATAGGCAATGAGGAAAGTCCAACAATATATTACAATCAAACGCTTTATACCAGCAAAAATATTAGTGGCCGGACATTGGAAACAACAAATTAATATAACATACACTAAGTGGAAAGTGCAACTAATTCTCCAATTAAAAATGGACAATGGTATTAGTTGGCTGAATAATTCTTCAACTAAAAACAAATCACAGAGGGAAACATGTCTCCAAAAATCGGTTAAAATATTAGAAAGTTGGCCATGCTTGTGAGCTCCTCCACACAAACACAGAAAACCTTAAATAAAACAAAAGTGAAAACCCATCCTGACCCCAAAGGCTACCAGTTACAACGATCAACGTCTCCTGAGGCGATAGATGCCCTTTTTTCAACAAAAGACCCAGCCAAGACGAAAACGGAAAACCGGGCCCTACCCCGCGTTGTCTCTCCCGGGCCTGGAGGCGCTACGCACGCGGCAAGTGAGCAACAACTATCCTCAAACCTTACCCGACAGCCCAGTCCACATGCCAGCTATGGGCCGCAGCTCACAGAAAACGACGGCGATGGAACACAGGCATATCAGGACTATGTTCCAACGGCCAGCACAGCCCCAACCAGCTCTTGCGGAGGCTCCGGGCCTAATGCCCACACTCACCCAAATGAGCAAACAGGGGCTGAACAATCGGTAGCCACTCACCCAATGGCGCCTGCAGCTCCCACTGACTGCACACCGACGACCAGACATGACATGAAGGTCCTATTGGCAGACTTTCACAAAATACTAGCGACCGAACTCGCTCCTATTAAAAACGACATGAAGGCCATCACAGACCGGGTACAGGCCTCGGAGAGAGACATCGCAGATGTCCAAAGATGACTGAGCTCCAGAAAACGGTGCATCAGTTCTGGTCCCATCAAAGAGCCATCACCACACATATCACAGCCATGGAAGACAGCCAACGCCGCACCAATATTAAAGTAAGGGACATCCCGATGACAGTCACAGTAGACAAACTACCTCACTATGTCAGACGTTTGCTGACCTCCATCCTGTCCCATGCGGTGGCCAAAAAAACTAAACATTGAAGGAACTTACCGTTTACCAGGGCCCACGGGGGCATCAACCACGGCGACGAGAGACGTCATTCTCCGGTGTGCCACAACCTACGACAAAATACTAATAATGTCAGCAATTAAGGGAAAAACACCCCTACACTTTGAAGAAGCCTCCCTGACATTCTATCAGGATCTTACAAAGGCAACCCTCCTGTGGAATAAAACGTTCAATCCTGTGACCAGCCTACTTCGCTCAGCCAACTTGAGCTACAGGTGGGGAATGAATGGATCCCTGACAGTGACCCGTAATGGCAGCTTACACACACTCACCTCAGTGGAAGACGCAACAACGTTCCTGACAGCCCTGGGCCTGGAGCACTTGCTGGAAAATACACAAGCGAGAGCGCCCGTCTCCACTTCCACTTGGGACCCGGCACACGCACCATCCTTCGTCCCGAGGTCGGTGGCTGCGGGGGCGGCAGTACCAGGAACAAGCTCCAGGGACGACCCGACATGAGGCACTAGCTACCAGACCGGAAACCCACTTGCCCGGCCTGCCGGTCCTAACTTTATGGGACTGTCTGTCGGGACTTTACATTTGGCTCTCTACAGATAATGTTTACCCCTATGTCATCCCTATTTTTCCCTTCCCCCTTTTATAACTTACTTTTGCGATTTTGTACTTAATTCACACAAACACTGGGGCAATGCCAGCTACCAGGCACTACATCTAGGGTTAGGGACCCGGTAACGACAGTAGGGATCGTTAATCTTCCACTATGCACAGAACCTGGGGCAACCCTGAATCTTCTCACACACCTCCTCTCCCCCCCGCTACTCCCTCGGTTAGGAGTAACCAAACACAATACATAGAGTGTGACTGGACACCCCACGACCACCAGACCTTAGCTTATCCCCAAGCGGGATACACAGCATCTCGGTCCGCATCTATTTAACAAAGCTACATCACACGTCAGTACATGAACACAAGCTGACCACTCCAGCCTCAGGACCCTATGATTACAACCTCAGTTTGCTGAAACCTCACGCACTTGACAGCAAGTGTACACCACACCTGAACACACAACACCCTAAGGGCTACTCACCAGCTGTCAAGACTTACACAAACACGTTAAAAATAAAAAGATGCGAGAATAAAATGTGAACCTGCTTACACAATAACTACATACTACCCACTCCCTGTTGAACGCTGTAACGTTTATGCTTTGCACTGGAAAAATAAAGATTTATAAAAAATAAAAAAAAATATTAGAAAGTTATGCTGTACATTAAATAATAAATATGGAAATAGAATAAGGAAATTACGCACTACAATGAATATATAAGATGTACTAAGGGATTTATGATTATAGGTACAAAAGTGTCTAATGTTATATGTCTGTAAAAATGATAAATTTTCTAAATAAAGAATATTATAATATAAAAGAGAGTGTAGGTTTTACTTATCCCAAAAGTTCTTTCTAAATTCTAATGTACTTGTGAGTTTTTCATAATTTATCTTTATGTAAAATTCAAGCATTAATATTACTTCAACCACAATATCAACTTGGTATTTAGAAGTTTGTTCTGGATTGAGATCATGACCCAAGTTCTCATTGATGTTAATTATAGTGAATTGAAGGCCAAATTCCAAATTTGAAGCTAAAATATGAGAATTGAAGGCCTACAACTTCAGCTATTTTTGCCCATTTTTTTTGTTTGGTTTTCCATATACTACACTTATTGATTAGTGAATAACCCTCTCCCCCACCTGCCCCCAAGGACAAGTATTTAGTCTCCATCCAAGTTTATCTTTTGTCCCTTCTCCAGGTAACGCTGCACAAAACATCTTCATTGAGGACTTTAAGGACACGCTATCTTACCTACCCCCAATTGTGCTGAATTTTGAACTTCCTTCAGATTACCCATCAACCTCGCCACCAAATTTCACACTCAGCTGCAAGTGGCTCACACCCAAGCAGGTTAGAGATGTACTTGCAATCTGTAACAATGCTATAGAATGTAAAGTTTATTTCCACCATGAGTGCAACCATGCGTAGGGAAAACATATATATATTATTTTAATAAGTAGAATTACAACAGATGGTCAGAGGGAAGATCTGTGACATACCATTATAATTCCAAAGTCATATGAGAGCATATTCCCCAAGGTGCATCAGAAATACTATTTATTTAACTAATCTATGTTCCAGCATGCTTCAGACCTTCATTTGATTGGTTAATTGTTTTTACTTTATTTCAGCTTTCCAGACTTTGCCAGCACTTAGATGAACTTTGGAAGAGAAAATCAGCATGTGTTGTTATATTTACTTGGACTCAATTTCTAAAGAAGGAGACGCTGGAATTCTTAAGTATCCAATCACCTTATGAGATTGAAGTGTGTCCCAATGTGTCACAGAACTGTAATAAAACTCCTGTGGAAACTGATCGCTGCAGCAATGCAGAATCACAAGAGAATAGGGTCTATGACAAGAGGGTCATACAGGATGTGGTGTCTGTGTCTGCCCTGATAAATTGCATCTTGGAATTCAACGAGACTCAGCAAAAGAAATGCTTTGATAGCAAATTGTACATGTGCAGTATCTGTTTCTCAGAAAAGCTGGGCAGCGAGTGCACAAATTTTAAACTTTGCAATCATGTCTACTGCAACATTTGCCTCAAAGATCACTTTGAAATTAAAATCAAAGATGGCCAAGTCCACTCTCTGAACTGTCCAGAACCAGAGTGCTCCTCCACAGCAACACCTGCTCAGGTAACCCCAAAGTTTTCTTAATATACCTCTTTGTGCTACATGTAAAATTCGGAAAGATCAGAACCAGAATGCTAGAAAATGTATAGATCAAATTGTATTTTTATGTAGTATTCTCTATAAAATGGTCATGACCCTATAAGGCCCAATTTCTCATCTCAGAATGCAGGTAAATGTGTAACTATGGCTCTCTGTGCAAAAGCAGTCTTGTTAATTGGGAAAGGCCAAACTTAAAGGACCACTATAGGCACCCAGCTTAATGAGGTGGTCTGGGTGCCTGGTCCATCTAGGGTTAACCCTTTTTTCTATAAACATAGCAGTTTCAGAGAAACTGCTATGTTTATGTTAGGGTTAATCCAGCCTCTAGTGGCTGTCTCATTGACAGCCGCTAGAGGGCTTCCGCGTTTCTCACTGTGAAAATCACACTGAGAAGACGCCAGTGTCCATAGGAAAGCATTGTGAATGCTTTCCTATGGACTGGCTGAATGCACGCGCGGCTCCTGCCGCGCATGCGTATTCAGCCGAAGAGGAGGAGGAGAGGAGGAGGGGAGCTCCCCGCCCAGCACTGGAGAAAGAGGTAAGTTTAACCCCTTCCTCTACATCCAGCCCGGCAGGAGGGGGACCCTGAGGGTGGGGGGCACCCTCAGGGCACTATAGTGCCAGGAAAATGAGTATGTTTTCCTGGCACTATAGTGGTCCTTTAAAAGTCAGGGCAACATACATCCTATTTGCATCAAGCAATAAGGAACCACCAACACCATGTATGTTCCTTGTAGATTGTAGTATAATGCACTTGCAATCCTCAATCTTTTCTGCCTGTAAATGTACAATCGTAGTCCTGTGGGTTGTGAGCTGCAGGATATTCAATAAAATGCAACTTTATGGTATTGGTGCCATTACACTGATCAGCCACATCATTAAAACCACTGTCAAGTTAAGTGAATAACATTGTTTATACTGTTACAATGGCACCTGTCAAGGAATATATTAGGCAGCAAGTTCTTGAATTTAGTGTGTTGGAAGTGGGAAAAATGGGCAAGAGTAAAGCTCTGACTGACTTTGTCAAAGCCCAAATAGTGATGGCTAAACGACTGGGTCAGACCAAAAGCGGGGCAATTAAGGACAACTGGTGAGCCATCGTGAGGGGCATGGTCGCTCACATTGATACTGCTGTAGCTCAAATTGCTGAAAAACATATTGCTTGCAATGATAGAAAGGTGTCAGAATACAGAGTACATTGTGGTTTGCTGCGTAGCCACAGGCTGGTCAGAGTGCCCATGATGACACCTGTCCACCACTGAAAGCATCTTAAATGGGGACTTGAGCTTTCAGAACTGGACCATGGAGCAATGGAGATGGTTGCTTGGTCTGATGAACCCCATGTTCTTTGAGATTAGATGCATAGCAGGCTGCCTGTGCATTGTTTACCTGGGGAGAAGGTGGCAGCAGTATTCACTATGGGAAGGATGCAGACTAGTAGAAGCAGTGTTATGCTCTGGACAATGTTCTCCTGGGAAACCTTGGGTCCTTGCTTTCATGTGGATGTAATTTTGACACATACCACCTACCTAAAGATTGTTGCAGACCATGTATGCCCCTTTATGGTGGCAGTGGCCTCTTTCAACAATATAATGCTTCCTGCCACACTGCAAAAAATGTTCAGGAATGGTTTGAGGAACATGACAAAGAGTTTGATTTGTTGCCTTGGCCTTCAAATTCCCCAGCTCTCAATCCAATTGAGCATTTGAGCTGAGTAGAATTGCAGAAGCTTGTTGCAGAGATGGTTTGGAAATTGGGCCTTAAAGTTGCAGCGTTCAATTGAAGAGGCTTGTATAGCTTTGCTTTAAAAAGGTGTGCAAGCACAAAACATGCAATATTGTATCTGGCTATAATCCTCAACATTTAAAACTCAACCTTGTAAATGTATACTTAGCATACATATACAGCGGAACTGCATGTCTGTCTCAATTTGCTTATAAATGTATACCTGATGCAGACACATTATATGGATATAGCATGAATAGCTTGCCATTACACCTTGCATGGTTACCTTTTATAGTATGCTGTTCTATTTTGATCCACAGTTCTTAACTAATACTTCATTATTGTATATTGGTGTGCCATTGTCTACTTCAGTGTGCTATAGTAACACAAAATGTTTTTTACAAAAACTAAAAATGTAATGTGACAGATCCATCTGTATGACTTGGGATTGTTGGTTCGTCTGTTTTGCCGTTTTCGTGGAATTACTCATTCGTATGCCTCTGTTCGTATAATTGACGTTTTTGCCGAACAAACTACCGAACGGACGGCCACCCAGAAGAGAAGTGTGCTGCTGGTTAACCTCTTGATCCCAATTAGAACGTTGTGGTTAACCGCAGACACTTCTCAATTAAAACCGAATACAGGATGGTCGTCATTCGTATATCGACCACGAGGCGGCGGCCATTTTAAACCATGCTAAAGACCAGCGGTGTTCGACATTGATTTCATGGAACTGAAAACGGACACTTTTTCTGCCGAACACCACTGAAGCCGCCGACCTCCCTTCTCAATCGACAGAAGTATACGACCACCGGCCGTTCGGGAGTTTTAAACGCACAAATGGACTTAACCCAGATAGCCTTCCCATGGAGTCAATCGCATACCGAAAGACTGTAATAGACTTTGACTCCATGGCGATTGAACTATACGTATGGGATCTGAGCGCTATTCACCAATAATATGCACTCAGATCCAGGCTATCTGGGGATATGTGATACGAATGGGAAACGTTCGACAATTGTAAAGTTATATATTTTTATGTGTTTTTTGTGTTGAATTTAAAATGGCGATTTGCCTCTGTCCTGGAGATAATTGAATTACTTCTCAATTATCTCCAGGGCAGAGGGGAGGAAATCATAATGCATGCTGGGAATATTCTGTGTCTGTGGGTCCTAACCTGCCATATGTCTGTCTATTGTTACAGTCTCCCATTTGGTCCCCTAGGGGAGTGTCCACCAAGTGGGAGACCTGCATAAATACTGGCAGGTAGCCCACAGTAAAGGCAGTTCATGTTTTACCCTCAATGCGGAGCTTGGTCTCGTTATTGGGGGGATTTATTACCGACGACTAGAGACTGCTGGATGGGATTATTAGCCGCTTGGGAGATATATGCGTTCGGCTACTATTGGCGATTCGTGAGTTTGGAGCGCGTGAAGTGAAGTGCCCGTACAGGTCCCGTTCGTGAGATTACAGCGTTCCCCTGCTTGCGGTTCGTATGATTGTACTGGATACGAATGAAGCCTGTGTTATTGCGAGAGGGGAGTATTCACTAAACGGCCGTTTGTACATTTGATGCTGAGGGTACCGTAACGTAAAAAAGGGAGACTCTCATCATGAAGTAACAAAATTCAGGCTATTGTAAATATGAGCATAACCAACAGGTGTCTTCATATACTATGCATTTTATACACATAGAACTTTTCTCTGAGAAATGTCATTATTTAAATTATTTATCTTATACGTAGATAGAATAATGAAAGTAATCACCTCTGCCTCTTTGCGTGTAGGTAAAGGAACTGGTAGAAGAAGAGTTGTTCAGCCGTTATGACCGTCTCCTGCTGCAGTCCAGCTTGGATCTCATGCCAGATGTTGTGTACTGTCCTCGTCCAAGTTGTCGGACACCAGTCTTGAAGGAGCCCGGGAGCAAATTGACTATTTGCCACAATTGCCAAAATGCATTCTGCACGTTCTGTAAAATGTCCTATCATGGAGTCTCCAAATGTAACCTAAAAGGAGGCAAGTAATTTATTCTATTGCTATAACACTATCTTGCTTGGATTTGCAGCCCGTGTGCTGATCAAAAGAATTGCCTTGCTCTCCATGTAGGGTTGGTCAACATTTTAAATCTAAAAACCTGACTTCACATATTAGTCGAGAACAAATGATAAATTTCCTATTTTTTGACTGATTTTGTTTTTTAATTCTTCTCAATTGTTTTAGAAAAACTTCTCAAGGTGTGTGCTGAATATCTGGAAGCAGATGGTGCCACAAGGAAATTTCTGGAGATACAGTATGGGAGGAAATTTTTGCAGCACACAGCAATTGAGTTGAAGAGCAAAGATTGGCTAGTTAATAACTCCAGTCCTTGTCCTACATGTGGAGCTCCTATACAGGTAAGTCATATAGGCCTGCATATTTCAATGCATCCTTAACTGACTGTTAGTATATATAAAACAAGAATGTGAATACAGATGAGCCAGCAACTTAGTTAGTACTTTCTAACTCTCTAGACATTTTAAAGAGAAAATACAAGCACCATATTAACTTATATTGAATGCACAAGCATCAGTACAAGAAACACTATACTTATGTCTCCTTTCGCCCTGTCAATTAAAAAAACACCCTAGGACAGAGGTGGGCTGAGCCAAAATATTACTTTGAGGTCATTTGAAGTGCTAGCACTATTTTCTTGATGTTTGTTTATTTTGTTAAAATGAAGAACCACTCTATTTTTTTTTGCAAATACATACAAAGTGACATGTCCACTTTTATGATAATGGCCAGAGGTGAGAGTTACATAGTTACATAGTTACATAGCTGAAAAGAGACTTGCGTCCATCAAGTTCAGCCTTGGTCTGGTCTGAAGCTCTTCCAATTTTGCCACAAACTAGGAAAAAATTCCTTCTTGACCCCAAAATAGCAGTCAGATGTCTCCTTGGATAAATCAGCTATTACCCCACTAATTAGAAATTATATCCCTGTATGTTATGTTTTTGTAAGTATTTATCCAATTTCAGTTTAAACATCTGTATGGACTCTGTATACCTTAAGTCCTCCCTTAGCACCACCATCTTTGTATCACCCTGGTTCATGAGCTCCTGGTAGATTCAACTGCCAGTATCCATTGTCATCAATGTACTCTGGCTCGGAAATAAATTGGGTCTATGGGTAATCCCATGAGAAAACAGTTTCTTCCATAGATAAACTTGCACTTCTGCAACAAGGTGCCATAAGCATCTAAGTCATGACTCATAAATTCATGATGATCCCTGGTGGTCTGGAGAATGAATCATGTGGTCTGCACCTCCCATGGGTGCAGACATTTGGACCTATCCCTCTTCTCTGTCATTTCTCGGTGAGTCTGAGCATTGCCATGGTAATCACTCAGAAGCACCATATAATGCAGGAAATGTACAAGTGGTGTGCATCAGCTGGAACTGCTGACTACAAAATCCTTTGCACTAGCAGAGATGTGCTGTGGGGCTCCTGGAGAGATCTTTTAATTTCCCCAGCAGGCTTATTTGGGACTGACAGTCCTGTGTGCCATAAATAAATACAATGACATTACATTTAATTATATTTTCAGTTTGAGCGAGAATTGTTTAGATATTTCGGCTTCATTTTGAATTTTATAATTTTTAATTTTTTTTAAGTCTATATTTGATTTTAAGACAACGTTTTTGCTCTACGCGCTGTCCAGTTTTGTAGATTTTCTTGCCTTGCATACCATGGCAAGGTACCCCTCATGGCATAGGTTGCCAGCACCTGTTCTGGGATGTCATATATGGAAGGAACATACCTCCCCCCTTACTCAGTATGTATACACACTCTGATGGCCTTGTATTGACTCTGACAGATTTCTATGCTTATTCAGTAACCTCATGCACACTTGATTATGAGTACTTTAATTTAGGCAAAGCACAAACAGATCTACTCAGTAAGTTAATAGAATATGACAACTTTTAGCTATTACGCTACAAGTAGTTTCCTTCATTTTTGTAATGAATGAAAAAACTCGTCATCAGTTTTGCCATGGACTGTACAGCTTTCAAAACAAAATTGACAGAACTACATATTTTTTTTTTTTTAAAGGCAAAAGCTAAGAGCAAGACAAAACAATCACTAACAAGTTACATCTACACTTATTTATGCATACTCTATTATACACATAATGTCCATTCTCCCACTCCTAACCATATAAGCACACTAGGTTTCATACATTAGCCAGTCCAACATGCACACACCAAACTAGTCATACCACTTCACACACTTTAATAGCCACTCTCTTTTCCACACCCATAATTAAAGTAAAACTGAAAATGCATGAGGGGCACTTTTTTAATCCAAATTTTTGTACCTGTGCCGAGGTCAAAGTCCCTGCTTCAAGGGATCCAAAATGTAATAACATTTTTTTTAAAAGACTCACGTTTCAACATGGTGTGTGTCTTTATCAAGCCATAAAGAAGCGCATTATACATTATCAGTGAACAATCTAATTAACAAACCAATCACAATAAAGTGCAAATAATGTGCAGTGAAAAGCCAAAATTATAATTAAAGAGCTTACTCTTTCATTATGGTTTTTAAAAGTTCCAAAGAAAGAAAGGAAAAAAAAATGTGTACTTTCGCTATTTAAAGAGACATAATCCTAATTATTTTGATCTTAAACTAAGTGCTTTGCATATCCAAGAAAGAGAAAGATATATTTAAGATTCTAAAAATAATTCTACCTTTTTACTGAACATTATAAATATACATTTTTAAAGCAAAAAAATCATTAATAATGTGCTAATTATATGGGAACAGAATGAGAGTTACTGTAATATATAATCAAATATTTACATCAAAATCAAATCAGTGCATATAGCATCATGGTTTGACAAATATCTTCTTATATTGCTCCTTTTGGTGGGATCAGTCTGATGTGCCTTGGAACTGGTTCTTTCTTTTATGGTAAAGGTGAGCAAAATCTAGTTTGAGACCTGAGCAGGGATTTACCAAAGAGTTCTCATATTCTTTGTTTTTGTTGCACTAGCTTGGCTCTCCCTAAGTTAAACGGATAGCCCAGATGTGGATCCCATGCTCACTATGCCTAGAGGGGTATCAGCTACACCTCGCTGGTAAGGCCCAAAGATGGCCAAAACGATAGTCCGTGGTTGCTGTATCTCTCCTGCAGAGAGAACTTGCCAGCATTTCGGTACTGGACTGCCCTTATAGGCGGGAATAGTCTGCTATGCCTTGGAACTGGTTCTCTCTGTAATGGTGCAAGCGAGAAGAATTTTTTTGAGACCTGAGTGGGGATTTACTGAAGGGCTACTGAGTTTTTCTAAGCTTTTTGTCCTCAGAGTTCTTATATTTTTTGTTTTTATCTTCTTATATTACAAACAATATTACAATGTACAACACAACATTTTCCTAACTAATTAGATTCCATACTTTGTAATTATCTGGTTAACTTTAGAAAGAAAAAAAGTTTCTTATACAGTCAGGTCCATAAATATTGGGACATTGACACAATTCTAATCTTTTTGGCTCTATACATCACCACAATGGATTTGAAATGAAATGAACAAGATCTGCTTTAACTGCAGACTTTCAGCTTTAATTTGAGGGTATGTACATCCATATCAGGTGAACGGTGTAGGAATTACAACAGTTTGTATAAATGCCTCCCACTTTTCAAGGGACCAAAAGTAATGGGACAGATTAACAGTCATAAATCAAATTTTCACTTTTTAATACATGGTTGCAAATCCTTTGCAGTCAATTACAGCCTGAAGTCTGGAACACATAGACATCACCAGACGCTGGGTTTCATCCCTGGTGATGCTCTACCAGGCCTCTACTGCAACTGTCTTCAGTTCCTGCTTGTTCTTGGGGCATTTTCCCTTCAGGTTTGTCTTCATCAAATGAAATGCATGCTCAATCGGATTCAGGTCAGGTGATTGACTTGGCCATTGCATAACATTCCACTTCTTTCTCTTAAAAAATATTTGGTTGCTTTTGCAGTATGCTTCGGGTCAATGTCCATCTGCACTGTGAAGCGCTGTCCAATGAGTTCTGAAGCATTTGGCTGAATATGAGCAGATAATATTGCCCAAAACACTTCAGAATTCATCCTGCTGCTTTTGTCAGCAGTCATATCATCAATAAATACAAGAGAACCATGGCAGCCATGACACTACCACCACCATGCTTCACTGATGAGGTGGTTTGCTTTGGATCATGAGGAGTTCCTTTCCTTCTCCATACTCTTCTCTTCCCATCACTCTGTTACAAGTTGATCTTGGTCTCATCTGGCCATAGGATGTTGTTCCAGAACTGTGAAGGCTTTTTTAGATGTTGTTTGGCAAACTCTAATCTGGCCTTCCTGTTTTTGAGGCTCACCAATGGTATATATCTTGTGGTGAACCCTCTGTGTTCACTCTGGTGAAGTCTTCTCTTGATTGTTGACTTTGACACACATACACCTACCTCCTGGAGAGTGTTCTTGATCTGGCCAACTGTTGTGAAGGGTGTTTTCGTCACCAGGAAAAGAATTCTTCGGTCATCCACCACAGTTGTTTTCCGTGGTCTTCCGGGTCTTTTGGTGTTACTGAGCTCACCGGTGCGTTCTTTCTTTTTAAGGAGGTTCCAAACAGTTGATTTGGCCACACCTAATGTTTTTGCTATCTCTTTGATGGGTTTGTTTTGTTTTTTTCAGCCTAATGATGGCTTGCTTCACTGATAGTGACAGCTCTTTGGATCTCATATTGAGAGTTGACAGCAACAGATTCCAAATGCAAATAGCACACTTGAAATACACTGTGGACCTATTATCTGCTCCTTGTAAATGGGATAATGAGGGAATAACACACATCTGGCCATAGAACAGCTGAGCAGCCAATTGTCCCATTACTTTTGGTCCCTTGAAAAGTGGGAGGCATTTATACAAACTGTTGTAATTCCTACACCGTTCACCTGATTTGGATGTAAATACCCTCAAATTAAAGCTGAAAGTCTGCAGTTAAAGCACATCTTGTTC